AATTCAATTCAATTCAATTCAATTCAATTCAATTCAATTCAATTCAATTCAATTCAATTCAATTCAATTCAATTCAATTCAATTCAATTCAATTCGATTCGATCCGACCTAATCCGTCTGCCTACTTTTTACAGCACCGACACCGACACCGACAACGGCATCTCACCTCTTCGACCTTCGACCTTCGACCTTCGACCCTCGAACTACTCTCACCATCCCATTCAAGGTGAGTGAGTAAGTGAACGAGTAAGTGATCGATCTCCTAGACTATGGATCTGGATAGTACAGTAGGATGAGATGTGATGGGATGGCTAGGGCTGGCAGGGCTGGGCTGGGGTTAACATACATGCGTCTGTGGTTGTGGCTGTGGCTGTGGCTGTGACTTTGATGTCTGTCTGTCCTACGTTGGTTTGGGATATGGGATACGGGATATGGGATACGGAATGCTAGATGCCACCCAATGGGAAGGTCGGACATGGTAAGCAAGCAATAGCAATGCTAGTGTAGTAGAGAATGTTGTAGGTAGAGCCCAGCGGAACTAATCCATGATCGCGAATCAGAGCTTCAAGGTGTCACGTTTGCACGGGATGAAATTGTTTGTTTATTTATTTAATTGATTGATTGTTTTAAATTCATCTTTCATTCCTAAGATTACATAGCATCATGCCGTTGTCAAGACTCCCTGTCGTCTTGCTCTTGAACAAACGCAGTGGGTATGGTATGGTATGGTGTGGGAATACAAATGTTTTGGGGGTGTTGGTTTATCGTGTGTCGGTTTGGCGCGAGGAAGAATCCAAATCTATCCTGCAAGGCAATGGGGACATGATATCGTGGTCTAAGAGGGATCAAGGAAGGGGTATGTGGGGAGACGGAATCTAGGGTTTCGCAACGGGGACAATCATCTCGAGGTCCTCGCCGGGAGCGCCCTTGGCGAACTCGGCAATGTCGGCACCCTTGACCTTGCCGTACAGAGTCTCGACGACGATGCCGGTGATCTGGTATGGGTCGCCGTTGGAAGCGGGGCGGCGGTCCTCGAAGTAGCCCTTGCCCTTGGCGGCAACGTCGCGCGGGATGCGGACGGACGAGCCACGGTTGGCAACGCCCCAGGTGAACTTGTCGAACGACGACGTCTCGTGCGCGCCGGTCATACGGAGCTGGTTGTCCTCGCCGTAGACGGCCATGTGCTCCTTCTGGCGCTTGGAGAGCTTCTCCATGGCAGCCTCGATGTGCTTCATGCCGCCGTCCTCGCGCATCTCCTTGGTGGAGACGTTGGTGTGCAGGCCGGCACCGTTCCAGTCGCCGGGGATGGGCTTGGGGGCGAAGGTGACCTTGGCGCCGAACTCTTCCGCCACACGGTGGAGCAGGAATCGGGACATCCACAGCTCGTCGCCCACTGTATTACGTGATTAGCGTGCGTAATTCGGGTATAGACGGAACATGGCACGGTACTTACTGGCAATGCCTTGGCACGGCCCGACCTGGTACTCCCACTGAGCAGGCATGACCTCGGCGTTGGTACCAGAGATGTTGATGCCGGCGTACAGGCAGGCCTTGTAGTGAGCCTCGACAATATCGCGGCAGAAAACCTTGCCGGTGCCGACACCGCAGTAGTAGGGGCCCTGGGGAGCAGGGAAGCCGTTCTTGGGCCAGCCATACGGCCAGCCCTGGAAGTCGAGAAGGGTGTACTCCTGCTCCAGACCGAACCAGAACTCGTGCTGCTTGTGCTCCTCCATCACGATGGCGGCATCATGGCGGTAGTTGTACTTGTTGGGCTTGCCGTCGGGGCCGTACGTCTCGCACATGACGAGGATGTTGTCACCTAGGCGGAAGGGATCGGGGTAGAAGGCGACGGGGCGGAGGTAGACATCGGAGTTGTCGCCGGGCGCCTGGCCGGTGGAGGAGCCGTCGAAGTTCCATTCTGGGAGGTCCTCGACCTTCTCGACCTTCTTGAAAAGGGTCTGCACACGGAAGTTAGCAACGGGTTCGAAAGGCGGGTGTCGGGCGATTGTGCTCGCGGCCAGACGTCAGAGCAGCTGCGCAGCTACGTTGGGCGGATGCATTGGAGTGGCTGCTGCCCCTCCAAAGGCCCTTATCGCGGGGCTGCTCGATAAGAGAACGCCAAAAGCAAAACGGGGGCCGCGACCCTGGCGATTGGCGCTCGCATGAGGTCACCTCACCTCGCCAGCACCGGCAGAACGCGTCCGCTGCCAGAGAGCGCAGGGCCGGCTGCGCTGCTGGGTCCAGTAGCGAGCAGCTCGCAGGCTTTGACCGGACCCGGTGCCGCGGAAGGAGGGCGCCGCGATAGAGCCAAACCGCAGGCGACGTAAAGCGTGGAGAAATTCGGTGGGATGCTCACCTTGCACTTGGAGCGCACGCCGTTGGAGCCGTCAATCCAGACGTACTCGGCGATGACCTTGCCCTTCTGCGGGAGCCGGAGGTACTTCTCGAGCTGCGTGTTGCCGTTAGCGCACAGTTCTACCGCAAACACCGCGCGGGATGTGCAACTTACGTTGGCGGTATTGGAGATAATCGTTGACTCAGCCTGCGGTCCTCTGTGAGCAAATGCATTCATTCCCGCCACGCCAATTGGCACGCGAGTCGGGCGAAACCTACCATGGCTGCGGTTTGTGTGTGTCGGTGAAGTGGGAGAGAGCGCGGGTTGGGTGTCTGGCGGCGGAGGGAGGAGTAGAAGAGAAGTGAAGTGGAAGGGTGGAAGCGGGTAGGGTCGATGGGCGATAAGCACTCCGGGGGCACGACCCTTAAGTAGTCTGCTGGGGCTGTTGTCTCGGTGAGTGGCGGGGCGGTAGTAGATAAAATATTAGGCTGGCCCTGGGCCAAGAGGCGACGCCGAACTGATTCCGTGGGATGAAGAAGCAATGCAGAGCAATCAGTGCCTCTAGGCGTGCTGGCGTGCTGGGGTACCGGCCGCGGGCCCCAAGCACCTGAGCCCACTCTATCGAGCCTCCGCTAGACTACTGCTGTTGAACCGCAGCTCTGGATATCCCTCACCCAATGCCCGCGCCCCCAATTTCCCCCTCGCCGTGAATGGGGACGACCGCTTTGTTCGGCGCGGCGTGGCTGTGGCTCAGGGCCCGCTGACAGGCGCTCAAAGAACCACGGCGCACGCTGCACGGCTGCGCGCGGCAACTCAGCCTCTGTGCCTCGGTGTTCCGACTTTGACCGCTTTGTCTGTGGAAAGCATCGCTCCAGAGCTAAAATTATCACCGAGATAGCAAAGCACGGCGGCGCACTGCCAGAGAGTCCCAACACACCGCCCAGCGCTCAGCAGTCCGTTTGCCCGCCCCTCTGCGCCGCGCTGCCTCCTTTTCCCTGCGTTTGCTGGGCTTGCGCGTTCCTGTATGTGAAGCTACACAGGAACCCCGGATCCGGAAGCCCGCCTCGACTGTTCTTGCAGGGCCTGCAGCAGCCGAGGGCACCTGCATGCACGTCTATCAGCAGAATCGGACCACTCGCGACAGGTGTACCTCCTAGAGGCGACGTTTGACGCAGGCCGTGGCGGCGAGATAAGGCGCAGAGGACGTAGGGAACTCGGCACCGTCATACCATCATCACTCAACGTCTTGAGGAGTTTGTCAGAACCACTATTGTTAGCCAATGCATCTAGATATTCGAGATTTTCAGAAGGCGCTCGCAAATACCTTCTGGTGGTCCGTATCAAGCTCGTTGCCGTGGCGGACTTCATCTACTCCCGCAGTTCTGGGTGCCACCGCATACTGGCCTCCATGCGGCGTGGGGCAACCTCACACGAGCATCTCAAAACGCTTCTTTGTGCTCGCCTCTCTGACAGCCAAGCGTGAAGCCGGTCAAGCCCTGAAGTTGGGTCCAGGATGCAGCCAATTTCTGACGGCTCCACTCAAACTTCTCCCCGTGCCCCAGGATGCCCCATTCCAGGCGGAACGAGCATCGTGAAGCATCAGCAAGCCCCTCCGCGGCGTCCCCGGCGTCTGCAGCGAATTGCAGGCAACTGAATTGTAACTTCGTGTGCATTCCATTACCCGAAGCCGAAAATTCGCGCTGCGACCCCACGATGTTGAATAACGCGCGAAGTCTCGTTCCATCCAGAAACACCCCAGGTGGTTAAAAAAGCCGCATGTGGACAGGCATGCTCGACGATCGCTGGCTGCGATGTCGGCATCCAGGCCAGGTCCGTGGACGCTGCCCCGCGAGATCTCGCGCGGCGCCCCGCACAGCGTATGCGCCGCATTTCGTGGCAGAGATAAGGGCTCTGCCAGCCTCCCATTGGCCGCCGATGATTGATGTCCAAACGTAATGCGCGCCGCCGCCGGAGGCTTTCTGTGATGGATTCGTGTCAACCGTCGCGACGCTGCACTCGGCGAGAGCTTGTGACTGTTGTAAAGAGCAGCTGCTTGTTGGGGAGATGAAGAGAGGACAGAAGACAGAAAGGCTGCAAATGTAAGATATGCGTCTGCCTTGTGGCGGTGTTGACTTCCGCATTAGGCAAGGCTGCGATTGTTCCACGTGCTATGGGGGTTCTCAAGATATCCGATATCCTTGATTGTAGTTCCCCCATATCAAGGCTTAGACGATCACCGAGCCTCAGTTGCCCAGTCGTTGGCAGCGGCCACGGCTCGCCGGCTCTGGGTCCACCAGCTCTCCCGGCCATGTACGACATTGGCTAACACGGCCAAACCAACACTGGCTCGCCTTCAGCGTCGAGCTTGACAGCGCTGTGCGAGAAATTTGCCTTCTCCGTACCTCTCCTTTCCGAGGATGAGGATGAGCTAGCCTCCGTGCCTCGTTCAAGCGCTATTCCGTCGCATCTGGGGAGCTTAGCTTAGAGCTATGGAGTTAACCTATTCAACTTAGGAGTACCCCAGGGTTTGGCGACCTCGCTGTGTGGAGCCGGCGGCCCAATATCGTCTGGGTAGCTTCGTGCCTGTGGGGTGGCAACAGTGGTGTACCTGCAGGAGGCGGGAGGCTGTGCGAAGAGTAAGAGACCGAAGTACGGCAACGCAATGGATACCGCCGGATCGCCGGGAGCTAGAGCACTTCGGGGACGGGGGCCAGCAGCTTGGGAATCTGGGGTACGCCTCTCGGATTGCTGGGGACCCTGACGTGCACGTTCAGTCATCCCTAATGCCAGCAGCACGCGCCCTGTTATCTCCTTAGTCATCATAATTGCTCGATACTGATGAGGACGACCATGGGAACTTCAGGTGCCTTTTTCTCACCACGAACACGTTCAAGGAGGTCTTGGAAAACCGTCGGGCGAAGTCGTTGACCGTTCGATGAGCTCCCGTTCCGATGCCGCTGTCACTGGCCAGGCCTCCCGCGACAACAGAACCACTCCCTTGGCAGGGCTGCTGAACGTGGGCCGAATGCACGTAACATTATTGTGGGGGCGCAGGTACGGGTTGGTGTGCATATCTAACCTCCGAAGTGCCCTCATGTAGGTTGGCCCCGTTGCCGTGACTCCCTCACGTGACGGCTCACTTCGTCGGAGGTTTGCTCCAACTGGAGAAGCCAGGAAATGCTCGTCGGGGCGCGTCGGAATGCTGTCTCCTGGCTTTCGGTGCGCAGTTTGATTTGCTACGCTTTGCCAGCTCAACTTGCCAACAACCACCCCCCCGCCAATGCAGATTATCTCCGTCGTACGCTTCGTGTAGACCGCCGGCTGACATTCCCAGGGCTTTGGACTGCCCAACGGATTCGTACAGGACATGGGAAATGATGATGGACAACTAGACCAGGCGTTGTTGTAACGGGTAAGACGTCCCGAAGCTCGGAGCCATATTTTGACGTTTCGACGTCAGAACGTTTGGCTGTCGTTTGTTCCGGTTCCGCGGCGCCACGGTGCCGCTGCCGATGTCGACCATGATGAAATCAACTCTGGGTACAACACAGAGATCGCTTGTAGTGTCCCAATGAGGCGATCCGAACAATGCCTGGCGAACAGCGTAATTGCTGGAAGAGTCATTCGCCATGGCACTGGCCGTGCTGTGCGAAAACATTGTTTTGACGAACAATGTCCAGAAGTTTGTGAGTTGATATATATCTGAGCCACCATCACTCACCAGGCGCATGTTTCTGGGGAAGCAGAAGTCCAGACTCCGTCGTGCCCAAGCATCTACCAGCCCCTTCAATGAGAACGGCGACCACGTTCGTATGCGACATGTGTCACACTGAGCATGTGTTCCATTCTTGCCGTCATTGGGGTCGTGAACGGCTAGAGCCATGCTGCCGATCGAGGATTATCAACGGCCGCCACACTGGTTGTGGCTACATTGAAAATCTTGGATCTGTCAACAGCACTGAATGGTGTTTCGACTGCAAGTACCGGCGGACGCAGGGAGGAGCTTGGAGGCCATTTGCTCAATTGAGCAACGACGGATGGGCGAAGGTCAAAGAGAAGGTTCGACAAAGGTGCCTGGAATCTGATGGTGTACGTATTGCTTCGCGTCAGACAGATTACTGTGTTAACAAATAGGGCGTTTTAGGTAGGCACCGATACTGGTACTGGCGGAGATGGTGGCCGTCTCGTTATCGCGACTGCCGCTGGTGATATTGTGCATCCGAGCCATCAAGGAAGTGATGGAAGCTTCCGTCATTCCGTCCATATCCTGGAGTCGTCTGTAATACGGCTGCACAACTCGCAGACGGGTAGGCGCTTGAGCGCCAAGGCTACGTGAGCAAGTAGTGGTCGGCGCTGGAAGACGTCCTTGGCTCAAGCACCAAATCCATGAGAGATAGCTCCAGGGCAAAAAGACTGAGCTGATGCTCTCCGTTCGACGAGTGTGGAGTGCTTATGACGATGGGAGTTGGAGTGGGAGAGGAAGAGGAGGCCAAACGCTTGGACGCTGAACAACCAGCCAATGAGACGCTTTCATGACTAACGATAACGGCATCGCTCTTTCTGTTCTTCTCCGCAACACCTCGCCCTTTGATCACAGCACTCTGTAGCTTTTTTTCATTACAATAGAATACATTGCTCTATCACACCCGGGCAAGAAAGCCAGCGTGCTCTCATCGTGACATCCAAGTTTAATATCTTGACAGTAAGTCTCCACCCACAATGTAGGACCCTGGCCAGGATTGCATGCTCATTCTGATACCCATCGCCAGGCATTATGGCAAAGTATAACCCTGATCCTGTTGGAAGCTTTCCAACGTCCGCGATATCCTATGGCCTGGCAGCAGCTACAGCTTTTTGACCCTTTATCAATAATCAGTCGTGTCATGTCGTACCTGGAAACCTACATACGGCCCTGTGACCATGCGAAGCCAGTCAACCACGAGTCTTCCGTCCACATGCACCACCGATCAATTTCCATCACAGTTTGCCATACTGCACCCGTAGTATAATTGGGATTACCCCAAGCACGACGGGGGCGGGCCGAGAGGCTATGCATCATGCCAGCACCGAATTTTCCAGACCAGTAGGTGCGGAGTACTCCTCTTTGTTAGAAAAGCCTCCTTCGGCCGTGCCGCTCCTGAGATCTAGATGCGATTTGGCTCTGTCGGCGTCAGCCACGGATATTAAAGAGGAAGACAAAGCCATACCGCACTTAAACAGCGTGCACTTGCCGCCCGCTTCAGTCCGCATCCTTCGCCGACAGATGGAATTCGCAATGGTACCTCTACCACGACTCCATTGTGCCTCCCTCCTCATCGCCTATCTTATCGGTTTCTCGGTTCCTGGTATCATGGCTGCCAGTTCGACTCCAACGCTCGGTTCTTCTGCAGCGAGGAAAACTGTTTCCGTCAATGTTGGGAAGCCCCTTCACCAATTCTCGCCCGATTCTATTATAGCGGGAGTTGGCGATGTACGTGCGAATCCCAAATGACCTTGTATAAGTATTGACAACGTCCTAGATCATTGAGTTCAGCTTCTTCCCCCCGAACCATTCGGTCGTCAGGGCACCTTATCTTAACCCGTGTCTCCCGTACGACTCCTACTACAATGGAACACGAGCTGGCTTCTTTTCTGGATTCTTCGCTTCTCAGAGCGCAGACGAAGATGTACGCACGACGATTCGCCGTCTGCATTGAGCGTTAACTGATAATTGGAATTAGCTTAGGTGGCAGCTTTTGATCAATGATACCAACCCCATTTTCTTCTACTGTTCTGCCCCAGGTTCATGCAATCAGTGGCAGATGGTGGGCGTAATCAACCCGGTACGTTCTGTTCTTCCTCTTGCAAATCTCTTTGACTTGGTGTGCGGGCCTGCGATGCTCCTACTGACAAACGCAGAATGCGAGCGTCTCGCTTCAGAGGCAGAAAGATACGGCTAAGGCCGCACCCCTCGTCCAACCTGGTGAGCCGGTTCCACTAGAGGCCGGCCCGGGGACCACGTCGGCATCCTCATCTAGCTCAACGCTCGCGGAATCGACAATCGCACCTACCACGACCCCTTCCCCACCAGAGCCCACCGGCTCGCATATCGCACTCTCTGTCGGCGCTATAGCCGGTATCGCTGTGGCAGGCGTCGCTATCATTGCTCTCCTTGCAGCGCTGTTCTTCTTCGTAGGGCGTTCGCGAACACTGAAGGAAGAGGCAGATCGGCGTACGTCTACAATTCGGCATCCCTCGTATCTCTCCCCGCACCATGACATGGCAGTAAGTCCGATGCCTGGAGACGGCGCCGCGGTTCACGCAGGTTATGGACCGTATGAAGCGGATAATGCCCAGCAAAAGCCTTCGGTGTACTATCGGAGCCACGGCCTCGGCGTCGAGGAGATCGGGGATCTGAGAAAGTCGACGGTGAGTCCAGGTTCAGATGTGGGCTATGGGAGAGAGCAATATCCACAAGGACTTGTGTATCCAAACGCCCCGCAAGAGATGGAAGCGCCTGACGGTAGATTTAGGAGGTAACGGGCCGCGGGCGTAGCTATGCTAGCGATTCTCGGCAGCGATCCGCTGTGATTGTTGGGATACGCAGTGCGATCCATCTCTTTCGCTTGAGGATATTGTCATGTCGATATTGAGTCGTCCTATTGTTTCTGCCGATCCTGGGGAATGAGAGTTCGAAGTACAAGCTCAATGGAAACCTAACCGCCTTTTGCAATGCTCGTGATATTGATCGTAATGCCCAGGAGCGAGTTCGTGACTTTAGTCGTGTGCTCTAATCATAGTCCAATAGAGGGGGTTCTCGCCGACTCTAGAATGCACGCTAGCCGCAACATTCCCAAGTTGGCGAGCGGCGATCAAAAGAACCGGAGCCAATTGACACCTATAAAAGCCACAATATAGCGGAACAGAACCAGAACCCAGGGCATTGGACCGCAGGAGATATCGCGAGTCAAGTGCGATGCGCGAAGGTTGAGCCAACTTTGGGAGCGACCTGCGGGGGTATCGTGAGGGACGTTTCGACAGCGAGTACCCGTGCACGGCGTCGGGACAGGCGACAGCAACGTGGTATCGGCTTTCAAGGCGAAGTTGTACGACTGCCGGTTCTGTGCGACGTGTTGTTTTGGGAGTCACAATGGCGCGGGCGTCGAAGAGAGAGGCCTTCGCTCGGAGACTAGGAGGTGGTCCGAGTCAGAGGGCCGCGGACGAGCCATGGCAACTTACGACTCACGAGGAGACGCGAAGAGGAGATTGATGGCAGCGAATCGCGTGTGGATCTGTGATCTTTCGAGCATAGCAGAGCTGGCTGCTAGCCAGGTGAAGCCGCCAAGGAGATGTAACCGGCCGACAGCCATCAGGTAGTACCCGCTACACCAACATCAATGCTCCTGGAGCTCCTGAGCATCCATCAGCTGCGCAGCGCGGCTCCTTCATCCACGGGCGCCGCCCGTTGTTGTGCACGCCAGTTTCATGCTTCTCTTTCGGGCACTTCTCCCTGACGCTATTGTTAATCTGAAAACAGCCGAACGAGTGGTTTGCGCCGGGGATCGACGTCCAGGATAGGCCTCACAAGGCCCGTGGCCCAACCCCGACTCTGACCTCCTATCCATTGGAGCACCTCGTCTCACCCTCCTCCACGCCGCTCACATCTGTCATCACTCCGTGGCCGCCATGGCCCGTTGAGGGGAGTCACCCATTCTTATTCCGCTTCGCGTCGCTCTCTCATCGCCCTGCTGCTTGTATATTTCCCCGTAATCCACCTCCTATACCAGGGTCCATAATTCTCCGAGCAGACGAGTGCTACGCCGGTTCGCAGCAGTCATCTCTACGCCGCATTCCCTCTGCCCAAGGCCGCCAGCGCCGCGACTCCCGTGAGCGGTTCCCGCCGCCATGCATCAGCGGGCCCGTTCAGAAGCCGGCGGCGATGTCGCCAGCCCCCGCTCCAGCAGGGCTCCGAGCTTCAGCAGCGACAGGCCGTCAGTCGCAAGCTCCGTAACTTTCCAGATGCCGACGAGCATTCGCCCGGCGCCCGCATACATCGCCGCCTCGGTCGCCTCGCAGATCGTCACCGACAACCGCCATGCGCAGCTCCGCGAAGGCGACGACTCAGACACTGAGGGCGCTGGCGACTTCCTGGTCAACGCCCTCTTCTCGGAGCAGGCTCTGTCTCTGCTCAATTCCTTCCTCGACCACCTGCTGTTCGCGATCCTGTCCACCGCGCATTCGCCGTCGCTTACCGCCATCCGGCCCGCCATAACCGATGTGCTCAAGCCGCGCGTTGCCCGCGAGGCAATGGCCAACGCCGATGAAGAACTGCAGGGCTTGCTCGCCGGGGAGGACGACGAGGAGTTCCCGGAGCAGGACGGCACAGTCGCAGAGCGGTGGGATGTTGAGAAGGTATGGAAGCGGACACGCTTACGGATAATGGTCTATACTCGGTTAGGGGAGCTAGAAGACGAGGATGAGGAGCGCTATGTCCAACAGGAGCGCGGGCTCAGCATGGACGACAGCGACGACGATGAGGCCGGTCTCGTTTCTTGGGCCGCCGCCATTTTCCTCACGTCCGTCATCGAGTACCTCGCGGAGCAAACGCTGCTTGTCTCTGGCCAGGCGGCATTTGCTCGCCTGTCTGCCAAAATGAAGAAGATCGCTCAGCAGTCCGAGGATGCCGAGGACCAACAGCTTGAGCGCATCATTGTCGAAGATTTCGATGTCGAGAAGATTGCCTTGAACTCCGCGCTCGGCAGGTTGTGGAGAACCTGGAGGAAGCGAGTGCGGTCGCCGATCACGCCGCTTTCACCGCGGGGAGTCCGCTACACGAGCAGCGTTGCAAGCCTTCACCGCCGACGGATAAGCCACGACACGGCGGATGAGTCTATCCTAAGCGATGGCGTACCAGAGGTCCCTGAGCACAAGCCTACCGAGACGGAGATTGCGGCCAATATTCCGCTCCCCATGGGCGACAACGACGTCAACGAAATCGAGGTTCCTGGTCTTGCTCGCACATTCGAGGAAGGAGAAGCGAGTGGTACGGAGACCCCGATTGCGCGTACTCAACGGCCGGCTAGCGTCATCATGCTTGCGCCCCCAGAGAACTTCAGGAGGCGGATGGCGAAGGAGCGCCCGGTGTCGATGCCTCCACCAGCAGCTGGACCCTTGGTCTTCCCCCCAGAGAGAGAAACGGCAGAAGACATGGAGTTTGAGACTCCTATGGAAACAGTGTCAGATGACGAATCATATATCCACGACGAGCGCCAGGAGGGCATGTCCCATGTCGATGAGAGAGACGCCGAGGGCGAACACGAGGCGGACGCTGATATGGTAGCATTCGCCGCTTCTACGGGCATGGGCTTCGGTATGAGCCCGATAAGTCCAGTGAAGGCCAATGGCTTTGACAAGGACGAGGATGATGTCGACACTCCCACTCAGACTGGCTACGATGGCGAGTCACAGGTGTTCCAGTCCAAGAGGATGTCAATTGAGAAGACTGGGCCTCCAGGGGTTGTCCGCACGTACTCTACGAGGAGCTCAAGCCTGAGATCTCATGACAGGACACCCGCTGGGACCCCAAGCGTGACTCCCGGAAACGAGCCGAAGACATATCTCGACGATGCCCATACCGACGACGACCTGAGCGCACCTGACGCCATCGGAGTTGCGCACACTTCGAACATACCTATCCCAACGCCGTCGCCTCCGGCCGAGCCATCTACTAATGACAGGGCACCTGGACATGCAAAGCATCCTTCACACGGAGGATACGTAGAGGTTCTTCCCCGCCAGACGGCGCTAACATCAATTACCGTCCGCAATACCCCAAGTCCCGAAGAAAGACCTACGCAAGGCGAGCGTTCCACGATGCGCAAAGATGTTCAACGAAAAGAGGTTCAGCGGAAAGAAGTTACTATCTCTCCGCCAGGGCCTCGCGACACTACTCCTCCGAGGTCGCGCGCGCCCGTGCTGGCCTCCTTGCAGGAGACGGAGACTTGGAGCACGAAGCCGCAGCATCCGGTGGTACCTGAGAAGTCAACACAACGTGGCAGCCCTACGCGTGGTAGCCCCAAGCCAGGTCCGTCGCTGCGCACCCGTGAGTCGCCAGCCGCCGTTGCCGACCGCACTGTTAAACCCAAAGCTATTGAAGGCTCACCTCGGTCTCGCTCCGGCACTACTGAAGGAGCTTCTCCAGACAAGGCTACTGTTCAGCGCCTGTCCTCTTCCTCCTCAACCGGCCGATCCGTATCAACTTCCATTCTGCACAGCGCTCGTGATTCTGATACCAGCCTCAATGGCCGCCCTCGGGGTCTCAGCGGCCGCATGTCGGAAGAAGACCGACAGCGTGAGTTTGACACTCTGGTAAAAGGAGAAGAGACTGTAAAGTTCACTCTCACCCCACAGGCCATGCGCGACATCGATGTAAGTGGACGCTCTGACTCCATATTCGCTCATCATGCTAACCTTGACAGGAGCCGCCAGTTGTCAAGCGGGTAGAGCCCCCCAAACCGGCAGCCTCAGTCACTGTCTATCCCCGCGTGAATGCAGACAAGGATACTCAATTCGGATCTCAACATCTGCCTGCTCGAACGGCGCCAAGGGCTGAAGGCCCAGTTCCATCGTCCGGCAAGAAAGTGAGAATAGCGAAACCGATGGCCAGGGAACCGCGGATACAGAGCGAATCCATGCGCGATTTTGCCGACTTTATTCGATCGACAGGTCCTGCTCCCGGAGACGAGCGACCTGTGCAGCCGTTTGTGCCTCTAAGTCAGACCAGTCCTAAGCCAACTAACGCGTCGTCGTCGTCAATTAGTGGATTGGGCAGGAGATTATCCACAAGGCAGGCCTCGTCTCACTCGCATTCAGGTTCCACTGCTGGAGAGGGCCCTTCAGCGAAGTCTCGCGCACATATGGAACCACGCAGTCCTGCCGGCCCGCGAAGCGGCAACGATGACTTGATTGACTTCATACGACAAGGCCCGCCAGGCGCCAACAATGGACAGCCTAGGATTCCTCGTGCTGTGGCGCCATTCCGAACCACCGTCGACTCTGATCAATTCGATCGCATGCTAGACGAGAACGGCAATGTTGAATCAGCGTATGGCTCGCAGGTGTCCACAACCTCGAAGCAATCTTCGCAGACTGCCAACTCAAGGACGGGGCTTCTACCAAAAGCAAACGTCGTACAGCCTGCATATTCGAATACTCCGCAGAAGCTCACAGGGAACCTGTCAAGCCCTGAGCCCCATATTCAGCGCACTCGTCGTCGCGTCAAGGATCCATACGCCATCGACTCGGACGACGAAGACGACGATCTACTGACGGCTCTTCCTAGTTCTGCAAGGCCTCGACAGCAAGAGGAGAGCATGATGGACTTTCTAAACAGCATGGAGCCGCCCTCTAATAGCCAGCCACAGCCATTTGTCTTGAGCAAGGAGGCGATAGCTGCGGCAAAGGCCCGGGCAGTTAGGAACCCTGCCGGCTCCCCTGCCGATAGCATGTCATCTTCTAGCACTGCAACGCGAAACGGGGTCAATTCTCGCTCCGGAAAAGTGCCCTCGGCGCAACCCGGCCAGATATCCTCTACAATCACATCGAATGCCCAGCAATCCTTCAAGCCAAAACTCCAAGCGCGAACAGCCGGCGCAAGAGATGCACAGATTGGCCGATCTGCTACTAGCGACCTCGCCGATTTCCTCCGTAGCTCTGGCCCTCCGGAGTCACCTGCGCCAGCGCCAGGCGCTACAATCCGCAAGGAAGAAGGCAAGCGTGTGCCTACGAAGTTCTGGCGCAAGAAGACATATCCCGACATGCCGTGAGCATAGCCATTCCCTCTTTCTCCTTGTGTACGAGTTATTCCTATCCTTCATGGCTTCACTTTCTTCGGTATTGCTTTGTGGATTGAGGAATTCGTACGGTTTTCAAGACTTGATTTGTTGATGACTTGCTTCGAGATCTACGCTTCTGCCATATCGTGCGACCTGTAAAAGCATGTTTATCTCTTCGGGATGTACTTGGGGGACTTCTGTTTAATCATTTGAGCCTTGATGACATTACTTTCATTTCTAGTCGTCGTCTCTGGACCACGAGAGACTCTTTTCGGGGGCTGTTGTATTGATGAGAGGGATTCAAGATTTTGGAGATTATCTGCACGAGAAAGCTGTAAGGTTAGACTATGAAACGCGAATGGACATAATCAAATTTTTCACCGGCATGGGACATTGGCTCGATAGCTGCAATGCGCTTCTCGTTCTTCGCAGCAGTCGAATGCAGGTATGCTCATCTCACCTACATCATGCCCAGGTGTCATCTGCAGGCTGACGCCAACGCAGGATCGATTACAAATCCAGTTAGATCCTATGCATCCAGCCCGGAACGACTTGGGCATACATTACAGACACATGAAGGCTCCCCCGCCGGGGCCACCACCAACTCATCTCATCAGCTTATTACATACTACCACCGCCACACTCCTCATCCAACCCTACCTCCACCCAGCCATGGCGTCCCCAAGAAGCACACTCCCCCTCTCCGAAACCCCAGCACTAACATACAACCACAGCGAAGAAAACATCACCGCCCTCCTCCACCACCTCCCACACATCTCCCACTCCACAAACCCTTCCGAATGCGTCTCCAAATCTAGCACCCGCCATTCTGCCGCTGCCCCTGCCCAGACCCCCCGCGCAGTCCTCTTCCCCGCCTCCACAGCAGACGTCTCCGCCATCCTCGCCGCCTGCCACGCGCGCAACATAGCCGTGACGTCCTTCGGCGGCGGCACGAGTCTCGGCGGCGCGCTGGCGGCGACGAGAGGCGGCGGCGTGTGCGTGGATTTCAAGCTCATGCACAGGATTCTGGACCTGCATGAAGATGACTTGGATGTCGTAGTGCAGCCGGATGTGGGGTGGGTCGAGTTGAATGAGTATTTGAGCGAGAAGGGGTTGTTTCTCCCGCCGGATCCGGCACCCGGGGCGAGGATTGGGGGGATGGTGAGTCGCGATCTGTCTATCTTTTTGTGTCATGACCGATGGGATGGATTGGACTGGTTGGCGGCGGGCTGATGCATGGATAAGATCGCAATGTCCTGCTCCGGCACCAACGCCTACCGCTACGGCACGATGAAGGAATGGGTCATCTCGCTCACCGCCGTGCTCGCCGACGGCTCCGTCGTCAGGACGCGCAACCGGCCGCGCAAGTCTGCCGCGGGATACGATCTTACGCACCTGGTTATCGGGTCTGAGGGCACGCTCGCGCTGGTCACCGAGGCGGTGCTGAGAGTCACCGCGCTGCCGAGGAATCTGCACGTTGGGCTGGTGAGGTTTGAGCGGATGCAGCATGGCGTTGATAGCGCGGTGGGCGTGTTGAAGAGCGGGTTCTTGCTCGAGGCGCTCGAGTTGGCGGATGCGGAGTGTATGCGCGCGCTGAATCACTCGGGGCTTTGTGCTGAGGAGTTTGCAGAGACGCCGACGCTGTTTGTTAAGTTCGCGGGGTCGGAGGGGGTAGTGAAGGAGCAGATTTCTTGCGTGAGGGAGATCTGTGCTGCGAATGCGTGTCGTGCGTTTGAAGTGTCGGGGGACGAGAGTAGGATCCGGGCTATCTGGGGCGCGAGGAAGAGTCTGGGGAATGCGCTGGTGACGATGAAGAAGGATCCGAGTGATCTGTTCTTGCATACTGATGCTGCGGTGCCGATCTCGAAGATGGCGCAGTTGGTGGAGGAGAGTGAGCGGATTGTTAGGGAGGAAGGGGGGGAGTGGTTTTGCGCGAGCGTGGGGCATGTTGGGGATGGTAAGTTTGCCTTTTTCTTTTCTTCCTTGTCTAGGGGTCTTCTCCTCGAGCCTGCCTGGTACTTCTGTTGAAACCCCTCCGTCTTCTGGCTAAGCATACTACACTACAGGGAACGTGCACACCGCGATAGTCTGTCCCGCGTCCGCTAAAGCCGACGCTGAGAGACTCCTCGCGAAGATTCAGAGACTGGCGCTCGAGCTCGAGGGCACTATTACAGGCGAGCATGGCGTGGGGCTCAAGCTGCGCGACTTGCTGGCTGAAGAGGTGGGACAGGCTGGGGTGGATGTTATGCGCAGGGTGAAGATGGCGCTGGATCCGAAGGGGATACTGAATCCGGATAAGGTTGTCAGGCTAGAGGAGGGGATTTGAGGGGCGTGAGGACGAGGGTGGGGTGGGGTGGGGGAAGGAGGTATAAAAGAGGTGGTGGCGCTGTGGAGGTCTGGTTGCTCTGCACTCTCTCGGTGGAATTTCGTATTTCTAAAGTCCAGTGAGCAAGCCCTCATGGCTGGTGGAGAGACGAGCTGGACTAAAAGTATACAAGCTCGTTGCAATGGCGTCTCCCGGGCTGTGCGTCTTCCCCGGGGTTGACATCCCTGCTCACGAGGCATCTCCACCGGCAAGTGGCTCCATAAAGATTCTCAGCAGCATCCAGCGCTGTTATTCCTCACCGGAATGAGCTATGTTGGCATTCACGAGGTCGGATCCTCCACATATGACTAGGGAGCAATATCATCAACATGGTATTCAAAAGACGATGTCCCCCTTGCATGATGTGGCGTAGGAAGCGTTTGAGTCCCATATACCAAACCAGCCGAGGGCTTTAATGGTCAGCGTCGGAAATGTTCTGTATGAAAGAAAGAGGGTTGATATACTCATCTTCGAGAAAGTGAGCGCAGACGACTGGGTTATCAAGACGTCGCATGTTGCTCACGTGTCCCATGGTTAGCATGTTCGGATGACGGATGGGTATATAAAGCCCTTGCGCTCTCCCTTCGAATTACTTCTTCACACTCACACTATGTCGCCGGACTCTGGCACTAAAAACCCCCGCCGGGACATGTTATGCTTTGTCCAGTCCTCTTGCTCTAAAACTCACTGCGCACACATGATATGCGCTCGCTCCAAGACTCTCAAAAGAATACCACGTCAAAGCCACGGTACAAAAACGCGATATGTCACACCAACATGTGCGAATTCTGGAGGAACGTTGCTCAGCGCAATGAGCAGGCGAACAAATCTGGCAACTTCCAGAGTCATGGGGCGGATTCAGTATCGAAAGGATCGCACCGATGGAGAATGTTCTGCGCTGCTGTCTATTCTGCCTCCGCCTTAACGGGTTAGGAGTACGTCGGACGAGAATTTGGAAGTGTATAAATACTTCTCCCTTCCGTCTTCCCACGTTTCCTTCTTCATGACATCACAGCCGCCATTATAGGCACTAAAACTATGGTTCATTTGTGGCATGCGGTGTGGAGCTTTCTCGCTCTAAAATCACTAACACGTCAGCCCATGCTTCGCTTCTGCTGGTCACGCTCAAATCTACACATCCCCACAAGCCATGCCCTCCTAAAACACCAGGGAAAGCATACCATGCCCGGACTTAAGCAGAGTTCCTTAGAAAACAGAATTAGACGCACCTTTCTTTATCGATAAGAGATAGTCTTCGCGTCTTTTGATGCGAGTTCGTGCTTGCGCTTCCCCGGCTGCACACCGAGAAATTTGAGAAGCGAAAGACAAACTCCTCCAGGCACCAAGGCTCACTTTTCCCTTCTCTTCACGACAAAGCCGCCGCGAAGGGTGCTAAGATGTGACAATGCCACTCGCAATGTTGTGCGGAGCCCGTCTCTTTCCAAAACAAAAACTCCAAAAGGATATGTTTGCCGTAGACCGAAAACAGCTATGCTGTCTGCTCCTCGCACTTGGGTCCGGCCCATGTCGCGCCTTAAGAAAGCCCGTCAACGATGAAAAAAACACCAGACGATCTCATGCCGTCCACCTTTGGCGAGCTTTCGCAGAGAGGACGAGACGCACACCTGAGTGTATAAATACTTCTCCATTCCGTGCCTTCTCTTTCCTCCAAGACAACAGCAATCCCACTGATGGTACTAAAACCCATGGAAATAGGCGTTATGCTGGGCCGAACTTGGAACCTGAAAAGAAAAGAAAAGATATTCCCGATTACACGTGCTGGTCTTTGGCAGAACAAAAATTGCAGAACATAGTTGGCCATGGTCTCCCCGAGGAAGCCGGCGCTGAGTCCTGACATGACCGGAGCGCACCGGTGCGACTACATCATCGAAGAGGAAATCCCGGAAATGCATACTAATAGACTTATTTGAAAACGCGGGGTGTTAACAAAAAAGACGAGCTATATCGTTACATGCCTGTTTCCTTCGCTGAGCTCTCGGAGAGACGATGAGGCAATGTGGGCGTGTGTAAATACTCTCCCTACCCTCTTCCCACCACAGCTTCACGACATCGCAGCTGCGACCGACAACACTAAACCCTACATCACCACGTCTTATGCGGAGCCTGCACTCTCTATAACAGATGGCCACGCAAATCCGCATGTTTGCCTGTGCGCCCTATTGCGGATCAACCATGGTACGGTCTGCCGAAACGATTCAAGGACGTCACTATGGGAACTGAGGCACCGGGGAACACGAACAGACATGGTACCTATGCTGCCTTCCTTCCGCGAGCTCTCCGTGAGAGGATGAGGGTTTCGGGGAGTATAAAAATCTCAGTCTCTACCTTCTAAACACCGTTTCTTTACACCATTCGTCTACACGAATATACAAAAAAGGACAGGATGGACCGCTATGTCGTGCGGCGTTGCTGCGTCTAAAGACGAAGGTGCTAGCAGGGAATGGCTTTTCCTAGTTCCGAAACCGAATTAAAAGTTTCTGGAGTTCTATCAAAACTCGAAAACTAAAGCGGCTATGTCCAGCCGAGATATCAGATGCGCATCTGGAACTGGAAATGCGTAGTACGTACACCTTAGCGGTCTCCACGCATTTGCCTCATGAGCGGCCCAAGCAGAGTTATGCATATCTCCTCTCCTTCATCTCCCCTCGCTTCGCCAAGCAACAAGGATGGCTATATAAAGCATCATTCCCTCCCTTCAACTCCTTCCCTCCACGCCAAACTGTGCCTCAAGCACCTTAAAATCAGCCCCCATTCATCTGATGAGCTGGCGGGCCTTCACCCTAAGAAAATCTCATCGTCAAATTATGTTTCCGCCTCGTTCTGAATAAGCCTCCAAATTCTTCACCTTTCTCTAAAATCGCGGAGCCGTTGACAAAATGTGCAGTTCGCCGCATTGGAGGTTACAAAAGCCAAAGGCCGAAAATGCGATGGAGTAGGCGGTCGGGGCTGGGGACTTTGAGCGTTCCTCACGCTCTGTTGAAGAAACGTCTTTTCGTATTTTATTCTGTTGTCTAACTTTTACCTGGAATGAGCCAGCTTCCTAGAAAGCTATATAAAGAGTCTTTTTCTCTCTGCGCTCGCTCACTCTCTCACTCACTCCACCATCGACTCCCAGGTCTCTAAAATGTCTGGGAGTAGCTTGAAATGCTCTGTCTTTCTGTGACTAAAAGGTCTGCTGCGGGTGCGGATGTGTCAGCAAAATCATTGTCAGCTCCGATGTCGCTCTCTGCTCCGCTGTCCTGTTCTAAGCGCGTACGAACTTGGACACTCGTGGCACATCTATACCCCAGACGAAGCCTGGGACTTAAAAACTATTATGTTCGCTCCCTGCCCCGGCTAGTCAGTGATGTCGGAATCCAGAATACGTATAAATAAAGCTCTCCTCTTTCTTCGCTTGCTCAGGTCTACTTTACGCCACGACACCTTCCTGCAGACTCTAAATTTCGCAAGAGGAAGACGACATGTCCTCGGACTGTGCCTGTTTCTAAAATTGAACATGTTTCCTGTACATGCTTTGCTGCTTGGAGCCTAGAGGAGACATCACCCGTACAATCGTTCTGCCGATCGAAAACAAAACTCTCCGAAACTATGCGGTCTCGAGCTTCCGTGTCAGGAATAATATAACCTGAAAAAAGGGGACATAAGTTTGCCGCTCAACTCCCTCCATGTGCGGCCTGGGAGTATATATAAATTCCACCCTCCATTCGACTTCGACCACCTCTCCACACTGCAACACCTTTTACAATCACTAAAACAGATGATAAATTGGATCTATGTCCGCTGCCCTCGCCTTCTCTAAAAACCCGACCCCAATCCAGCTATGTCCTCCCCGCCCCAAACCCCTCACACCACCTCACCACCGTCGCTCAAAACCGGACAACTCGAACTCCATGTGCCGGCCGGAAGTAAGCTTATGACTTAATCACCCACAAAAGCGGAAAGTGCTGGACCAAACGTGTGGTAGGACCGCGGCCGGAAAAAGGATCGGGACGGAAGAGATTTAGTATCCGATCCGATGCGCACCATCGACGCCGGATATGGACAACGCTGGGTGCGGTGGGGTTTATTAATCGGTGCTGACATTATGAGAGGGGATGAATAGGGCGGGTGGAAGTATTCCAAATGTTAGAATGGCGATGTATGGGTGGATAGGAGATCCTGTTGATCGTTAGTCAATGTTGCACAAGACCGACAGGAGTAAAGAATATAAGAGCTACCATTTCCACCAACTCAAAACCCACATCTTTCAGGAAAACTTGAAAAGCAGCACATTGCACCGTCTTAACCTCCTCTCCCACATACACACGCATCCCACATCCCAAGATGCCCGCCGTCCTCCCCAACCTCACTCGCCTACTCGCCGGCATCCCCGTTCCCAATACCCCCCTCATCAACGCCTCCATATCCCTAGCCCACGCGTCCCTCCCCACCGACGGCTACAACCACGTGATGCGCTCCTGGCTCAACGCCCAGGCCATCATAAACCACCTGCCTGCATCCAACCGCTCCGCCATCGACCAGGAGGCCGTCGGCGTGGCCGCCGTTCTGCATGATATGGGCTGGTAAGTTCGAAGCCTGAATATAAATACCTCTAGTGAACTGTATAAGAGCGCTGACGAGGGGCGTAAGGGCGTTTGACACCGCATTCGTATCCGAGGACAAGCGCTTCGAAGTCGACGGCGCAATGGCAGCTCGAGCATTTGTAGAACGCGAAGGCGGCCGCGCGTGGTCTAGCAAACACCGCCAGCAGCTCGTCTGGGACGCCATCGCGCTGCACACCACGCAGGACATCGCGCGGTACAAGGAGGCCGAAGTGGCGCTCGTCTCGGGTGGCGTGGTGACCGAGCTCGTCGGGCCGGAGATTGCCAAACAAATGTTCGGCGACTTGATTACTGTGACGCAGACGGAGTGGGAGCAGATTGTAGCGGAGTTCCCACAGCCGGGGCTGAGGGGGTATCTTAGGGGTGTCATGGTGCGGCTCTGTGGGATGAAGCCGGAGACTACGTATCAGAATTTTGTGGGGGATTATGGGGAGGAGTTTTTGGAGGGGTATGAGAGGGAGGGGCATAGGGACGTGGATTTGCTAGAGAGTGTGTTGCCGGAGTGAGATGGGGACGGGGGATATGGTATGAGGAGTGTGGGTGGGTGGCGAAGAAAAGGGGGCGCTGTACGGATTGAGAAGGCAAGAAGGAGAAGGGTTTGCTTCTTTAGACCGCAACGAAGAACTCTTTACACCTTACGAACCTCACTATTCCCATCAACACACCACCTAAGACCATCAATCCCCCCATTACCGTCAATGCAACCCCGAAGCCTCTAGCGTCGGCCAGAATAGCTGTAGCGCAGATTCCAGCGGCCGCCGAGATTCCCGCTAAAGTCGACACAAGATTGATCCGAGACACCATAGCCGGATGATACGACAGACCGCTCCAGTGGAAAACGGTAAGAACCTTGATATGCAGCGCCAGCAGCGGACCCAACGCACACCCATACGCGACACCACAGGTCGCTGCCGTGAGGAAACTAGGCATCCAGGCCGGAACGATGTAACCGACGCCAGCGACCATCGCAAAAGGTACATAAGCGTTGATCGGCCCGAGCAACCGCCTCGAGTACGGACGCACGAAGTAATTCGCAGTAACCATCGCGCACCCAAAGGTAATAAAGAGGACATAAGCGCCGAAATCAGGGAAATGGTTGGACGGCGGGCTCGACACGAGGAGCACGGTGAAGGTGGGCCACACGAAGAATCCAGAGAACAGGAGGAAGTAGCCGCCAAGGAACCAGAGCATGCCTTTCTCCTTGAGGATCCTGTGGCGTGGTGGGTCGTCCGACGGCTTGAGGAGTTTGTACCCCTTGGACTTGCGGACTTGCTGGAAGGCGAGGAGGAGGGTCGTGCCGCTGAGGACTGTGTTCATCCAACAGAGGGAAAGATGCTTGCTGGAGCGCAGACATGTCCATGCAATGAAACTGTAGAAAAAGGCGCCGAACATAGCAACAGTCCCGCTTTGCATGGACGCTAGAGGGACGTTGTTCTTGTAGTGCGACGCGAGGCACAACAGCACCATGCCACGGAGAATGCCCAATGCCAGACCCATGATGCCACCCTGGACGAGTATCAACAGCCACACTTGTTTGCAGTAGTGAAGAGCGATCTGGCAGGCGGTGACCGCGAAGCCAGCCAGGAAGATCGTTGCGCGCCATCTTGCTCGCTGATAGAGCCACTGTGCCGGAAAAGCCATCAAGAAAATGCACAGGATTTGAATGGCGATTATGGCGGACAGCTCGAGAAGCGAAGCTTTGGGGAACATGGTAGTGTAGTAGTATTCCAAGTAAGGCCCGAACGAGAGCGGGATGCCGTATACGTTGAAGACGATGAGGGCTTGGGCCGTGTATGCATGGATCCGATGCTTCCATTCGCCTCCTTCGCCATCCTGGGGCGTGAGCCCGTGGACTTGGGTTGCCGCTTGAGACGCCGAAACGGTCGCTAAGGATTTTGAAGTATGCGTCGAGCGTGTCTGAGAACTGGCGGACCCCATGGCGAGGACAAAATGAGGTCGAAACCTTGCACGTAGGACGAGTTGGGCTCGTTGTGTGACGAACTTGGCGGATCCCAAGCAAAAGTGTGAAGGAAGAGCGATGAAAGAGCATGATAAAGGGGTCGCGAGAAAGGGAAGGAAGGCGTTATGAGAGCCGGAAATGTAGCTGATCGCTTCCGACAAACACGCATATCGAGCTGGCGTGGCTTTTGGAGGAGGTTCATGTTGAATGTGACAGGGAAGGGCGGTCCAAACACTGGGAGAGTGTAGTGAAGTTCGCTTCCGCGGAACCCGTGAATGCACGAGGAAAGCAGTGTCCTTTGGGGGTTGACTCGAGTACTCCCGCTCGGAACTCAAGGAGCCACCCAGGATTCGAAGGGGTCTGGCTGCTCACTTGGGTAACGTAGTTATAATGGTGTGTTTTAGAGAGAGACGACAGAAAATTTCACTTGAGACTAGAGGTGCAAGATATCAAGGAAAGAAAGGAGAATCCCACTACCTGAGACCCTCAATGCCGACAGAAATCCCTCTTTTCAGATGCCGAAGAGAAGCAAAACCACATACACAGGCATAAGAACGGGCCTTATCCGTAACGCCGTTGCGGGAAATAACTCGAATCCCAATACGAAGAAATATCCACGAGATAGACGGGTATCTCAGAAAATGCCGTTCACAATCTTGCCGCCAATGGTCGCACCGGCGCCAAAGATAGCAGCGTTCCCCAGCTTCTTGCCAAACTTCTTGCCTCCCTGTTCCATCTTGCTGGGCTCATGCGGGCCGCCATTCTGCTGGGCGCCATTGGAAACATCCAAAGGCATATTTCCATAGTTGCTAGGTGCCGGGCCTGGCGATGGGGCCGGCACAATAGCCTTCTCCTCTCGGCGCACGTAGCTAGCGGGGAAGATGCCCTCTTGTCCGGTGCGCTCGTTGGAGCCCTTCCACCACTCGTTATTCATGTATTCCGTCACGACGACCTTGTCGTTCGGCAAGAGCGCAAGGTCGCCGGCATCTTGAGCGTTGTACTGGTACAAGGCGGTAGCGTGGCAGAGCGCGGGAGGGCCGACGGGGGCAGCTGGCGGTGTCGGGTATGCAGGTGGGGGCGGGTTCGCGGCGGCGCTGTCGGCGTAGTATCCGATGTTGCCGTTCTTCTTCTCGGGCTCTGGCGTCTTCGATACGTTCAGGTTGGCGAGTTGCTGCGTAGGCACGGCGGGGAGGGCGCGGCCGGACGAGGCAGCGGACGCGGGGAGCTGGTTGATGATGGTATCGTACTGTTGTGAGGTGATGACATTGGCGTCGACGAGGAATTCGAGCTCCTGGAACACTGTGAGTACTCGGCTACCTGCTCTACGCTTCTTCACGTACAGTCTTGATCACCCTCAGCGACCGGTTGGTCATCGCATGGCTGAAGCCGTCGGACATGGTGGAGGTGTTTCGGGGGTATCAGAAAGCCAGTCGCGTGATGAGCGTGAAAACTAAAGAAGCTTTATTGCGACAACGATAGCGCACTGTGCAAGAGATGCGCAATGTGAGTCTGGATTGTCCGCGGTCAGAGAGTGGTGAGGGGGTGTTCTGGTGCTGGTGGAGAGAGGTGATCCTTCGGTTTCGCGGCAGCGAGGTTGCGGAAAGGTTCACGGGGCTGTGCCGCACTAACCAATTGTGGACGTTGGGGCTGTGCTTTATATTGGCTCCCCAAGTTCGTGACGGCGAATTCTCCTATTCACAGGTTGCACTATTCCTTCAATCCGAGAAGCCTTGTGCGATGAGATCTGTTCTTCTTTTGCGTTGACTACTGGTGCTGCTCAAAACATCCAGGGTCCACTTACTCCAACCACCCGGCGCCCTGGTTCAATGGCCTCGCTGCTTGGACATCTGCACCATTCCCTGGAACATTTCCTGACGCGTCTTCTCGAATTTCTCGAACGCATTCTCTACGAAGCCCACCGGAATCTGCTCGTCTCCTCTCACAAGCTTGGCCCATGACTCCTCCGTGAACTGGTCCAGCGGCATGCCCATTGATCGACCGTTCTTTATATCAGGCTGGTGCTTCTCATCGTGCAACTCGGTCTGCACGGCTGGCGGGAAGATTTCGATGACCTTGATGTTTCCAGGCCCATCCTTCAACTGTTCCCTGAGACAGAGAAGGAAGTGGTGTAGCGCCGCTTTTGAAGCGGAGTAGTTCAGGCGCATGAGCAGAGGGATCAGCGCGAGTCCGGATGAAGTGTATATGAGGGCCGTCTCATTGTCCTGCTTCTGTAGGTGCGGGATGAAGGCCTTCGTGAGGTGGATGTAGGATATGTAGTTCGTATTGAACTCCAACTCCAGGGCCGACAAGTCGACAGTATCCGGTTGGGCGAAGTTGAAGCCGCGTTGGATACCAGAGTTAATAATAACGCAGTCAAGGTCCGGATGTCGGCTCGTGATATCGACCGCGAACTTGGGGATCTCGCTGAGTTTGGTAATGTCGAAAACGACGGCTTCAGCCTTGTCTTTACCGTGCTTCGTCACGAACTCGTCCAGGTTCTCTTTCCTCCTCCCGACGACAATAGCCTTCTTTCCATCTCCGACCACTTTCTCCGCATACGCCAGGCCGATACCTGACGTGGCACCGATGACGAGGACTTTGTTGTACTTGAGGGACATGATGGAACTTTGCTGAGGTAGTATACTGCTCGAAAGGTTCTCTTGGCCAGGCTGCGGATTTATATACTGCGAGGAGAGCCTCAGGCGTGGCAGCATATTACGAAATACGAGCCGAATGCGATAGATTGTGCCCTTCGTCTTGCATGTGGCACTGCAGTTGGCGAATGAGATACTCCACGTTGCTTCCACCAAACCCAAAACGTCCAGATGGTGATGGTAGTCGGAGATATCGCAATATTCTGCTCCGATATCTCTTGATCTCGAGAGCCTCAACCAAAAGTACTTGGGTAGAATATTCAGTGCGGCAATGTGGGGTTCATGATGACGTGCAGAATTGAATAGCTCGTCGGCAGTTGTGCTCGAAGGTCATGCTTGTCTGAGCCCAAGACGAAACATGCGGAAATCTCCGAATGATCTCGCTTTCGATGTCTATCAACAGTACTATAATGTATGTCAGGTATACATAATGGGGTCCCTGCAGAACGTGTCTCGTCCCAAAGGGGTTTAGCACGATCTACTAGGTAGGGAATCCATCGTTGGGGCCTTCAGCACTCCCCTCCACACCATCAACGGCATCGCATCACCAATGGACGGGACAGGCACCCTTCCTCCTTTATTAGCGCAAAAGACATGTGTGCAGTGCAAATCCAGCAAAAAGAAATGCGACAAGCTCCTTCCCGCTTGCAGCCGATGTCTGAGGTACTGCACGCACAGAAGTCCATCAGCCGAGTCGGACATTCCGCAACCGCTAACAACGGATTGCAGGCTTTCGCTAGGATGCTCGTACCCTGAGCGAGACAGGCAAGACGAGTCTGATGTCAACTATCACCGCAACGACTCTCGTTTCGATGAAGTTTTCCGGCGACTCAATACAATCGAGGCGCATGTCTTCTCAAGGGGGGAGGGCCATAGAAGGACTCCCGCACAAGAAAAGTCTCCCGCAACACTGTCCGAACCAGAAGGAGCACGGAATCCGCTGTCTTTGGCTGTAAATCCAGAGACTCTCGAACCGCAATATTTGGGCCTCGTTCTCTGGGCTAGCGTCGTGCGAGCTCTGGACGAGCATGAGACGAATATTGCAGCGACTGCTCAACAATATTTCGCATCAACGCACAAGTGGTTACCTATAATAACTCAGGCCAAGTTTGAGAGGGAACGACTCAAGCATTTCGACAACTTCCATATATCGCAATCATCGGACAAATTCTTGCTCATAGTTTTCGCTATGCACCTTGTAGTCACGCCCATTTCCCAGCACCCTCAGGCGGAGTCGATTACTCAATCTATTTGGTACCGGACTTGCAAATACCATTTTGCACAGCATGTTGCTCTTAGCCACCCGAGCCTCGAACTGATACAAGCAGGCATGCTGATTGCCCTGTTTGAGCACGTCCAGTGCGTAGAGCAGCGCGCGCTCACAACACTGGGGATTTGCGTGAGGCTTGCCTACGACCTTGAGCTGGATGAAGTCGTGGCAAGGCAATCTAGTCGAGGTCCAGGCGAGATGGTTTTAGAAGAAGAAGAGATAGTGCTCACTTGGTGGGGATTGAGCCGCTTGGAAAGGTGAGATTGTGCTAGCGCTGCCAACACTTCTAAACTACCCTTCAGCTGATTCCATGTTGAGCTTTGTCTGATGAAATTTCAGATATCTCAATATGCCTCCATTGGCGATTCCGAAGCAGCCAAGTCTGCCTTTTCAGTCATACAAGGACAGCATCGACAACCACCGCGTATTGCAAGGCCCGCCCATGGTCGGCTTTAGGACTCTTGATCCGAACACAGTTGAAGCCCATATTTTCGAGCTCGAAGCTGTTCGTAAGCTAGCTCGCGTGCAAGCCTTGGTTCGCGATAGCCGTCATTCCTCGTCTTCTTCATTCCTAGATGCAGCACACCTTTCGCAGAGAGAATTGGAACAATATCTGACGATGATGAAATTAAGAACACGCGATACCGGCTCATGGTCAGGCGTAGCGGTCGCTCTATGGTACAGTGACCGTTCCTTAAGATGGCTGGACTGAGCTGACGCGTTGGCTGTAGCGCAGGGTTACAACTTCAATGCTTCTATGTCGAAAAGCAGGGCTCAGTTGATGAAGATACAATGCTGTCGATCCATTCATACATTGACCGGATCAGAAACGTTTTTTGTCAGTGTCAGGTATACAACGGCTTCACGGATAACTACTTGGGTATCCAGCCATCCTGGGCATCGGTAGCATACCAGGCCCTAAGTGCCTACAGAATCATACGGTCTGCCGACTCTCAACACATATTGCCGGAAATCGACACTACATGTTTCTTGGAAGCATTACAAACGATGTCGGCACGATGGAAATTTGCAGGTGCGTAATGAGTTCTTTTCGCCCAGTCTCCATACACAGGCTAAAATTTTCTATAGAAAAATGTTTGCAACTCCTTGGGCTGAAATAGGGGGCTGGAGCATGCTTAGTTCTTACCTCCAACCGTCTTCCAAGCCTCTTCCATGCTGAGCGTTTTAATGTCTGGGAACATATCGTTCAAGAAAGCACCATCCCGGAATGAGAACGCGCCTTCTTCCATCCACAACCCGAAACGTGCATTCATACCTTGCACCATTGGTTTGGCCACCGCCTCTCCGCCGAACTCCTCATACGCTTTTTTGTGGCCAGGCAGCTCTGTGATCTGGCCCTTCTCCAGCTTCTCGACGGGATCGTACGAAACGACGAACTTAACCCCCTTCGCCTGCTCAGCGATTGCGACCACCTCGTTCCAAGTTTTGCTGTCTCCGACGGTGAAGTACTTCTGCTCCCACTTTTCCAGGCTCAGGAGCTCGGCTACAAACTTGGCGATGTCGAACGTGTAGGTGAACGTGATGGGAACATTTCCAGACCCCGGAATTCCAGCAGCATTTGCATCGACATCTACAGCGATCTTGTGCCTAGTGAGGTGCGTCGGGAGTCCTGTAACATAGTATTCAAGGAAGATTCCTGGGTAGATGACAGTCCATTCAAGGCCGGTCTTCGACAAGGCATCCATGACCTGCAGCCTGAGTGCCGCAAATGGGAAGATCTGGGCATACCTGTATGCAATGTTCAGAATGGTAGCGCTATCTAGGAATGCTGGCGATACTCACTCGGGCTTATAGACGACAGAGCTCCACACGTTCGGGATGAAGCGCTTGGTCATCTTCGAACGATCCGCTGCTTGGACTAGGTTCAACTCCGGCGTGGTATCCATTCCAGCGTTTAGGACGGAGACGACGGTTGATATCTTGTTCTCCTCGAGCATGTTTACCATTGAGTCTGGGTTGGAGTAGTCGGTGGCGAGGACCCGGACGCCCGTTTCTTCTTCAAGCGTGGGATTGGCCTACATGACGGTCATTAGTCCTATGCGAAATGGTCGTCGGGACATGACAGGGGACGAAGGGGGCGTACTTTACGAGCCAAGATCACCACTTCATACCGACTGTCGGCTTTCAGCACATCGACGATGGCCCGGCCAAGGCCACCGGAGCCTCCTGCGACAGCAATGACGGCGGACATAGGGAAGTTCTTCCTAAGTTTGGGTATAGAGTTGAAAGCGGGGTAGTAGTCTGGTGCAGTGGTAAGAGTAGGATGCTCGGATGGTGGATAGTCGATCAACGAGCTCGACGACCTTTTATACCACGCATCTTCCGGTCGTCGTCCCCGTCTTTTTGCGCGAAGCTTATGCCCGTCTATACGGACATAACACGATATGCCTCAAGGATAGCGAGAGATTCTTGGCCGGACGAATATCTGTGCTTGGCGTTCAAGGGGACTTCCCAATGAGGATTATGTGACGCGGCGGCTCCAGCGGCCGCCGACCCGCCAGCGACCCGCCAGTCTCGGAGCGCCAGCAACGCTTCCCAGTACCACGAGAAGGAGCACAGCTCTTCTCCTCTGAACGGCCCCTTGAAGCCGGGTTATTACTTTGGCTTTGACTGCATCCGGTGGCACATGCAGTGTCCCTATGAGCTACTGGATGCTTATTAGTTAAACAGAAGTATGCACCACCACTCGTAACACGACGTCCGCTCGCTCCCGTACATGGCATCTGAGCAAAGTGTCTATGGCCATTTCCTTGCACTACCTTCTATCGTACTCTTTTCACAGACTGATGGCTCAGCTCGGAGGTTCTGTTCGGATGCAAGATGGCGTACCGTCGGCCCGTGTGATTGGTCGGTTCAAGCGGCTTGCGAGCATCCGTCCCGCCGCCATCTGTACAACCTTGTCTCCTCCTTATGGTTCCCTCGGTGCTCTCAACGTTCATCAGTAGTACTCCCTGAAACGGAAATAGCTGTCGCAGCTCCGCTTATTCCTAATCGGCCGCGGACACGCCTCGGAACTCATCCGCCAATAACGGGTAGTGGCCATCTCTACGCAGAAACCCGTCTTGAGATCTCTCGTTACCTACTCTTCCGTGCCTTCGTACAACAGCACCCCACATGAGCAAAGAACGATGGCGAAAACATCAGTAGTGGTTCCGCGGCACGCTTCCGCTATGCTCACCAATCCAGACCAATCTTGCTGTGGTTAGTTCCTTCGCCCTTCGCCAACCTTGGAACCGATCGTGACCCCACTATGCAAATACAGCTAGCTCAGATCCACACCCCTACAAGTACAAAAGGATTAAGCCGCTCGACGAAGGAGTTCGCCGCCACTCTTAACACTTTTTGTTGCTGAGCGTCGTTGGTGGAGATGACGCCGGATTCTAGAAGAGATGGGATTCTAGAAGAAGATAAAGAAAAAGATGAAGGCAACATATCGGCGCTAGAGGAAGAGGCCGAAGTAGTGCAAGCCCAGCAGCCGTTGAGCAGCAAAGATGAAGAGGAGGCTGCGAGATCGGAGGGTAACGGGAGCGGATTACCATTTTCCAAAGCGAGGTGTATTGCGTTAGTTCTGACAGTTACGGGAGCTGCCTTTCTAAATGTATGTCTGAGAGAGAGATATCTGGAATGGATGCTGATGTGAGACAGACCTTGGGCGTCCAATCCTCGGTTATCATTCTCCCGACGATTGGCAGAGCGCTCGATATCCCGGGTAGTCGTCAGCAATGGATTGTTTCGGCATACAACCTTACCTTTGGTTGCTTCCTAGTATGTCCGACTTTAAGTCCGACTTTCTTAGAACGGAACACTTGTTGACGGGTACTGCAGCTTCTGTGGGGTCGCTTGGCAGATGTCTATGGCAAACGACTCATCTTCATCTTCGGTTCTGCCTGGGTTACCGTCATGTCGATTATCATTCCTTTCATCCCGAATGAGATTGGATTTGATGTTCTGCGAGGGTTCCAGGGGCTAGGAGCTGCGGCGATGGTGCCTACTGCCATTGGTATCCTGGGCGTTACGTTTCCTCCTGGGAAGGCGAAGAATTATGCGTTCTCATGCTATGGTGCGTTGTTAGCATCTCTTTCATGAAAGGCCACTCCTGTTGACGAAAAACAGGTGCTGGAGCGCCCTTGGGTGGCATATTCGGAAACATCTTCGTGAGTCCATCGTCTCATGACCGAAAGGGCCAAATGATGCTAACCACACCAGGGTGGTGTACTCGGCGAATACTTGAACTGGCGCTGGGTCTTCTGGATCTACGGCATCCTCGCCGCTCTCTGCACGATAGCCGGCATCTTTGTCATCCCGTTGCCACCCGTGCAACGCGAACCCCGAATGCGCAACACAGTTGACTGGATCGGCGGCACCATCATCACCGTTGGCCTCGTCATTCTGCTCTTCGCCCTCTCCGAGGGAAACGTCGTGGGCTGGAGCACTCCCTGGGTTCCCACTCTCATCGCCGTCTCCATTTTGCTCATCATCGCCTTCGGCTTCTGGCAGCAGCATCTGGAGACCAAGACGGAAAAGCGCCCGTTGATGAAGATGTCCATCTTCAAGAATGTCAAGTTCACTGCTGCGAACGTTATCATGCTGCTGTTCTTCTCGTCCTTCAACAATTACCTCATCTACGCAACGTACTGGTTCCAAGACTACCAAGGTCTCTCAGTCATCCAGACGACAATCCGCTTCATCCCAACCGGTGTAACAGGAGGCAAGTGCTCCACCCCCAAAATTCCCCATGGGGATAAAGTCTAACAAACCCGCAGTCCTCGTAGCCTTCGTAACGTCCCAACTCCTCTCTCGCGTCCGCGGCGACTTCATCCTCTCCTTCGGCATAACCAGCGTCTCGCTCTCGTCCCTGCTCTTCGCCATCCCCATCCCGACGCACACAACATACTGGGCCTACGCCTTCCCCGCCATGGTCCTCTCCGTCTGTGGCGCCGACACGCTCTTCCCCACTCTCACCCTCTTCGTCGCGAAGAGCCTGCCGCCGGAGGACCAGGCGCTCGGCGGCGCGCTGATCAACGCCGTGGGTCAGATTGGGAGGGCGCTGGGCCTCGCGATTGCGACCGCGGTGCAGACGGCGGTTGTTGCGAGGGAGAAGGGGGTTAGTGTAGATCAGATTGGCGGGGAAGGGCATGGGCTACGCCCTTGGGATGAGGCACTTAAGGTGGGGATTAGGAGTACGGCGTGGCTGAACTTTTCGCTGGGGGTGGCGGGGTTGGGTGTGGTGTTGCTGTTCTTCAAGGGGGCGGGGCCGGTTGGGGGCAAGCATTAGTCTGAAAAGCGAAAGCAAGCATAGCATCAATAGACGAGACTTGTCAATACTTCGAAAACAGTCGAGACCTCTGGTATCAGCATACGCACTCCTGCGTCTGAGTAGCGTTCTGAATGCCCACGTGTTGCGATGGTACGCTAGTTTCAAAAAGGCATGGCTTCCGCGCTAACCTCTCTAACGAAACTCGATCTCCATCCATCCATCCTTCTTTCTCTTAATCCCCTTAAGCACACGCCCTCTCGAAATGCGCCGCCGCATATTACTTCCACCGATCGGGCCGAATGCGTGCTGACCGATGCGTCGGGCGTTCGGTGACGGCACAGGGCGAAGACTAGGATGCCTGCAACTTCTGGCTGACGAGCGCCGTAATGCTGCAAAGCAGACGGAATTGGATGTCCGAACCCTCCGCTATAGTAATAATGGAGGTGAAGACCAGTAGGACCTTGCTATCTGCGACACATACAAATGGATCACTGCCAATGAGGGCCGGCCACCTTGACAGCGTCCGGATCCCCAACTGTCGTGTCACCCCTCTCACCCTGAGATTATGCCTAGCTTCTCAAATGTAACTATATAACGGGTAGGCTGAGAATGCAGGCCTGATTTCTTTGGCGCATCACGATCGGAATTCAGAGCTGGTACACAAGGATTGAGAAGATGAAGGTTTTGATCATTGGGGCGGGTATGCAAGTAGCTCGCACAGATGAGCCCCCCCACGGCTGATAGACCTCAGGACCAGCTGGATGCGCTCTGGCGCACGGCTTGAAGAAGGTATTTAGCACCACGCACTACGCTGGACCTCCACCATCCATCGCATCTGAGAACCTACCCTAACGCAAAACGCCAGGCCAACATCCCCTTCTCCATCTTCGACAAAGGCGAAAACATCCACCGCAACCGCCACTGGGCCTTCACACTCGGCTGGGCGCGCCCCTACCTGCTGCAACTCCTGCCCGACCATCTCGGAGCCCAGATCAACTCTTGCCAAGTCGATCCCAGCATCGACTGCGCGGCCATCGGCGAAGACAGAATCGTGCTGTATAATGGCCAGACGCGCGAAGAAGCGTTCACCTTCCCCATCCCGCGGGCAAGCGAGCTGAACATCCGGAAGCTGCGGATTCTGCTGTCGCAGGAGCTGGACGTGCAGTACAACAAGAAGTTTACGCGGTATGAGCTCCTCGAGGACGGAAGAGGAGGAGGCGTGAGAGTGCATTTCGAAGACGGGACGAGCGAGGAAGGAGACGTAGTCGTTGGCGTCGACGGCGCCGGTTCGAAAATGCGACAATGCCTCCTCGATCGCGCTGCCGCAGCGGATATCCTTCCCTTTGCGCTGATGAACCTTCACGCCTCCTACACCCCCGAGCAGGCCCTGCACATCAAACAGCAGCTCCATCCACTCGTCGACATAGCTATCCACCCCGCGGGCCACTACATCCGGACCAACGTGCTCGATATGCCGGACGAGAAAGACCCGAGTACGTGGACGTTCCAGATCCTGTCCACGTGGGCACTTACGAATGTCGAGGACTACGATAACGAGGGCAACAGAGTGAAGCGGCTGAAGGCGCTTGTGGAGAAGTTGGGCTGGGCAGAGCCGTATAGGAGTGTGATCGAGTGGATTCCTGAGGGCACAGAGGTGCTGAGGGATCAGTTGAAGATTTGGAAGCCGGTGAGGTGGGATAACCACCGGGGGCGAGTGACGCTGTGCGGGGATGCGGCGCATGCGATGACTTTCCGTGAGCCTATACGTATCGCCCCCGCGCTTCTTGGGATGCTAATCATGGTATAGACCGCGGGCAAGGCGCCAACAACGCCCTCTACGACAGCTACTGCTTCGTAGAAGCGATGAAAGCCGCCCAAGCTGGTACACCGCTTGAACAAGCGATCAGCGAGTACGATGAGAAGGTCCTGAAGCGAGGGCAAGAGGAGGTCCAGATCTCAAAGGCTCAGACCTTCTTCACGCACGACTGGGAGAACTTCATCAATAGCCCCGTGGTCACGCTGGGGACTAGGCCGAGTCACGGGGCGAAGAGCGAGGGCTATGAGAAAGAATCGCCGGTGAACTAGGCGTCTACCTACAGTCGTGTATCGTAAGTCGTTATGAAAGCATGTTCCTACGCTTCCTCACCGCCAGAGCGCTCGCATAACGCATCCACCATTCCAACCACCCTTCTAACCTTCCACCCTCCCTCCTCACTCACTAACCCCCCTCCCCACCGCAAAACTCACCCCCGCCCCAACAATCCCCCTCACAACCCCCACCTCCCCCTCATCCCTCGGCGCCCAAACCATCACCCAGCTGCTCGGCGCCAACCACGGCACCGGAAACCTAACCCCCCACCCGCTCTGCACCACCAACCGTGCATCCCTTGGAGCCAGATAAACATGCAGCGAGCTATCACTCGGATGCACATGCGCGACCTCATAAAAAATCTTCCCCGCATCCGGATTCATCCCCTCCACGTCTGGCTTGACGTAGATCGCCGCGCCCGTGCCGCCCTCGGTTTTGCTGGGGCCGGTGCTGATGTACGGCGCGTAGGCGGGGGAGGCGGCGACGTCGTGCATGAGAGAGGCGAGCAGGGCGGAGGCGCCCGGGGTGATGGGCGTGCGGTGTTGGCGCTGCGGCAGTGTCCAGCGCGTGGTGGCGGGACGGGGGCCTGGGCGCGGGGGGAGAGTGCTGGGGGAGAGGTAGGAGGGGCCGGTGTTGGGGATGGGAGAGGCGTCGAACAGGTTTTGCCGCTGGAAGAGAGAGAGGTAGAGGCCCCAGCGTCGGATTTTGAGATAGCCGCGGAGGGTGGGGGGTGTGCCGCCTGTTCCTGCGGGAGGTTAGTTGGGGGCAGGGGGGTTGAGAGGGGATGGATAGATGGGTAGATAGAAGAGCGTGTTGCTTGGGGATGGGTGAATTGTGATTCTTGGACGTACCGAAGCGCTGCCAGCTCTTGAAGTCGTACCAGAAGGCTGCGGATGCTAGGGCTAGTCCGGCTATGAGCCATTGCAATTGCGTCGCCATAGCGGATGCGATTCGAACCGCGAGAGACAAATGCAAAGAAAGTTGATTCAATTTCTCAAACAGAGTCAGACTTCTGCGCGTATCTACTTAAACATTGTCAGTCTCTAGTCTGCAGGAGGGCATCGCGCGAATGTCAGCCTTACCTACCTACCAAGAATCAGATAGTAACCACGCTAGCGCCCGTCCTCGAAGATGCGCGAAAGCAGAACGCAGATCAAGTTTCGTAGGCTAGGATAACATTCCCACGCTCTTCAAGCTGCTTGAGTTTCTTGCGCGCTACGTTTTGCTCTCGCGGAAGGCTGTTGGCATGACGGAGGGGTCGATGCATGCAGATGTAGGATCGGGACGGACGGACGTCGGGTCGGAACCTTTCTTTCTTTTCCCTGTAACGAACAAACACGGCTCTCCACACTTTGTTGCAACACCACTCCGCAGTCGAAAATAAAGCGGGGCGGGGAACGGCTCGGGTCTAAAAGTTATGCAGGTGGCACTTGTACTTGTATCCTATGGACCTACTTCCTTCAATGGGTGGAAGAAGGCAGGTAGGTTCTGACTAAGACTACCTACCTACGCCGTCCACGTTCTGAGCGCATGCTGTGAGTGGGGTATCCGATGCATGCATAGCCGTATATAACAAGGAGCCTTGAACTTGTTCTGCTCGTCCATGTTGTAGAATGCTATTGCGGGGTATTGCAAAAGGTGTCTATCAAGTGCTGCCTACCAAAACCGTGTCCAATCATGTGGCTGCAACGAAGAAGTGGGTGTTGTGACCTCTCTGGGGTATGTACGCCTACTCCGGTGGCTGGAAGGGCTCGACAAGCATCTCGCTGAATCTAAACATCACGTCAGTATTGGTCTTCCTAAGCAAAGAATCCAGTCAAACTCACTTTTCCAACCTGTCCTTCCCCCGCACCTCCTCAACCAGCAGCGGCATCTTGACCACATTAAACTCATCATACAGCTCCTCGATCTGATCAATGTACTTCTTCTGCATCTTCCTCCTTGCATTACACTGCTCGCACGGATTATCCTTCTTCGGAAACAGCAGCTGGTTGACCACAATCGCATGCGTATCGATCTCATAGCTATTCAGCTCCTGGATCATGCGCTCCGTCTCGTACAGCGACAGGAACTCCGGTATGCAGACGCACACGAACGTCGTCAGATCCGCGTCCTTGAACTGCCCGTTCACCTCTGCGATTGTGGCCCGCAGCGACTCCATCTTCTCGACCAGCTCGTCGATGTTCTGCCCGTTGGGCAGGCGTCCGCCGCCGCCGAGAAACGAGTTTAGCATCGGTCCGAACTGGCGCGAGAGCTGTGACACCTTGGCGAGCGCTTTCTCCATGACGGTCGGGAACTGTAGGAAGCGGAGCGTGTGGCCGGTGGGTGCGGTGTCGAAGATGATGACTTCGTAGGAGAGCGACTTGACCTGCTTAAGGACTTCGGCAAAGGACATGGCTTCGTCTACGCCGGGTATCTATAATCATGATATGTTAGTATCAGCCTGCGCAATCCCCTCATGATTTCCGCCGTGCGCAAAGGTCTATGCCACTCACACTGAAGGCCAAATCCTGCATCATATTCCCCATGCCGCCGAGCCCTGCCATCGCGTCCTCCGCGCCCTCACCCCCAGCCGCCAGCAGATCCTGTATACTGCCGTTCGGGTCGATCTCCATCGCGCTCAAGTTATCGAACCCATTTACCAGCCGCGCATCCTTGCCGAACTTCTGGTTGAAGGCGTCGCTGAGATTGTGCGCCGGGTCCGTCGATATCAGCAGCACTGATTTCCTGTGCTTCGCGAGCTGGATGGCGAGAGAGCAGGATGTCGTAGTCTTGCCTACGCCGCCTTTGCCACCGACGAATATCCAGCGCAGCGTCTTCTGATCCAGGATGGGCTGGAGCGTGGGCTCCATGACGTCGTCGTCGAGCACCACTGCGTTGGCCATGGCGTTGGATTTTGGAGGACGGAGGGGGAGGAGAGAGTAAAGGTGCCCGTGTGCGCGATCCTAGAGTTACTGCAACTCTGGCTTCAACTTGCAGAAGGTTCGGGAAGCTCCCGAGCGGTAGGTGCGGTTTTGCGCCACGGGGCGCTTCCAGCGACGATTGCTGGCGCGAATGTAGTGGAAGGAATAGCTCGGTTAGAACGTCCAGACGGCGAGCGAGGAGAAGCGACCAGAGTGCGGGGTTTCAAAGTTGGATTGCGCAAGGTGTAAGAAATATGCTACAGTGGCAGGAGGCTCAAGTCAAATCCCGGTTGTGGTCACTGCGTCATCCCGCCGCCACATTGTGGCGCCGACCATTCTCGGTTGCCAACGCCGAGCATCACTTTGTCATTGCATCGTGACGGAGACAACTGTACAAGTACATGCATAGTACGCTATCTAGCCTATCGCCAGAGAAAAGCCCCTGTCGCAATTCAAACGATCAACACTTTAGTGCAGAACACATGAAGCCTCGCCCACGACCGATGCAGGAGACCCAAAACCTCCATCTTGACCATAATACGCCAGAACGCCTTTCATTGCATGCTGACGCGTCGAGGAATGCCTACTGACATTGCAAGACCCGTCAGCAAGCCTTATTAAGAACACTTATTTCTTTTTGCCCTTGCCCTTGGACTTAGCTGGGGCAGAGCTATTAGAGACGACGCTCGTCGCTCGAGACGTCGATACCGAAGCCGGGGATGCTTTACCCTTGACAGAATCCAGCTGCTTGTTCTATGTTGTGTGAGTTGACAGGCTCGCAAGGTCATACTTGGCCAGCACGTACCTTGACGCCGTTCTTGGCCTTCTTCTTCACGGGGAGCTCTTCTTCGTCTTCAGACTCTTCGTCCTCAAGGGGACGCTTGCCTTTGCCGTTCTTCATGTCGCCGTCACCAAGCTCTCGCACGACCGTCTGAATGAGGGTGTTGCATCGACGGCCAATCTCCTGCGGCGTCCGGCTAAGGAAGAACCAGTCAAAGCGGAAGAGGGCTGACTCTCGAATCTCCTCACGGATCTTCTCGTAGATGGCATCGCCCTCCACGCCATGCTTGTTCAGCATGACGAGCAAGAACCGGTCCTCCTCCTCGGTGTAGACCTTCTTGTTCGTCGTCGACACTGTGTACTTGATTGTCATGTTCTGGAGTGGCATCCGGTACATGCTGATCTTCTTTGCCAACAGCCGTTTCTTCTCCTCAGAGGCGCGCGCGCGAGCCTCGCCCTCTTCAACAACATTGATGTGCTTTTGCCAGTTGTCGAGAGTCTTGTATTTCTTCCAGAAGACCTTGGCATACTCCTCGATTTCGTCCGCCGTCTTGCCGTCGACCTCTTCTGCAATGCCATCGTAGTTCGTTCGGCCGTACTTAGCTGAGCCGTTCAGGAATTGTTGGAAGTCTCGCTTGTTCCACTCTGGGAAACCCTTGGCAATCAAGCGCTCCTTCTCCGCCTTCTCTTCTTCCGTCAACGGCTCGGCATTGTCGATCTCCTTTTGAGCGAGTTCCTGGTCGGCTTCGCGAGTCTCGAGATCCTCATCAGGTCCTTCGGGGAGAGGGGCCTTGATGTTATTCTCTTTTCGGTACCAGGCTGTCTCCTTGTCCTGTAGCTCGGCCAACTTTTCTGGGAAGAACTGGTAGTCGTGGATTACGACTTGCTTAGGCGCGCGAGGAACCCTGGGCTGCTTCGACTCCGTCCGTCCACCAGTCATGAGGGCCTGCCGATAGTACTTGTCCATAGAGTATCCGATTTCTTTACGTTCGCGCTTGGATGGATTAATCCAGCTAAGCCCAATGTCCTTCTTCCGGGGCTGGAAAGTCTCGCCATTCCACTCATAAGTAGAATCCGAAGTGAACTTCTGAAGGTCGTCGAGTCCAAGCTTCTCGTACTTGTTGTTGAGCTGTTGGGTCCTCTCCTCGCCGCGCTTGAGTATCGCCTCGAAGGCATCGTCGGTAATGTCTCCTGATCCGGAGGCTGGGCCTAGTGGGCCTTGCGAGTTGAATACCTTCTCAGCGCCGTGCTGGATCATCGTGAGGAGCTCGTCCTTGGAAGCAGCGTTCTTGACAGGCTGCTGCGTTCGGCCCTGTTGGATGACTAGCTGATCAAGGCGCAGCTTCTGCGCCGCTCGCTCCAAGACCTTCTCCTCGATCGCGTTCTCGGTGACGAAACGGAATACCATAACCTGCTTGGTTTGGCCAATCCGGTGAGCACGGTCCATGGCTTGGAGATCAGCCTGCGGGTTCCAGTCGCTGTCGAACAGGACAACAATATCTGCGCTAGTCAAGTTGATACCAAGACCACCCGCGCGGGTGGTGAGAAGAAAGAGGAACTTCTCCGACCCTTCCTTGTTGTACTCATCGATGGCGGCGATTCGGTCCTCGTGGGCGGTCGAACCATCAATTCGGCAATAAGGATAACTCCGCATGACTGAGTAGTCCTCCAGAATGTCAAGCACACGACTCATCTGGGAGAAGATGAGAACTCTGCTACCCTGGGCTTTCATGCGCTTGAGCAGTGTATCAAGCATAACCATCTTTGCAGCGTTATTGACCAAGTGCTCGTCAGTGGTATATGGTGGGCCGGGTTCGGCACCTTCGAAAAGGTACGGATGGTTACAGCATTTCCGCAGCTGCATGACGATGTTTAGAAGGCGTGTCTTTGACTCCTTATTGCCAGCTGCGCCATTGACCGCATCGATGTCCTTCTCCAGAATCTTCTTGTACCACTTGACTTGCATGTCGGACATACCAATGTAGAGGTTGATTTCCTTTTTGGGAAGCAGGGACTTCTCTACATCGGCCTTCACGCGGCGCAGTAAGAACGGTCGCAGGACCTTGTGAAGCTGTTGGACAACAGTGTCGGAGTCCTCGTCTTGACTGGAGAACCAGTCGTCGAATGCTGCAGAGTCTCCGAAGACGTCTGGGAGCAAGAAGTTGAGCAGCGCCCACAGTTCGTGTAGGTTGTTCTGAAGTGGTGTACCCGTGATAAGCAGGCGGTTTCGCGAGTTGAACAAGCGAATGATCTGTGCGAGCGACGACTCTTCGTTCTTGATGCGGTGCGCTTCGTCGATGATGATATACTCCCAAGCAAACTTCTTGAGATGCGACTTCTCTCGCAAGATCATCTCGTAGCTGGTGATACAGACGTCGAATTTCTCGTCAACGAGGCGCTCTTGTATGAGCTCTGCTCGCTCCTCTTTGGCGCCCTGCAGAACCAAGACATCGATCTCCGGTATCCACCTGCCGAACTCGCGCTTCCAGTTGTCAAGGGTAGACTTGGGCACAGTGACTAGGTGCGGGCCGGTAATGCCGCGGATGAAGCGGAGGTAGCCAATGAACGATATGGTCTGCAACGTCTTTCCGAGACCCATCTCGTCGGCTAGAATACCAGAGATACCGTTCTCGTGAAGAGATATGAGCCAGTTCAACCCAGCAACTTGGTAGTCTCGCATAGTGCCGCCCTGGATGTATCCTGGTGATTCTCGGAACACGGTCTCGTTATGGCCGCCATGTTTCTCTTCCCGCACCAGCTCAGCATCTTCTTCTTGCTCCGTCTTGCGCCGACGCTCTGCAGCGGCGCCGCCCTTGCGCACTTTGCTAGTCTTTGCCTTTGCCTCGTCCTCGGCGTCCTGGCGGTCGATCTCGGCGAGAATCTCCTTTATGCGCGGATTCGGGTTCGTATCGATGAAGTGGCGGAACAGGTCGGTCAGACCGAGCAGGTATCGGAAACGTCGAATTGTGTCGTCCTCCTGTAAAGGCAGACTGTGTCAGCTATCCTCCCGTGCAAGGTCTGCTGGGGATGTGGGGAACTTGCCTTAGACGCGCCCAGTCTGTCGTGCTTCTTTCCGTAGATGGTCTTCCGCATGTTGTTTACGTCGGACCGTCGTTTTCGGGCGTCTACTGGCGCGTCACCAGCTACACTGCTTGCTGTTGTGTTGGGGTTTGTATCGGAGTCCTGCCGGCTGTCAGTATTCGGTGGGCGTACGCGATGGCGAGGACGGTGAGATAGTACCGTGTAGTCTGGCGTGTCCTGGTAGTACTGCAATCATACAGTTAGCTTGCTTGTCCGACTGACAGTCTACGCGCGGCGACCCTTCACTGCGGACGTTGCGCGCAGGTGAAAAGCGGGCACTCACCCCGAACTTCGGGAAGCCATTCACGCGATCCTTCTGCTCCTGCATCTCCACATCCTCATTCGCAGAGACGTCGGCCGTGGAGGGCCCGTCTGAATCAACGTTGCGAGTCCGCGAAGGCGCCATATTGCCTGTTTGGGCCGTATGCGGCGTGTCGTCGTGTGGAAACTTGTCCAGGAATTGTACGGGGATAGTTGAGTTGGATTCCTAATGCGACTGTGGCGTCTGAGGGATGGCGGTGGTGGGCGCGCTGGGTCGTGGTCGCAAGGGAGCGAGTGAGCAGAGGTTTGGGGAGTAGAGGCAGAATAATGTGTATTTAACTAAGGCACGACCGCGTTCAGTGGTCCGTGCGCATCTAAAATCCCATGGGTTCCATTGTCCCCTTTTTGCCTCACCATCTTTCTGCCCTTCTCGCTGGCATCTTCTGTCTACACCTCAACATACAGCGCTTGAAAAATGCTCAGGCGATTCTCTACGATTGCAATCATGCACGCGCTTTATCGACGCGTTTGGCGGAATGACGTCAACGCGTGTGAGGGACATAAAGGAAGTGGACGAAGTGCAAGTTTGCATTTAGCTTTTAGTTAAGTATGCTTACGGTGCTTCGTGTCCTTCGTTCTCTTCCCCTGCTTGAGTGCGACTATTCTCGCGAGGTCTACAGAGCCTCTTGCCTTTCATCTAGTCTATGTCAGCCCCACCATCCTCGGGGAGTTTTCATTCTCTCATGTCTCCCCAGACACCCACTCCTCTTCTAAACAATATGTCTCCTCCGGTTATTCCACTCCGACCTGCTAGTGCCTTCTTCAAGATGCCGGCCTCATAGAGACTCTCGATAAGCGAGAACAACATTCCATCACACCCTTTGGCCACCATGAAGTCTACAGTGACTGGAAGATACTCGACGTGATGGGTGATGCTGGAGTTGTACGGTGCCTCTCCGATTGGGACGACGAAGTCCGGAGCCTCTGAAAACCCGGAGACGCTCCATTCCCCGAAGCCATACGGAGGGCCTGGCTCGTCCCTATACACATTCCGATAGATGGTGTCTCCGATGGACCCAACGTACATTAGGAGACTGTTCGAGCAGGTCTCCGCGTCGGGGACCAGCACGGTGCTGTTGAACCAGGACATGAACATCGTCTTGTTCGCCACTGCCTCCTCTACCGTCGCCGTGGAGTTCTCCGCCCAGCCCCAGCGGACGAGAGGCACGGGGTCGACGAATGGACGCCGACCGTCATATTTCGCGGCGTAGTCGCGATAGAAGGGGTCCCGGACGAGCGGCATTTGCTGTTTGGCGATGAGGATGGGGTAGGTAATGTTGAGGAGCGCTTCCAGAGGATCCACCGTCGGATTCTCCTCGATCCAGGTCGTGGACATGTTGAATGCCGTAGCGTTAGCCTTGAGGAAAGAAGTGACATTCGCGAGAAAGTCGACTAGAAGCGAGTCGGCGATACTATCGGCAGACGTCGGCCATCCGAGCGTGGTGATCTTAGTCGGATAAGCGGTGCTGAAGGTCATGTTGGAACCGTACATCGCCTTGGCGGCTGCTATCCATAAGATCGGATCGCGAGCCATCAGTCCCGCCGTATCAAGCACCGGACTCATCGGCATGGTGTGCTCCAGCGATACGAGCCCATGTGACGGACGGTTACCATAGAGACCTTGGACCTGGGACGGTCCTCTAACACTACCTCCTGTGTCTGAGCCCAGCGAGACATCCAGCCAGGCATAAGCCCCAGTGCCGGCTCCGCCACCTGAAGAGCTGGACGACGTGTCTTGGTACCCGTCACCTCGAGGGTTGAATGACTCGTGGTAATCCACCCAGTCGGCGGTAGCCGTTTCTCCGTTGGCGAACTGGCTCATGACCATCTTGCCAACGATGATCGCCCCGGCATCGATGAGATTCTGAACGGGCGTAGCAGTAGCGTCAGCCGGCGGATATAGCCAATACCACGCTCGATTTCCATTGGAGGTTCGAAGGCCTTTGACGTCGTAGAGATCCTTGATGCCGATGCGAACACCGGCGAGGGGTTTCTCTTCCGTTTTGGCATAGTACAATCGCGAAGGGACTGCGATTGCAATTCTCTGCCCGAGGATGCCTGCCGGAAGAACCGAGTAGGAGCCATCACCGTTTGCGATTGCAGATTCCGTGAAGGCTCCATTCGTATCGGAGTATAATCTCCACGCTTCGTAGACCTCACCCGCGGCACTCATGAAGTAGGGGCCTGGGTTCAGGGTCTGGGAGGCTTGACCAGTAATGACTGAAGCAGAGATATTCTGGATTTGCACTTGAGAAGTGCTTAGCGTGTGGTTCTCTCCTTGAAGATAAAGCCCTGCAACGGTCAATAGGTACCCAGATACGGGCATTACGGCTGACATACCTTCAAGGAATCCTTCCTGAAACACATCATCCTCTTCCAGATACTTTGCAGTTACCGAAGCAAGCTCTGCGGCGCTATAGTCTCCACCCTTCACGACAGTGAATGGCACAAATGTCCCGCTAACGAGCATCCTCTTGACATCCTCCGACAGCGAGATCGACGCAACTACTTTCGGGGGGAGAAAATACGACACATCGCCCAGGGATACAGTGATTCCGGTTGAGGTGACAACGGCGCCAACAACATAGCAGCAACAACAGAAAATTGCAGCCGAGCTAACACTCCGAAGCCTCATCTTGAGTAAAACACTTCAAATTCCTCAATATCTCTCCAAAGCGCAGCAATGCAACCGTAGAGCGGCATCTTGAAGGACGGCAGAGCTACATATACTCAGTCCAGTGCTGGTAGCGCGAGTCAAAGCCCTCTACAACCGATAAAGAAGCACGGAAGCCGACGAGCAAGCTTCTATTGAAATTCTCCTTCTATTCGTTCGCTTTCCCGCGCCTGACAGAGCTTGCGGCGGGTATCATGCCTGTAGTGTCGCGATCCCGCAGCCTGGATGCCGTCTACGGTTTGATAAGCAGCCGAACCGCAATTCTTGACAGCTCAGTCAGAGTCATTGATCCTGTTCCTCTGCATCCTTCGAGCCGCTACGCATGCAGTTGCGCTTTTTTGGGGGTTCGGAATCGTCGGAATAGGCCCGATCGACATGATATGTACTGTTCCTTATCTTGGTGAAGTAGTGGAGGCGACCGATAGGGCTAGGAGCTTAACTCCGATGTGGGCTATCAACGTGAACCCCACAACATTGTTCAAAGAGACGACCCATATGACTGGCTTTTGCGTGCTAGAGCCTCGTGGACTTTCTAGATTGAATATATTTTCCATTTAGGATGCCTTAGCCTAGCCGAAGAGCCGGGTGCGCATCCAGCGCCCACATCCCCGGGCAGCTCCCAAGTCTCCACAACGCCCTCCACCATGCATGCAAGCTCGGAGAAGAGCTACAGTATGCGCAACCGCCCTCCTCCGTCCACTTTCCCCCGATATTCCCCCCGTCCACCCATCCCTCACCCACCTCTCCCTCCACCCCTCTACTGCGCTTTCTTCACCCCGCCCCGGCCCCTCCCAACGCCCATCCCATACTGATACACCAGCTGACCGCCCAAATACGCCGCGAAGAAGCTCGCCGGCACCGCCAGGGTCGCACTAACCAGCACATTCGTCGTGCTCGGCGCGAAGCCCACCGCCGACCGCCTGGTCCACCAATTGTACGCCGCGCCGAAGACGGTGATGTCGTTCGCCAGCGCGTGCAGGACCCCCGTTTGCGCCTTTTTGGACAGCCCGTCGCGCTTGATCAGCGGCATGAGCTCCCAGGCGCCGGTGAGGACGGCGGGGATGGCGGTTAGGAGGGTGAGGAGCGTGGCGTAGTAGGAGAGGAGGGGGAGGGTTGAGGGCTGGAGGCGGATGTCGAGGGTTTCGACTGGGAGACGGGGTTAGCTGGAGAGATCGTGGAGGTAGACCTGGTTGCAAGGTATGGTTGGGTTGAAGAGGCAGTATGCGGCAGACGCAGACCTACAGGTAGAAGCGACGATGCCGGCGGTCGCCGGAAAGGTTGAGGCGAAGTATAGCGCATCGAGGCCGCCGGTTAGGAAGGTGAAGCTTATGGGGAAGTGGACTGTTGCCGGGTGCATGGGGTGGCTGCTGGCGTTTAGTACCTGGAGCGCTTTCTTGGGAGCGAGAGCGGAGGGATGGCTTACTTTCCTGCCATTGCATATGCTCAGCACTCGAATTGTGCTTCGTGGTAGCGGTTACGGGTGGCGAGTGTCGCGAGAGAGGGAGAGAAGGCCGGTGAGAGCGGCATTGTGCTGGAATGCATTCTTGAAGTATGGAGGCACGGCTGACATGATCGCTGCTTGCGGAGAGCCGAGCTGCTTCCCCAGTGTAACACCACACGCGGGTAGCCAATAATGTCTGCGCAATTGGTCAGTCCACCACTAAACCTCCGGCTTCTGCAGGCCGTGGACGTCATGAACAATGCCGGGGCGTTATTCTTCGGAGTGGGATACCGAGGCGCGGCTTGAGGAGCTGTCCTGAAACAGTTAGGCCGACTTCCTCTCGTATCCCTGATCATCGTGGCTGTGATTGGCGCCCGGCTCAGCTTCCTCTTCGTCTCATCCCGAGCACGACGCGTGACGGACGACATGTATCTCTTCAACTATGATTACGGACTTTCCGAAAGGCTCCACACCAGTACAGGTCGATTGGTCTTCCGACGCGTACTGGCGGAACAGGCGTCTTTCGCCCGCCCAGCTCCAGGTCCACGATATACGCCTCGAAGACACGGGATGGCGGACAGATCTCAACGGAATGTTGGAGATGAGGGAAGTTCTGACGTCGACGCTATTACCGGACCTGGAGGATAGAGATCGCTTGGTCAACGACCTGCCGATTGACGAGGTTACGATGAATCGGAACGAACATGTCCATCTGAGGAATCTGGCTACCGAATACGGTTGGATGAATTGCTTGAGGAGTAAAGGAGTCCAACAGGCGATCGACGATCCGCAGTATCTTAAAAAGTGCAGATGGATACACATCTCTAGCAAGTTCTCCGATTACCTATCCGGATGCCTGCTGGCGCTGTCCGACTGGAGCAAGAACCCATCCGACATCATCACAGCTTTGCATCAGCTGGAGCATTGCATCTATCAACAGGAGCGGTTTTCGAAGCATGGGAGGTACTTCGCGCCGTTCTTCCAGTATCTGCTGGACAGCCACGGAGACGCAAAAGAGAAGGGAGACGGTCCAATGCTGTTGAGCGTCCCATTCCTTGATTGGTCTGTCGAGGGAACTTCGCCTCCGCTGAGGTTCCAAATCGACCCGCGCGAAGGTTATCAGTCGTCGAAGAGTTCTTCGCATTTACTGCGATCAATCTTGCAGCACTTCTACCGCCTGGAGGATACCGCTGATCGCGAATCCCAGCAAGTTTTTACGAAGCACAAACCCTGGCAGACGGATCGCGGCCTTGACCTCAAGGTTCGACGGTGGTATGGCCACTACCCGACGAGTCTGAATGTGGATGAGCTTTGGATCCTTGTCGTGGATGCCCGGCATGTTGTCACTTTCTCGAGCAACCAGTCCTGGAAGTCACGTTGGCCGCCGCTCCAGCTCTCGGCACGTATCATGGAGGTGTCCTTCCGCGGTATCCGCAACGCCTTCATCAATACAGCGCAAGAACAGGACTATACTTCGACGACTCACGTCATCGCCGCCCTAAGCGGAGCTTTGGGTATGCTTCATCGCAGCTTTTGGTCCGATATCACGCTCTGTCTCTCCGACAGATATGCCAGCTATCTCGGTCATCTCCAGTATCGGCTGCACAGGAGCCCGAGCACAAAGCTCGTCATGGATCTTCTCCAGGTACAAGAAGAGCTGAACATCATTATCCAGATCATGGAGCAACAGATCGAGCTGGTCACCAAGCTTCAGGGTGCACTGAAGTCGGCGCGAAGCAGGGGTCATTCCCACAGCTCCACCAGACAGTATCATCACCAACCGACGGGTTCCATCCCACCGTCCGATTTTGCCACTTACAGACAGATGTCCATGTCTCATCTATCGGATCCTGCGGCGCAACTGCTAGAGAACCTCCAGAGGGAATATGTAGACCTCTGCGACCTGCGCGAGAACAGCAATTCGCTCATCAATCGCACCATCCAACTCGTCAATATCCGGCTCGAGGATCACGGCAAAGCAATCCTCGTCTTCACCATCGTCACCATCATCTTCCTCCCGCTCTCCTTTATCTCTAGTTTCTTCGGGATGAATTTCTCAGACATTCGGAATATGGAGAGCACGCAGCGCCTGTTTTGGATAATTGCAGGGTCGTTGACGGTTGGCACAGTAGGCTTTGCGATATTTCTCGCGTTCTATGGGAGCGCCATTGTGGATTGGTTCGTTGGTTGGCGGGAGAGTTGGAATAGGAAGTCCAAAGTCAAGAACCCTGTGCCAAGGATAGTTGAGAGAAAACCGAGTGGCTTCAGAAACTTTGAGATTTTGGATGTAATGCGGCCCAGACAGACCGGCGTCTTCTAATCTCGGAAACGGCCATATTCCACCTGGACACGCTTGAAGGATTCTCGTTCCCCAGCTTCGGATCAGGTACGCAGAGCTCCGATCGCTTACAATTTCGACGCCCAACGTGCACCGTTCTCTAACAGATGTAGATACGAGCCTTCAAAGTAAGCGTTGCATAATCATCTCCTGTGCAATTGGCTAATGTGCGTCGTCGCAGATTACTCATAGGCTAAAATATGCACTCAAGGCCGGTCAAGCGTCTCTGTGAAACGTCAACCCAGCGCGAACAACCCAAGAAGCACCTCATTTAAAGTGCGCAATATTCCTTCCCGCCTCCGACGAACCAGCGACAGAGACATCGCAATCCGCAACGAACGCGCCGAAGCTTCGAGATACGCACCAACGACTGCCGATTGTGCCCAGAATCCGGGGAATCAAGCTTTTCAATCTCGAAACCTATCTCATATCTCTCCCACCCGTTTCCGAACAGGAACCCCCTCAGATCTCATCTATATCCTTTGTGCCCCTGGATAGAGACCTTGAAAGCCATATCTCAAAGTCGGAGAGCCGACACCGCCTCCGCCAATCCGAGGCAACGCATTCCGGATGACCTATCTATGCGCAATATCACGAAGGGAGGCGCTGAGCACGAGGCCAGCGGGATTGACGCAATGCTCAACAGTTTTCAAGAGATGGCTAAGGTGTCAATTTGGGACTTGAGGGTATCAGCCAGGGCGAGAATGATGTCGGCGAATGGGAAGAGCGGCATTTGGCCGATGCCTTGAATAGAAGCAAGGAGAGATAGGCTTCGAAGGCTATATAAGGGATAGAAAGAGGAAGAAGTGGTAGGATCTCAGAGTCTGGTTCATATCCTGTTCGTTGCTTTGTCTCTCTCCAGGCTCAGCTTTCTGTCTCCTCCTCGGATCACCATGAAGATCTCCACCCTCTTCCTGGGCGGCCTTGCTTCCCTCGCAGCCGCCCAAACACCGGCTCCGTATACCGATGCCAAATCGGGCATTACGTTCAACTACTTCGCGCATAGCTCCGGCTACTTCTTCGGCATCGCTCTTCCGGAGAACAGCACTGGAAGCACCGACTTCATTGCGACCCTGGGAGGGAAGGGCACGGGATGGAGCGGTGTCAGCTTGGGAGGTGTCATGTTGAACAAGCTATTGATCTTGTCGTGGCCCAACGGGCAGAGCATCGTTAGCTCCTTCAGGAAGACTGCGTAAGTACACCTCTTCATCACACCCTGGCCTCGACCCAACCTGACCGGCCCTACCATTCCCGCGAAGTTGTAAATCCTAACCGTACACTCAGGAACTACGGCTCTCCCGCCGTTGCAACCGGCACCTTCACGCAGACCCCCATCGCCAACGGAACCTACGTCAACGGCACGCACTGGACCTACACTTTCCTCTGCTCCAAGTGCATTCTCTCCGACAAGACGACTTTTGCTTCCACAGAGACCGCGCCTAGCCTTGGCTACGCGCTCAATGCGGCCGCGCCTGCCCAGAAGACGACTCCAAGCGCCAGCGTGACCAAGCACACTGCGCAGGGCCAGGTCGTGTTCGATTTGACGAAGGCGAAGAGTAAGGACTTTGATACTTGGAAGAGCTGGGCTGTGCCGCCGAAGGTTGCGAGGGATTTTGAGGGCTGAGCAATGCAATTGGCTGAACCCGAGGTGCCGTGACAAGAGGTCCACCATGTCCTTCGAAACATATAAGGCGGGGAGCGAATAAAGGATTTGGAATATATTTCCTCCAATTTGAAAAGAAAAATCGCCCATACCTCTTGCTCCCTGAGCATCTTTCGTCCTCTTTCTGCCTCGCAAACCGGCCGATCTTCCACAAGTAACAATATCATCAACAAACAGCTGTGCATTCTCTAAACGAACAACAAAGCCCAGACAGCTAGACGGTCTAGACCCGCCCCGTGATCTTCACCTCTCCTTGTCTTCCTAGCCAGTGCGCAGTGCGCAGCTCGGCACTCGTGGACGCGTCTCGATTTCAGCCTGAAGCCACTCTATTTGCGCGGCCCGGAAAATCACCAGGATCCCCCGTGCTACTGTATGTTAGATTCGAGCTGTATAAGCTACGGGCAGTGATTGGCCAATTCGGCGACCCGCTCTAGCATGCTGCGGAGCATCTACGGTCCGCGGCGGATGCGTTACTCTTTCTCAACCCCACTGTCAGTGGAATCATTGCATGGCGAGACGTGACATGATGAAGTCTTGGAGGGGAGGATTCCGGCTCTTGTGTCTGTCTGTCTGTGTGAAGAAGGCATCGTTGCGCGGCGCTCGCTGGTCTGAGAAGCGCGAGAGAACGGGCCCTTCTGGGGAAAGAGACAACGCCTTCTTATATTCCGATTCAGACCCCCAGCCGAGTGCTCCACTTCTCACTCCCATTAGACCGACCATCATCCATCCCATTCTACCTACATACTTACCCCGGGAAACCCCAGATTCGGATTCAGATTCAGCCTCCCCCATCCCATCCTGTCTGCTGCGTGCGGGGCCCCCAACCAACCGACAAACCAAGCATTTCTGCTCTCTGCACCTCTATCTTGCCTTGCGTATCCGTTTCTTCCTATCTCTCTTCTTTTTACACCCTTCTTCGCACATCGCTTCCCCCTGAGCCGATCGAGCCGACTACGCCCGCCGCCCAATCAGGCTCCTGGATCGGATCGCCATGGGCCGGTCCACCACCCTTCTGCGGTTCTGGCTCCTCCTGCCGTACGTTTCGTCGCTACTATTCGGCCGTGTACACGCAGCAAACGAGTCGTACATCACTGCGCAGGCGGAGTACAACACCGAGTGCAAAACGTGTCCGCATTCGCTGTGCACGAACAAAGTCGCGTATGAGTACGAGGACGTGTTCAATGCGACGTGCTGGACGAGAGGGACGGCGATCGTGGGCGACAAGTACGTATCGTGGTATCTAATCTCTAAAGTGCGGACAACAAAACGAAAAAGCAACTGACGAGATGGCTGGCGGGTAGTCTGTGGTTGAAGAGCGAAGCAGGCTGCTACGTCGCAGAGTACGACACCGTAGAGTATACTGGAGATTGTACATCCCCCCTCCCAATACCATGCATACGCATCCCAAAGTGCACACGCAACTAACGCCCCTATGCCTATGCACGCAGACACATCCGACCTCCCCTACTGCGGCCGCGCCTCCGAAAAACAACACCTCACCCTCGCCGACGCAACGCTCGCCTACAAAACAGAATGCAGCGTCTGCCCCTCTATCAACTGCGACGTCGCCGCCTACCTGCCCGAAGACACCGACGTGACGCTCACGTGCTGGACAGACCAGGGGCAGGTCATCATAGACGATCCGTACGTAAGCCCCCATCATGCATTACAGGCCTCCCGGGGCCACGCAAACTTTCCACCAAAGAGAGAGAAAGCAAAGGAAAAGAAAGAAGCTATGCTAATATGTAGTACGGATGACAGATACTGGCTCAAAACCACAAACAACTGCTACATCGCGGAAAAAAACCTCTACAGCTCCCCCATCGCCGCCGACAAATCGCGCCTAGATCCCTGCGGCCCGATTCCCTTCCTCGAGCTCGCAAACCACCTGCCCCCGGAGGCCTCCCCCTCACCCGAAGATCCAAACCCCCCGGAAAACTCCACCCCTGAAATCGCCCCCCGCTCCCCCCACCCCCTGACCCCCACCTACCTCATCAACGTAACCGTGGGCACCGAATACGCGCCGTGCCGCAGCTGCGCGCGGGAAACGTGCCGCGAGGAGCGGACGTACGAGTTCAACCAGGAGGTGTGGCTGCAGTGCCTGGTGGAGAACAACGGCACGTGGTGGAGCGAGACGACGGATTTCTGCTATGTGGCGAACAAGGACTTTTGGGAGAGTCCGGAGGGGGACTGTGAGTTTTGTTTCTGTCTTTGAGTAGGTGGGGAGAGGGGTGTGGGAAGGGTAATGACTAATGTGAATGCGTAGATTATCGGAATCCGCTGTGCGAGTACTTCGAGGATCCGGAGGACGAGGGGGATGACGATTAAACCCAGGGGTGGACCTGTTGAGAAGAAAGGGGGGTGGCTTGGGTTTGCTGGGCTTCATGGGGGTGGGTGGAGTGTTGTTGAGGACTCAGAGTTCACGAAGGGGGGGAAGATAACCGCCAGACTACCTGTATACATAGTTACCAAATAATTGCATTTTCCCGGTCCGGTCGGAGATTTCGTAAAACCCATCCATTCTATCAGTGGGTGGCTGAAGGAATGGAATGGAATGCATGTTGAGAACGCCGAGTGCAAGCGTAGAATGAGCGAGTGATAGACCATGACTTTTTCTTTTCTTCTAGATGCGGAGGGAGGGATGTGTGCTGGTGTTGAAAATGTAAAGGGAAAATTTAAAAGTCTTCGAGAAAAGAGAGGAAGAATAAAAGGGAGACCAAAATAGCAGGAGATGCCCTTTCGATCCCACAGTGCAGGCTACACTGAGCCACGCCCTAGTTCTATACCGGACCACGTGCAGTCTTTTCTATGTATCCCATGCATTATTTCGCTAGACTATGCCACACGCCAGCTGCACGAGGTGGGCGGACGTCTGCTTGGCGTCACATCAACCAAGCACCGCCGGAAAGGTGCCAAACGCAACTCGATGCCGCTGCGCGCGTGTCCTACAAAGCAGCCCTCTGCTCCACCGGCATTGCATGACAAGGCGTAGCATCAAGCAGATCATCAGGAGCCGCCATACGACCCTGCAGCTCAAGCGCTCGGGACCGGCGCCTCAGTGCCGTGATCTGCGTTTGGAGACTCGGCGTTTCGGGGGACATCGTGGCCTTGTTCTTCGCGGGCGCGTCATCGGGCTCCTTGCCCGGATCAGCGTGCTTTGACTTAGCTAAGCCGGTCGTCTTTCCGGGAGTTGCTTTTGCAGGGGGTTGCTTGGACCCCTTTTTGGAGCCGTTCTTGCGCTGAGACAGCTGTTGTGCGGATTTGACTGCGTCGTTGTCGTCGTCGTCATCATCGGAAGACCAGGAGATTTGCGAGTGGCGCCGGAGATAGGATTGAGTCTTCCTATCCTGAGTATTGGAGGGAGCGGCTGGGGCTGGGCGCGGGGAGGCGGGCTGTGAGACGGATGAGGCGCTCGATGCTGAAGCAGGTGCAGTGGAAGATGCGGTGGTCCTGGTTGAGCACTGTGATAGCTGAGGACTGCACGGTGGAGCCGGTGCATCGTCGATGTCGATGAGCAGGTCCGGGATGGGGCTCAGCGGCTGCGACTTCGAGGTTTCCGCGCGCTCATCCCGACCCTGCTCGCTGAAGATGCCGCGAGCGTGCTGGACCTCGCCATTAAGGGAACGGCGGCGGCTCTCCCTGCTCTCCTGCTTGTAGCTGCTCAGCTTGGAAGGGTCGGGAAACTCTCGACGGGCCGGTGCCTCAGCTCGGCCGCGCTCGTCCTTCGATTGGTTCATGCGGAGCTGCATCCAGGTCGGGCCACGGCTCTGGATGGCCATCTTCTCCTTGTACCATCTCGGCACGCCGTTTTTGCAGCCTAGCTCGCGGAGCTTCTCGACCGGGGGCATCTCGTGCTTATATTTGCAGCCTTGCACGGTGTAGGCGCACTCGCCGGTCCAGATCCAGTGTGTGCAGTATATTTTCTTCGACGGATCGGGCTCGATGCCGGACGGGGGTGGGGCACGATATGCGTGACGCTGGGCATCCTGTTTGTAGACGGAAGCGATGGTGTCGGTTACAGACTGCATGGTGTTGTCAGCATGTTTGTTGGATGTTAAAGGCTCCTACTAACCATGCTTTGGGCCGGGCCGGCAGAAGGAGTGGAACGACCCATCTCAGAGGCTCCCTCGGGCGCTGGCGTCGGAGGGCCTGCTGCGGACGGAGTGGCATGTCGATACCTGTTGCCCTTCGGAGACTGTGCTGGAATGCTGGGTGCTTCAGACTTGACGTGATGGTCAGGAGCAAAGAACCTAGGCGGAAACGCAGACGTCTGAGCAAGGTTTGCCTGATCGGGGGCGAGGGTTGGCAGAAGCAATGGAGGCTCCGTGGTTTCGTCGATGAACTTCCAGCGTCCTTTTGACATTTCGCGATGACTCAACTGCCGCGGAACTCCTTGGAGCTGGAACGGCAGCTGATCGACAGGTACGAGAGGTACCATGGAGTGCCCAGGCTCTCGAAGGATGTAGTACCGCAATCCCTCATTAAGAGGAGACTCCGACGATGTGTGGATGGCCATTCGGATGGAAGTATAGACACTGGGGGGTATACTACACTCTGCCGGTGGAGTGCTGCTGGTGGGCCCAGTCCGGACGATCGATATATCTAGCGTGGCGGAAGCGGGTTCGATGATGAAAGTGGACTATGAGGATGGGGTGCTTCGATTATATCTTCATGGCTCGAGAGACAAGCAGGCCTTGTCTCGAATGCTGCTACAAACTAGATGCTCATTTCAGCCTGGGCATACAGGGACAGGAGTTAGATATTTGTTGAGCGCACAAGCGCGACTGCCTTCGCCATATTGCGTTTGCTCTCAACCAGGTACTCCAATCAAGCCGTTGGAAAGGACCCAAATGTTGTGTTTCCAATCAAACACACGGTTATTGCGGGAAGATGCATGAGACTCCACCTCAGACCCGGGCACGTGTAACGTTCAGAGCGCTGAGACTGTACGACTCTCAGGCAACCCCAATAGAACAAAGGAGAAGCGCGCTTGTGCATGACATGAGCGTGCTCGGATGTGCCTAAATCTTACCGCTTGTCCCATATCGGGCGCGGTGGTCATTACGTGCTCCTGTGGAAGCTTGTTCTTCTCGCCTTAGAAGTACTTCCGCCTCACCGGAGACTCTACTCTCGCATTGGATAACTGAACAATAAAGTCCCGAAGTAATGTCATTTCGGGTATCGGGTGAGAGACGGACGCGGGAGGGTGCGCTCGGGAGGGTGTCAGCTAGCGGGACACTACCACGGGGCGATGTGGAATGCTGGCAATGCTCAGAGTGAGGTATACTGCTCTTCCTGTCCTGGAAATTCTGCGCTTATGTAGCCATCTGCGTCCGCGAAGACCTAGCCGTATGGAAGAAGCCCATGGCGTTGCATACGCAGTGCCCCGTAGTCTGCCCTACCTGACAGTTGCCACCCGAAATCGCTCCCGCTGTGGTGTCCTCGTATAGTATGATGTGTCCCAGATGCTTCGGCCCCCATTGTGTACGTCTTGTCGTGCTCGGCGTCGTCGGTCTGGAACTTCTATGGCATGGGTGCTTTCGACGGATACCTATACCTCACACACCACCGCCATGGGTAAGCTGCTATCCTGTTACCTGTTAACACTTTCGACCATAGGCCCTCACAGCGGTTTCAGGCGTGCGAATGAACATGTTTCGGCAGCCGTGAGGTTCGTGATGCAGGTTAAGGCGGGGATGGCACCAGCGGGAGGCGGTTGCACGCCTAAAGATGGCGCGAGCTCCACCTAGAACCGACGGGGAGAGGTACGGAGGCTCCTGTGAGTCGTTGGGTCTCGCGTCCTGTGGCATACGAAATATTTAGAGGGGGGAGCGCGCGGGGCCGTGGTGGCCACGCAGGAGAACGGACGGGCAATGGGTGAGTCGGGGGCCGTAGGGAGCGATGGGACCAAGAAGCAGTCAACATCTGGCACAGATGCGACTCACAGAAAGCCACGACGGGAGCTGTGAGGTTGTCTGTGATGTGGTGGCTCTTCCCACACTTGGCGGCTCCCAGGGATCGGCGCAGGCCTCGGCGTCGCGTCGCGAAACCTGGGCAAACGGAGTCACCTGCACCTGGCCACTTCAGCTGCTGTGTGCACACCGCCAGCTCCAGATTCTGGAAGTCTGTCATCCGCATTAACCTTCCTGTCTTCTTCAACATTCATTCCTTCATGAAGCCCGCGAACCTACCACCTCCACCCTCTGGGTCCATGTCACCTTTGCGGAATCTTGTCTGGCACCCACCAGACTGAGCGGCAGTGGAGAGTTTGGACCATGGTTTCATTCTGCAGCTTCCAGCGACTAGCCGTAAGAAAGATGGACTGACTATGATCTTCGCGCCTCTGAATCCTTTCGATTACACTTTGGACCCATCGATTCCACCTCCGCGTCGCTGGGTAGCCTTGGCATATCTGGTGCCTCAGGCTTCATGGCTGGCACTATCTTCTTTGGGTCATTCTGGTCATGTTCCAATGCATTTTAGGGCAGCTCTGAACCCATGAGCTCCTGAAATTCAATCGCTAACGTACTGCTAATGTCCGAATTCTGGAATAGCCATCCGGCGACCAGCACATGTATTCCGAAATCCCCGGCCCAGAGCAGTCAACGCTTCCGTTGGGCTTTTGGAAACCCCCTCCTTTCTTCTTCGTGTGGGTTCTGGACTTCCAAACAAAAGATGGTGGTAGCGGGCGTCATTGCGTGCGTTTGCCGCCATGTAAGTAACCCGGTACTCTACCATAACCCAGACTAAGCTAATCGCATTCCAGAGAGCATAGCAACGACGATCAGAGAAGACCCGGGTTCGACCAAATCGCCAGGCCTCTATGCTAGAGGAAGCACGGCTGCAGTCCGGTGTTGTAGAGCAGCAGTATGAAGGGCCTCCGCGACTGCATTTGTGCGACAGCTTGCGGCGCAGCCTCACACGGGACAGCATCGTTGGGAAGTCGCCGGTGTGATCAATGCGAGACGACTCATGAGTAATGTTTTATTCCACGATTTATGAGTAGCCAGCTACCTAGGTATGTAATTGGATGACTGTGAAAGGCACAGTCATATCAATCAGGTGACGGGCGCGCCTTCCAACGTTTTCCCGCAGGTCACATCACTTGGCGGCGCGTCTCCACCTTTGTCTCGATTCTTCTACACCTGCACACCTGAGCTTCACGCGCGCTTCCTCGACGGCGTAGAACGCGATAGGCACAGACGCCGGTGGCAAGCCGCAATTGCTACCGGTCAGCCCGGTCACAGCCGCATCATGTACTGACTTCTCGACTCGTTTACCCCTTCACTCCTTACTTCCTTTCTCTTATCTTTGCATATTGGAATGTCGGTTGCGCTGCGAGCTTCACGCAGTAGCAGCCCCCGCATACTCGATACTATGCCCGCCCATCGCGTCGCTCGCGCCCTTGGTCTCACGATACAACCTCCGCAACCACAGCCATATCTGATGGCAGCAACATCTGATACCCCGCCGGAATCGCCCCCAGGTACAGAAACGCCCACGAACACCGCATCCTCGACAGCACCGTCGACGCCGCCGATAATACCAGACATAATCCAGACAGCCTTCTCTCTCGGCATCATACCGCGCTTCTTCCACCTGCTTGCTAACACGAAAAAGCTTATCCGTTCTCATGGTCCACACACTACCTTTCAAGACACCACCATCTTCGCGCGCTCTCCGCTACCGCGTTCGAAAAAGAGCAAACCTCCTTCGTGCAAACTCCTCGCTACTTCTCTGTCGGCGGCACAGGATTCCATTCGTACGTCTCAGCCCGCGGGCGACGCGAAGAAAGACCTCCAGGTCTTCAAGCTGCTTTGGGACGCGACAATCGACGTCCTCGAAAAGGTTCTAGATGATGGGGATCTCGACCACGAAGCGTTTGGGTGGGGCGTCTTCGGTCTATCCTCTGGCTACATGCCCGCTCCACCCTCACCGTCTACTTACAGCCTCGACACAGACCCGCTGTTCGACATCCACAAAGAGCGTCTGCACGCTGCACTACTATCTCTCCCTTCTCTCGGCTCTCCAGAGCGAGGTCGTGCGAGCCACGCAGTTTCCGGCGCCGAGCGTGTCAATCAACTAGCGAAAGCGAGGCGGCAAGTGCACATTTGCGCGAGCCTGCTTCTCCAGCGGATGAGGTGCGAGGGATGGAATCGCGTGCGGTGGTGGCATGCAGTCGCGGTTGCCGAGCGCTGGGTTGGGCATTTGGGCATCGCCCACGTGACCATGGTGGATGAGGAGAAGGAGGAGGATGAGTTCGGCCAAGGTATCGTGAACTTTGGTTGACGACGATCCGGCCACATCTGGACACGACGGATGTCAGCCGCACACAGCATCGGCAAGACCCGAATCCCTGTCATGGATGAGACACTACGTCATATCCATCACGCTATGAGAACAACTACCGCAAAACTCGAAAATGGTACGAGATGGACCCACCCCGTTCCTCGAATCCTGCTCGCACGAACTGTCAGCCGCGGGAAAAAAAAAACCTGAATCCCGCGAAAGTGGGGTAGAGAAAAGAGTATGATCTCAATTCCAGACCAGCGGCGGCGGCGGCGGTGGCATCACATCTGGATAAAGAGAGGTCTCCAGAGAAATAAATACCAACAGAGCTCATGATGTGATTGCTGAGCTGGCAACCGCTGCATCTGCATGCATGCGACTTTGGCTAGGATATCCCGACCTAAGCAACGCAACCAATGGCGTTGCGGCTTCCCGACGTCGGGTCGGATCAGGTGCCGGCCTTTTATGTTACCCACGATATAATTCGCCTTCATGATTCATTTCGGCATCACAGAATATACAGAATATACAAAAGCGTACCTTCTAGAATACTGCATTTCACGAACAATCAACGAACCGCGGCCTGAAAGATAGCTGGCTGCCTGGCTAGGGAGGCATATATGTATGATTATACTGTCACCTAGGCATGTACTAGAAAAATACTGTGGTACTCAACTTAAGTTTTATCAATTAGTCACCCCGCGCGTAAGCAGCTATATACTTCACGAAGGGCCGCTTCAACTGATTATACGCTGTAAGTTGGCTGGCTGTTTAGGGCTATGCGTGGCCGTCACGGGGGCGCAGAGTGGAGAATTGATAAGCCTTATGCTGGATAGGATACCAGGCTAGACTTACATTTACCTTATCTGACCTTATCTTACCGCATCCATCTCTGCTTGATGAAATCGAATCTTCTACGCAACGCCCGTCTTTTAGCTCACTGACATTTTCTATTTCCATCCCTTCTCCCCTTCCAGTCCTCCCAACGCCAAATCGTATAAACGGACCTACATCTAGTATGAAAAAAATAGAAATAATGTACATACATACCACTCCACCCATCACCCTCAACACATCGTATCGTATCGTAGCAAAACATCACATCATATCACCCACACACAGCCAAGCAAGCATGCATAAGATACCCTTTGTAAAACAAAACTCCAGTGTTCCTGAGATTCCATTGCGCCACTCCACTCAACTCCACTCAACTCCCTCCACACAAAGAAGGAAGCTCGAAAATCACTCACTATATATAGTACAGTACATACATTTTTTTTCTCCTTTCAGTCCGACAGTGCTACGTCAATTCGCAGGCAGGCCGAGGACGCAAGGCATAGGAAAACACTAGCCTCAAGGAATTCCGTCGAGACTCCAAGAAGGGGCAACCTTATGGTACAAAGGAAGGCTCCATACGCCGATCAATCACAGGGCCACTAGGAGTGACGGTGACTGTTGTACCCGTTACCGTTGCCACCTCTATAGCCACCTCCGCCGCCACCACCACGGTAGCCTCCTCGACCCCCACCGCCTGACCTATCACCGCGATACTGTCCGTCTCCATATCCACCTCGGCCACCTCCACCCTGGCCTCCGCTCCGTCCGAGAATCTCGTCCGCAGGCCGGTAGTAGCGCTCACCGCGAAGCGAACTGCTATTCGAAGCCTGCTGAGGCGGCGGACCCCTTGCAGCTGGTCCGTCCATCCAAGCAGGACGCTGCTGAGGAGGTCCCGACTGTCCGCCTTGCGCATGCGGAGTGAAGTTATTGTAACCGCCGCTCATCCCTGGAGGAGGGACCCAACCGGGAGGCGGAGGAGGAAAGAACTGGCCGTTGGCTGGGGGAGGCCAAGACTGCGGGCCTGCAAAGGGCGGTAGGGGTGGTGCTGCGAAGTTGCCGTACCCACCTCGACCGCCGCCGTAGTCTCCGCGATTGTCGTATCCGCCGCGATTATTTCCATAGCCTCCTCGGCCGTTTCCGCGATCGCCGTCGAAGCTCCTCCGGTTGTTGTAATTGCCCCGTCCATTTCCGTTGTACCCGCCGCGTCCACCACGTCCGCCGCGATATCCGCCTCGGTTGCGGTCTTGGTTTCGGCGTACCTCTGCCTCTTCGTACTCTGTGAGAGCTTTTTGCGGAAGCTTGACGCCTTTCAGGAGGGCGGATCGATGGGCACGTTTCGCCTCTAGCTCGGGCATCTCATAGTACACCCTGTTGCAAATTAGTGTTTGCTAAAGTTAGGTTTGTTCACAAATCATACCTCATAGAGCCATCCTGGATGATCTCGAATTCAGAGTCGCCATCCACGTCGAACGGTGGAACCAACTGACTGTCAAGGACAAACATCTCGTGGGGCTCCACCTCGCCGTGCAGCGCTTGACTCTTGACATGATCGATCTGTATCTTCTTGACATCCTTGCGGTAAAGGGCTTTGTTGATCGAGTCAAAAAGCTGACCCGTTTGCGAAAACATGAGGGTCTCCTTGCCAAACTCGTTGCGCTTCTTTTCGTCGTCTGTAAGCTCGTCATACTTTTCTTTCATCGCGGCCAGTAGACGCTTTTCATCGATGAAAGGCAGGATAGCGACGCCTTGCCAAGCAAACTTCTTGCCGTTCAGATCGATCGGGAAGTCTTCCGGATAGAAGTCGACAATGGGACTGTTCGGATCAGACATGAGGATCCGGTAAGGCTCGGGAATGGCATGGTTGGACGCAGCCGGTAGAACACCCATGAGCTGCTCATAGGGATGGAATGGAATGCCTTTCTCGAACATCTTGCGCGGATCCAGGTCTGCTATACCCACAAAGTCCGCTGCGAAAGGCGCGTAGTGGTAGGGATAGTACCAAGTCCACGATGGGCAACCTTGCATATAGTAAGATAGCACCCAGCACAGACCTTCGGCGTAATGACGGGCGACCTCGTGACGGAATTCCATATCGTCAGGTTCCACGTGGAACTTTTGGGAGTAGTATCGCTCCTCGTAGCCTGGTTCCCACAGCTTAATAGTGTCCTCAGGCGGGCCGTCTTCTTTCTTCTCGGCAGGGGATTCGGGGACGACTGGCGTACTCCTACCTGGTGTGCCGTTGTCGGTGTCCTGCATTTCATCTAGCTTCCGCTTTCCTAGGTGTACTGGCGTCTCCGCTCCGGATGCAGAGACGGACTCTGACTCTTGGCTTGCCTCCTCACTGGCGGTAGAACCTTCCGCTCGGGCCTTCATCATGGCCTTCAATTGCGCGGCCGCGCTCTTGTTGGTCTGAGTCTTGTTCGCCAAAATTTCGCGATGAGCGTTGCGGACCTCGTTTGATTGGGCATCTTGGGGAGAAAAGAACACAATACCTGCATTGGCGTAGGTGCTTGTGTCCTCCTTCACGCGCTTGAATGGAGCAGCAGCATTTCCATTCTCATCAAGTCTGGCACGCTTGTGGCCTTGTCTGTCAGCCTCACGCTGCGCTCGTCTAGCAGCTTGGCGGTCAGAAATCTCTTTTCGGTTTCGGAAGATTTCAGCCTCCTGTCCAGCAAGAGCCTGGAGGATCTGCTGCACGCGTAGCATGTTGGGGTATCCATCCTTGGTGACATAGTCGTCCATCTGGGGCAGCAACTCGCGCCAGATGCGGGTGAGAAGATCAATACCTTGGTCTCGAATGTCCAAACTAGGGAGATGTGGAAGGAAATCGTTGCCGACAAAGAAACACATGAAGACCCAGTCATCAAGAGCGCGCTCCATGTTGAATGGGAATTTCCGAAGAGGCGAGTCCATCTCCACGGCGAGGTACTCTCGCAGAATATTGACATGGAGCCAGATGTAGGGCTTGAGTGGATGCTCGCTGGCACTCCACTCTTCCTCGGCTTCGGCTTCTGTAAGCTTTGACCCATCATCTGGGTGAGGGCAGTTTGGCCTAATGTGTCCTTTACGCCCGCAACGGGTGCAGTTCTTGTCCTTGCCGGAATCGAAGAAAACATCTTCTCGAAGAACGCGGAAATGAGGCTCATGAGTGGCGAGCCCAAGCATGATCAAATCAGCGTCTAGACCGTAGATGACATGGCGTGTATTGGGATCATGGGTGGGCATGGCGCGCTGCGAACGGATGAAATTCATGATTTTGTGTTCACCTTCACCAGGCACAGAGGCATCAGAGATGATGACCTTCATATCTCGCCAAGAAGGGTCGGTAGTGAACTTGTAGGCGCACCAGTACTGGAGACTCTCGGCGAGCATGTGCATGAAGGGGGTGCCTGGCGTGATGGCGTTAGAGTCCCACGTCTTTTCGATGACCTCGTCGAGGCTGGTAATGTCGTGGCCTTGATTGGCTTTCTGCGCATTGAGCATCTTGACGAACTCCGCCCGCTCTTCGTCCTTCTCTTTCGCTTCCTTTGCGGAACGGAAGCGGCGGGAGCGCTGCTGGTTCATCTTCGCACGAGGTGCCACGCCATCAACTGCGAGGTAGAGCAGCTTGCGCGGGCGCACCATACCGACAACGCGGTCAGTGTATTCGAAGATGGCGATCATCATGTCGGCCTCGGTCTTGGGCGCGGGCTTATCTTCTGGATGCGAACAAGGATGAACGATACCATTCATGTCGAGATACAGATTGTCAAACTCCTCGCCGTTGGGGTTCGGCTGGGTGCGGTCAACCGGTATGATGTCGTCGCCGACCTTCTTGGGCAGCTCCTCTGCTACACTTGATATGATCTTGGGGTATTTCTGGCTGAGCCAGCGGAACATGGCCGGGACACCCATGGCTGCGGTGTGCGCTGGCCTGCGCGCGGTTTCCGTCTACGGTGGATTGTGCGATGGCAAAACAGCGGGGCCTTGCGAGTGTTGTGCGCTCGTCGTAGGCGTCGGGCGAGCGAGCGAGACTGAGGGTTAGGTAGTACGCAGTGGTTGGCAGCCCACGCAATCAGGAAGAGCGACACTGGTTCACCTACTCTTATGAATGAACCTCTGGATAGAGGAACAAGCGCAGCTGGCGGTTGTTTGGTGGGTGTGCCGGCTGCCTAACAGTTGCGAAGTTGGACAGAAGGAAAGCGACCTGGGGCGACACAGGTGTAGCAAACCAGGCGTGATTGAAAAGCTAAGAAAAATGGTATGGGAGAGTCTCCCAGTAGTTGCGGTGTTCTCGCGGGCGTCCTAGGACCGGGACAGCGCGACGTGTCGAGGGGGGTTGTTGATGGGGATGAAAGAGACTCACGCAGAAAGGAATCTCTTTGGCACGGCACGCCAAGGCCTGGGGACTAGCGCCGGAACCCCGGTTGTTCCGCCCCGGATGAGTCGCGCCTGCTCCGTATCACTGTCCACCCTGCCCATTTTATGAACGTGTAGCTTCGTGGATTGCAGCTCACACCACGGGTTCATGCTGCTGTGAAGCACTCCAGGCTCCCTCTCCGCTCCTGCGATCAATGGGCCGCATTCCTGCCAACGCCCCGCAGTCGAGCACCACGTGTCCTCCCAACGCTACAAATCTACCTTGCTCGCCATGAGTGCGCGGTAGCTAGCGACCATCCTTCGAAGATGCTGCGAATGCTCGAGGCCCAGGCGCCGGCCAAACAAACCGCCACCGATACCATCAGCACGCTGAGCAGTCGCCTCGCCAGTGCACCTCTCCTCGAAGACCGCCGGGCTGCGATATTAGGGCTGCGCAGTTTTGCAAAAGAATATCCGGCGTCGGTCGCTTCCGGAGCCCTTCGCGGGCTGATTGCATGCCTGACAAAGGACTCTGACGATGTGGACACTATCAAAGTGGTGCTGGAGACGCTGCTCATGCTCTTCAACCCTAATGAGCATAGCCCGGAAGCCTCAGATGAGATAGCCTTGTGGCTGGCGGATGAGTTTACACAGGTGAGTGTTGAGTTGGACTGCAGATTGCTAGCTTGCCCTACCGTCGCTCTCCCGTCGAGCAACGCCCAAGCGGAGCTGGCGATTTGGTGGTAGAGTACTCAATTACCAGTACTGAGCTTATGGTAGCGGCAAGATAACATAACCATCCTCCTCGATCTCCTCGAAACGCCCGAATTCTACTCCCGCCTATATGTCCTGCAGCTTCTACGCGCAATCTTTAGCGCACGGCCGGAAAGGACGCAAGAATGCATCCTCACGGCACCCCTGGGCACACCTCGACTGGTAGCAACCCTGGACGACCCACGAGAACCTGTACGCAATGAAGGTATCGTTCTTCTTACCGACCTGTCGCACGCGTCGGCCGAGCTCCAGAAGCTCTTTGTCTTCGAAAATGCATTCGAGAAGGTCTTCAATATGATGCTGGAGGACGGCGGCCTCGCCCAAGGAGGTACGTATATCGAACGCCAGCTTTCCGAGATTTGAGTCTGCAAAGGCTTTTGAAAGTCTTCAACGAGTTGAGTCCGATTTGACCGAGACCGCTGCTAATGCATCACGCGGCGTTCACAGGCATTGTCGTCCAGGACCGCCTCTCACTGTTGGCCAACCTCGTGCGATTCAACGCCTCGAATCAAACTACATTCAGAGAGACTGGAGGAGTCGCTAGGTTCGCCTCGCTGCTACCAGGTGCGAAGAAGCAGAAGCCGGCGCGGACTAGCACAGACGACGATGACTGGGTTAGCCCCCATGCTGATAAGAATGTCTGGGGTCTTCTGGCAATATTACGCATGTTCCTTGTCAAGGGTAGCACGAGCACCCTGCCCAACCAGAACGCGTTCCAGAAGCATGGCCTCCTCCAGCAGGTCCTGAACATGGCGTTCGACCCCTCATCAGCAATACCTATCAAAGTCGAAGCTCTGAACACATGCGCGGATTTGATCAGGGGCAACGCTCGGTTACAAGAGGGATTTGCGCAGCTGCAGGTACGGCCCTTCGTTGAGCCCATTGCAAATGGCGCCACTTCACCGAACGATATCACGACCGTATATGTTATCGACGCTCTTCTGGACCTAGCTCTTACGCCGGCTGCGAACGAGCTCTTCGATGTGCGGTTTGCGGCATGCGAGTGCATTAAAGCTTACTTCTTCAACCACATGCAAATTCGGTTACATTTCCTCAGAAGGGCTATCGCTGGGCATATTGATGGCGATGAGACAGCGAATGCGTTGACCACGTTGCTTGCTGGCCCACAAGGCTCGCAGACGATTGATCCATATCGGACGTGGTTTGCCGCGACTCTCATATTTCATCTCATTTTCGAAGACCGCGAAGCAAAGAACGTCTTGATGCAAGTGACTGAGGGCAACGCGGAAAATGGAGAGGAAGTCGTCACTTGCATTCAGACTCTGACGGGAATTTTGATCGCAAGTCTGCAGCTAGGGGAAGACGAAAGGATACCCATCGCGTACCTGATGCTCCTGTCAGGCTGGTTATTCGAGGATGCGGCAGCCGTCAACGACTTTCTGGGGGAAGCAAGCAGCCTCCAAAGTCTTGTGCAAGCTGCGCAGAAGCCGGGCAACGAGTTTGTTGTTGTGCGTGGTCTCTGCGCCGCACTCCTTGGCATCATCTACGAATTCTCGACCAAGGATTCCCCTGTACCGCGGCGAGAGCTGCAGCCTGTTCTTACTACGAAGCTGGGGCGCGAGAAGTATCTGAATGCCATTGCAGAGCTACGTCATCATCCCCTTATCCGGGATTTCGAAGTGCTCCCACAGGGTGGCTCGGCCGGCGGGAATCTACCCGACGTTTTCTTCGATGAGATCTTCGTAGACTTCCTCAAAGACAACTTCAGTCGACTATCACGCGCGATCGACCGCGATCCAGTTATTGAGATCCATCAGTCCGTCGGCGGCATTGATCGTGACTTGGTGGACTCCTTACGTGGTCAACTCGACGAGAAAAACCAGACCATCGAGAAAATTCAGGGCGAGCTCCTCACCACGGAGCAGAGACTCAACCAGGAGCAGGCCGATCATCGGAGAACCCAAGAGTCGTCCGTTACGCAGCTGAATACCATCAAGAAGATCAATGACGACCTACATAGGAATCACGAAAATGATATTAGAAAGCTCGAGCGTGAGCACAAGCAGGCCATCCTGGAGCTCGAGAACAAGCACAACCTCCAAGGCGCGGCTCTAAACAATAAGTTGCAACAGGCCGTGAAGGAGTCCAGCCTAGCTGTTGCGAAAGTCAAACAGGAGTATGATGAGCGGCTGGCCGAATCGGCGCGCGCTCGCGGCGATTTAGAACGGCGACTTAGTTCGTCGGACCGTGCACGGCAGGAGGCGCTAGAAACTGTGCGTGGTCTTGAGCAGACTCAGCGGCGCACGCGGGACGAAATTGCGACCATCCACCAGACAATCGGTAAGTTTTGTATGTGTCTAAATGCGTTGAACGCCTTGGGGGTGGCATTTCCCGATCCATAACGCATGACCATATTCGACTCCCGTCGTCAAGAACAGGCCATTACCCATAATGACTTAGCTAACTACAAGTCCGCAGGCAACCTCCAGACCCATCTTCGTGACAGCGAGGCCCGGATCAAGCAGCTCGAGGACGAGAAAGATGCTCTGCAGGGCACTGTCACAAAATTGAAAGAGGAAAACCAGGATCTCAAGACGAAGCTGCAGGATCAGACATGGAAGGTCAAGGATGCGGAGGAGAAGCTGCGAAAAGCCGAGGCAAGTGTCCAAGAGAAGGAGGCGGCCAGGGCTGCCGCCCAGACAGAACTGGATGATTTCTTGCTCGTCCTCGGAGACCTTGAGGAGAAGAGGACCAGGGACAAGGTGAGCGCTTCTTCAGAACGGCAAATATGCCCAATCGCTAATGGGGTGCAGAAACGGCTCAAAGAGCTGGGTGAGGAGATCTCCGATGCAGAAGATGAAGATGAAGGTGAGGAGGAAGGGGAGGGCGAAGAAGAAGACGAAGAGTAGTACCATCACCTTTCTGTGCTTCGGCCCTTGCATCGCTAAATCGCATGCGGGCCATCCCCACTACATAGATGGATACCCTTAGTATTTGCCAGCTTCTACCACGCTTTGCGATGTGATTTTCTGATTGCATCCGGGAACGCCTCCCTACTGGCCTCATTTCTTCGACCTCTTATCACCTACCACGTCGAATACGTGCTGTTCGTTCATGGCTACACAACGGCAGCATAGAGGGGTAGCTTGCGCACATGTGGAAATTCTCGTCGCCGATCCGCCCCATGCCGTCTTGGCCTCCTCCGCCCACGTCAATCTTTCAACACTCGCTCGTAATAAGGTATATAGCCTTGTCTTTCATTGTCGCTCTCACCGGATTCGATCGGAGAGACTTTCCGGTGGTAAACGTCAGCAGGGTTCCAAGTCCGGAAGCTCGCCTGCGGGCCATCGTTCCTTACCAATACTTGCATTTCCGCAGACAACATTGTTTATCCTGCCTGCCTTTCTCAGACTTTCTACTCCTCGACCTCCTCACTTCTTCCTACATCATCCGTCCTAGAACATCTCCGCCGAACGTCGCCCATGACCGGGCGTTCATCATCTGCCTACTACCGCGAAAGAAACCGTCGCGGACGCCAGCTTCTCGTAAAGGGATTCAACAGGGTGACAACTTAAGAGCGCCCACTCCGCTACCTTGGATCGTCGGATTCTCTGTTCCAGCAAGACCTGCGCAAGTCGAACAACTCGACTCAGCTCTGCTCGTCTCACCGCAAAAATGTCAAATGGGAGCTTCACCCTGCACACAGAGCACGGGCTCATCAGCGTGAGCGACACAGCGCTAAAAAGTGACGCACCCGCCCTCCTCCTCATCCACGGCAATTCCTCGAGTTCTAAAATCTGGAGGCACATCCAGGCCAGCAAACGCATAACAGAGCGATACCGAGTCGTAGCGTTCGATCTCCCAGGCCACGGCGCGAGCGGGAACGCCCCATACCCCAACCAATCGTACTCTATGAGGGGCTACGCTGACCTGGCTGTCTACATTCTCGAGCACCTGTGCATCAAGAGCGTCGTAGTCATCGGCTGGAGCCTCGGCGGCCACACCGGCATCGAGATGATTCCGCTGCTTCCCTCGCATGATATCAGCATGAAGGGCCTCATGCTCATCGGCACGCCGCCTGCGCTCGGGAAAGAGCAGATAAATCGCGGCTTCATGTTCAAGGACCCACATTTATCCTTCTCCGCACAGCTGCACTGGACGCTCGACGAAGCGAAAGACTTTTCAAGGACCTCGGCCGGCGAGCCGTTCGAGCAGTGGATGGAGGAATGCGCTATCCGGACGGATGGGAAGTCGCGTCTGCTCATGTGGAGGAAGTTGGCTGATGGCGTGGGCCTGGATCAGCGGAAGACGGTGGAAGAGGACCGCGATGTGTTGATCGCAGTGGTCAATGGCGGCGCGGAGCCGTATGTCAACCTAGATTACCTGGACGAGATTGCGTGGGGGAAGCTGTGGAAGGGGAAGTGCTTGCGCTTGGAAGGGCTGAAGCATGCGCCGTTCTGGGAGAGGCCGACCATGTTCGAGGAGATACTGGAGGAGTTCTTGGAGGATTGTGCGAAGGCGTAGGCCGAGGAAACTCCCTGGGAGTGATTGGGGGCTGTGAGGAGGTATGGCTCGTCGTTCTCGAACCCCACAGCCACACCGCTTAGCAATAGCAGTAATTAGTGAGTACAAATCCAGCCACCCCATTCTTTTGCCGCCTTATGCGCTCCAGGACCACGGAGAGCACTTGGATCACTCGCCACGCGCCCCGCTGATATGCTTTCCGTTCGCCACAACCAGCTTCACGGATGTCTTCTACCTCTGATCCTGTATTTCTTATGGTCTTCGGTCGTTACAAGAAAAAGCCCGCCGAGGTTGATCAAGCGTGAGCAGGCCTGTCGAGCACAAAAGATTGTACCGCAAGCACACTTCTATGGTCGGGGAGGTCAGTTCGGGGGCCTTCCATTGGTCTGCTCCACGGCCTTGGGTCATTATTCTCATTCTTCTCGATGTTGTATACGTCTTTGTCGTCATTTATGAGACTCCGGCGATAACAATGGAATACTACACAGTACAGTGCGGGCACAAGATGAAATTCAGTCACGTGTGGTTCTATCAGCCCTGGAGCCATATGAGCCAATCGGAGACTATCACATCGCATGTAAATGAATTTCACCTTGTGCTGCTATAGATAGCAGAGGGTATAGCTATATCACTCGTTATTGGAGTACCTATACAAGAAAAACATGATATTATTGCTGCATGATGCAAATCCAGGTACATTTATGTCGGCAGTAGCGAAACATCGGAGGCCGCGCGTCAAGCTGATGACGTCAACCCCCACCAATTCACCTTGCCCGCCGACAAGCCACGACTATTATTGAAAGAAACCAGGTACTGCCCCTTGCATTCGAGAGCGTACCTGGTTGAAGAGCGTCTACATTCGGCAATCTGCCCGTGCACTGCACCTGCATATATCACGTCGTACAACGACTATCTATAGCAAACAGATACCGACCTTACGCCGAAAAGCCGCCTGACGTACCTCCTTCGGGGATACCAAACAATCAGAGGTGAAATACTACCTAGGTATGATCTGAAAACCGCCGATGCCGTCAGACCATGGAGACGCGCCCTGAGGCTGCCAGAATCCGGCTTGTTTGCGAAACATGCCTACGGCATTCGTCCAAGACCATCTCAAAAGAAACCTAGCGCCGGCTGTCGTGGCATCCCTAGAATTCACCGCTTGGCTTCCCCTAAGTTTTAGTCCCCGCCGCTTGAGGTAATGTGGCGATTTGGCCACACTCTTGTCGCGTGAGGCTTCCATAATGCACCGAAGGCGACCATACCGAGCCTGTTTCATCCAGGATGCACTGGGCACGTTAGCGCTGTCACATCCGAAAGCTGACCAAAGAGCTTAAAGAAGCTTGGTAAAGCTTGGTGGGTCCCTTCTTCGCGGGAGGCGGATCACCGTGCATAGGTCCCGCTGCCTGGGGCGCAGCCTTGTTGCGCTCCAGGACAGGCAGCGGAAGCTAGACGGCGGTATTGGCTTTGGCGAGCAGGTTTGCCTCGAGGTCTGGTTTCGAAGATGTGACGCAACAGAAGGAGCAGTGGGTATATAGGTCAGTTGTAGCTGCTGGAACGCTTTCCTCGACTTCAGACCTTTCTGCAATATTTTCGAACACAGTCTGTCAAGTTTTCAGTCTGTACGAACTTCTTTCAGTCTACTTCTAGTCCTGCTACGCAACATACAGCAAACATGTCCTCCTTTCAACGTTTGACCCTTCATCGTAGCCGTGCATACAAGAGTAATGGCACGAAGTCCTACGTTCATGCCATGAGGAAGTGTACGCCAACTTTCGTCTCGTCTAATCTCTTTAGCTCTCCGTTCTTATTGGGCCCCATTTCCCCTAATGATCTCGAGGTAGAAGCTTACACTCACAGATGGCTTCCACCCCACAAAGCCTGGACCATACTTCCAAGCCAAGGTCTTCGGCCAGCAAGGGAAGTTCGATGGCGTGGGCGGACGCGTGCGCACCCATTATGCTTTGCGCAAGCGCGCCGTCGAATCCTCTCAGGGTGCAGCGGCTTCGCAGGCCCATCAGGCCGCCGCCACCGACGCTGGCACTGGAGGTGAGGTTCCTGCTCAAGATGTTCAGAACGACTCCTTGTATCTATGTGAGGTTGGAATCGGTACTCCAGAGCAGAAGGTGTATCTCGATTTCGACACCGGCTCGTCCGACCTCTGGGTAAGTCCACCGCAAGTGGCGTAGAGTCGCATTCAAGCTTACCGATATTACAGGTTTGGTCGACCGAATTGCCGCAGAGTACTCTCAGCCAAGCCAACCCACAGAATCAGCAGGTGGCCTTTGATGCAACCAAGTCGAGCACTTTCAAGAAGCTCAGCGGAGCGACGTGGAAGATCTCGTATGGTGACGGCTCGTCGGCGAGCGGCGATGTCGGCACCGACGTGCTTGATCTCGGTGGCTTGAAGGTGGAGAACCAGGCGGTTGAGCTCGCAAAGCAACTTTCCCAGCAGTTTGCTCAGGTAGCTGACCTTTCGATCCCGCTTGAAACTCCACACTGACTGTCGAAGGGCAACGGAAGCGGGCTCCTCGGCCTAGCGTTCAGCTCCATCAACACTGTCCAGCCCACTCCCCAGAAAACCCCAGTGGACAACATCATCGCCCAGAAAGACGTCAGCGAGCAGCTGTTCACAGCGTACCTGGGCAGCTGGCGCGACACCGACGAGGCAGACAAGGGCCAGGTAAGGCATTCCGCACTCCATCACATTCCTCCTTCTGACCACGTATCCAGAGCTTCTACACCTTCGGCTACATCGACCAAGACACCATGACCGCCGCCGGAGCAAGCCAGCCCAACTACGCCGACGTCGACAACAGCCAAGGCTTCTGGCAGATCCAGTCCACCAGCGCCGTGATCAACGGCCAGACCGTGAACCGCAGCGGAAACACTTCCATCATGGACACGGGAACCACGCTCTGCCTCGTCGACGACACGCTCGTCGAGCAAGTGTACAATGCCATCCCCGGCGCGAAATACGACCAGAACAACCAGGGCTACGTCTTCCCGTCCAACACCGCGGCCGACCAGCTCCCAGAAATTACCCTGGCGATTGGGGATTCCCAGGTCGCCTTCCAGAAGGAGGATCTTGGCTTCGCGGACGCGGGTAACGGTATGGTATACGGAAGCATCCAGTCGCGCGGCTCCATGGACATGGATATCTACGGCGACGCGGTCCTGAAGGCTATGTATGCGGTATGTATCCACCCCTTCCCCCCGCACGCATTGTCATAGAGAGAGTAGAAATGCTGACTAGAGGTAGATCTTCGATATGAACAACGGGTCTCCGCGCTTCGGGTGGGTCCAGCGCAAGGAGGCGAACCAGAATACTTCTGTGCCGCCGTCGCAGTGAAGAGTGGCGTCGCCTGTGCTGGGATGAAGGCAGGAGGTAGCATGGTATGGAGAACATGGAGGTAGGAAGGTGCTGGCGGCCTTGTGGACGCTCCTTGATGGTTGGGACTTGCCTAGGCGTTCCGGAAGCTTTTTGCGCGTCACGACCTCTTCAACCGGGGGACTTGCTTGTAATGCTAGCTTAGCTCAGACTTCATCACGACATCAATGAATACAAATCTTGGATTGAAATACTGCATGTTTGTTTAGACGATTTATCCCATGCATGTCTGAACTCCAGGCGAAGCCTCACTTACTCTTCTTCCTCTATCGCCCGCTCGCTCGCGCCACCTGCACGCTTCCGCTTCTGTCTCGATACCAGCTTAGACGGCAGAAAGTAAAGCTATGCGTTGCGTAGCTTAGCTTCGCTTCGCTTCGCTTCGCTCCTTTGCTCGGTTCGGACTGAGGTTGTGCCGTCTGGGCCGCTTGTTATGGAACCTCTGTCACTCCACCGCCTTTTTGACCAGAGCTGCGAGCAGCTAGATCGACTCTTTGAAACCGATCGACGGAAGAGCGAGAAAACGTTTAGCGCGACGCGGCCGAGATTTCGAGGTTGGTGCTAAGAGCTAAGGCGAGAGGGAGGAGAGGAGGGAGAGGCGCGGAGGAGGGAATAGACAGGGTAGTAGGGAGAGGAGGGGAGAGTGCGTGTAAAAGAGGGTTAGGAGGAACGCATAGGACTTCGAATGAATTCTTACAAGCAATGGCCGAGCCAGTTGGACGACGATGCTAATAGTTAAGGTGTAGAGCGAGAGAGATTGATAACTAAGAGGGCCTATGTGAGACGCGCTTAATCACAAGACGATCAAGAGTAACGCAAGGAAACGTGCCTTTGCGCCAAAATGAACAAGGGAAAGTGCTAACTCTGAAAGGAACGGAACGAAATCTCTACTATGCATGTGTACAGAGGGCTATGCACTAACATCGCTGTATCTTGGGAAGAAGTAAGCATAATAAATGTAGCGCGTCGCATCGCGTCCCGTCGCTTCTGAACAGATCTCTCCTGTTGCGGTCTGCTTGCACATCAGCGGCCAGCAGTACTGTTATGTCCATCCACCAACCGTTTCCCCTTCGACCCAAGTCTCAAGCCCTGCCCGCGCTCTCTTTGCTGATTCGGTCAGAGAGAGGAATATTATCACTACTGGCGCGTGGCCCACTGAGGACTGCAGTTTTCTTGCCCTCGCGCCGCGCATCGACGATCAGGCTCAAGCCCCAGATGGAGAAGAACACTCCGGCAAGGACGCAATATACGACGATGGCGGTGCTTTCTTCCTCGGCGAGCTTGAGTCCGAGACCGCCATCGATGGCGCCGACAACGAGGACGATGCGGCCCCACCAGCGATGCGAGATGCCTAGGGTAGTGGGCCGGCCCGTTCTACGGAACTTGAGGTGGTGGAAGAGGCCGAGCAGCGCTTGGACGGCGAGCGCGAGGATGACAACGAGGCCGATGATCGGGTGTCCGTCCCACTGCCTAGTTGTCAGCAGGATGCTCGCCTCAACGCATTGGTAGCGCGGTCAACATACCTCCCCCTCTTCCACCGAGAGGTAGATTCCGGTTCCCGTGCCCGCAAACACCAGGACGTAGGTAAGAAGCTGCCAGCCGGCATGGAACCAGACCAGGCCCCTGAAGTTGAAGAAGCGCATCCATGACGCGCCTAAGGGGAAGAGGATGACGAAGGCGAGCGCCATGCAGATGCCATGAGCAATGACGATGCTATCGGGCGGTTCGTCTCCGCCACCAGGCTCCTCCTCGCCCTCGCTCTCTTCGCGGACGCTTAGCAAGGTGCCGTCATGGGCGAAACTGAGCGACGCTGCATGCTAAATGTGAGCTGATGGGTCCACTGATGCTGCATGGTCTTGACATACCCAGGAGTAAGAGGAGGGCAAGAACTGGCTTGGGCAGAGGAGCCTTCATTTTGTTGGGGGAAGGTGCAGGCAAGATCTGAGAAGCGATATCTGATTGAGATCTAATCTCTCCCAGACTTTCGAGGAATACACCCACGGTGGACGCTTGATGGAAGCAAAGCTGAAGTGTTAGGGAGGGATCGAGTAGCAATCGGAGGGAAAGACGTTTCTATCGGAAACGGGGTGCTCATGCTTTTATATCGGCTGATGCTGCCTACCCCCGGGCTTGAAAGGAAGCATTCCTTCCAAGGTTGCACGCGTCACCGTGTAACCGCGCGAGAGTCGTCATCACCACCGAGCGGAACATACTCCTAATGGCCCTCAGTAGAGCTTGGAAGAGCTTGAAACGTCCATTACACGGGTTTGGGAAGTTTATCCCCAGCGTCATGTTCTCTGTATCAGGAAGGCTCTTTGCACCACGTTGCGGACACAACGCACCGCTCGCCACTCCCGCCTCGCCTGACGCCCCATTTCGATACGAAGGGAGATATATTTGTCGGTCTGCGATCAGGGGCAACCGCAGGCCCACGACAACGCCAACGTCTCCTGATTCGTGAAGTCTCGTCTTGCGGGCGTCGGGATACGGCTGGGGCTTAGACGGTGACGACTCGATGGCGTATGCAGGCCATCTAGATGGCGGGAATAGACGGCGAGGTTGCTTTGTCCTTGGAAGTGGCCGCATTTTGGCAGTGTTGTTGTGGTGAGTTTTGCTGACAATTGTCAATTGCAGAGCATGTGATTGGCTGGAAGCGCGATCTGCGACCCGCCGCACGAGTGAATGTCCCGCTAGAGGAGCCGCTGGCGGCACCGATCGGTTTACGAAATATGCGGGATAGCGTGATACTGGCTGGGTGTAAGCCCCTTCAGGGGGATTCCTGGGTTATTAGTCATGCCACCGGCTTGCTTGAGCTTCTAGTCCTGCTTGAGTGCGCAACTTTGGGATTATGATCCAACTCGAGGTCTCATAGATGCGAGGGAAGGATGAGACGGAAAGGAGGACGTGTTGATGATTTCCGCGTGGGGAGAAACATGTTTTACCGGTACGGTGACACTTCATCTCAACAGTAGATTTTCCTCACATGGCAGAAGCCCGGGTCGGTATCTAAGCACCACACTCCTGTACTTACTGCGGCAAGTCTGTCATCTATCTTTTCGACGACTTTGTACAAGTGCTCGAACTCGAGTCCGAACGCACTTACTGTGTGGCTTTTGGTGTTTCCTTCATTCTTTAGATTAGTAGTACAAGCTGCGGGAGAAGACGGAGGGAACTCTGCGAGCGTGGGAGTATGCAAAAAGACGCTGAACAGGCGGGATTTTGACAAGAATATTGCGCAGTGTTAGATGGAGGAGAAGGAGGCGTTTCTGCCGGTGTGAGCATCCTCACTTCCTGAGACGATCGAATCGCTGGCCTTGAGTGCACGAGATCCTGGTACTGCTCGAATGACAAGGGGAGCAGTACGGCTTGGGCAAGAAGGACAAGCGATCACCTGGTAGAGCATTGCTTCGCGTGGAGACGCAAGAAAATTTTGGTGGCCTACCTATTATACACAAAAAATCCCACGGAGGAACTCGCGCAACCGTTGCGCCTTCCAGGGATATCCTCTAATCGATGTTGGTCGAGGACTCGCTGCCACCTCGCCACATATTACTCCGCACCATAGACTACAGAACAAGAACTGCCCGCATTCAACTTCTTCGTTGTCTGCGCGTTCCTCTCGTCGTCCGACTTCGTCGCAATCATAGTCGGGATAGAGAAGTGCTTCAAGCCCTCCGGAGCGTTGAGGATACCAAGCGCACTGTTCCCGCGCCCAGTGAACGGGAACACATCGGGGCCGCGCTGATCCGGCCCATTGATGTTGAGCCTGCCAACGTTGGGCGACAACGCGTCAACCACCTGCCCGAGCAGCTTCTCGTCGTACCCGAAGACAGCGCTCTGCAAGCCATACTCGCTCTTCCGGACTCAGTCGATCGGCGCTTGGATGTCGCTGTAGAACGCCACGGGCGTCGGCGGCCCGAACTGCTCCTCGTGCCAGATCCTCATGTCCTCGGTAACGGGGCCGACGATGGTGTGCGTGCACAGCGACTTGTAGCACTTCCCGCCGTTGTTGACGATGTGCGCGCCCTTGCTGACGGCGTCCTCGATGAGCTCCTTGATGTAAGACGGCTTTGTGTCTTCGCACAGCGGAGTGATCTTGACGCCGCCTTCCCAAGGCATGCCGAGTTTCAGCGCGTCGATGCTCTCCGCCAGCTGCTTGGTGAAATTCTCGGCGAGCGAGTCGTGGACCCAGATCATCTTGATGGCGGTGCAGCGCTGGCCGTTGAAGGATGTCATGCCGGACGCGCACCTGCTGACGGCGACTTCCAGATCGGCATCGGGGAGGATGATAGCGGTGTCCTTGGCTTCGCCCTTGTACATGATGTGCAGCTTCTGAGGATTCGGTGCGCCTTTGAAAAGGCCGGCAGCACTACTGGCGGTTCCGATGAATGCGACGCCGTCAATGTGGCCCGTCTGGATGAGAGCACCCATGACCTCTCGGCCCGACCCTGCGAGAAACTGAATGGTCCCAGCTGGGAAATGCTCGGCGAAGAGACCCAGTGTCGGAAAGTGAGGCGTTGCTCCATTTCGTGGCGCACGGACGATGACTGAGTTACCTGCAAGCGCGGCAGCATATATCAGCCAATGTCTTTATTTAGGAGATTCACAACTCGGGAATGCTTAGGCTGTAATTTTGTGCACCGAAGGCTTCCAGCAGGAGCTATGCAGATCACGAACGTAGGGCATGCTGGCGAACATACGTACCCATGAGTAGAGCGGGAATGGATGTAGTATAAGCCTCGGTAAGCGGGTAGTTGAATGGCGATGACGCGAGAACGGTTCCGTACGGCAGGTGTCGGATCTGGCACAAGATGCCCTTCTTCTCCTGCCACTTGCTCTCGGAGTCGGCTAGCGCTTTGGCCTCGTCGATGGTGGCGCGGATGAACGCTACGGTGCGGACGACTTCGTCCTTCGCGTCTTTCGCTGTCTTGCCAATTTCCCAAATGAGCAGATCGGCTATCTCATCTACCCGCGCCTCAAGAGCCTCAGCAAACTTTGCCATATGTTCGCATCGCTTCTCGGTGGCCATGCTAGACCACTCGCCTCGTCCAAAATTGTACGTCTTCTCCGCTGCATCAAGAGCCTTCATAGCCAGATCTTGCGAGGACATCTCGAACTTGCCCATCGTGATGTTCTGCTCAGGACTGTCCTGTGTAACGATTGGCGTCGCAACACCTGCGGGCTTCTCCTCGCTCTGGTACACCTTTCCGTCGACGAGGACTAGGCATTCAGTGGGTGTCGGGACCTTGAAATTTGGCTTTGAGCTCTTGACAGACCCAGTCAAGCTTGTCGTTGACTGGAGAGACGAGATTGAATGCGGGTGCCATGATGGAAGGGAATTCAGACGCTGGAAAATGCTGCCTGGGGTGCTTTAGGGTGGGATGCAATATGTAGATTCGGCGCCTTCGAAGGTAGCTTTAATACCTCTTCTTATCAATGAGTCTGGATTGCTTTTCTTCCGTCCTCCAATGTGTCTACATAGCATGTCAACGTGAAATCAGATGGCTATCAGCGACAATGGTGCGTCCCTGCTCAGTTACATCACCATGACTTTTCTTTTTAGATCCAACGTCCTTCCGGATCGTGATCCCAGCCGTGCGTCCGAAAACATCACCGAGTAACATCATTTTGTTTGTTTCTTTGCGTGCTGCGCTCCGCGTCAGCGGCTGCTGAGGGTGCTTGTGGCGTGAGGCTCGAATGGGATGAAGGATCGTGGTGTTGTGTCATGGGAACGGATGCGGAGATCGGCCAGCGCCACAATTAGATCGGGATTAGGTAATCACACTTCCTTCCGCCTCCCTGCTGCACTTCCGCCTCTCTTCTCATATTTAGCCCCGAAGGAGTGTTTATGAATAGCATGCCGTATTGGTGCGGACAACGTAACAACTTGCGGGACTCCTGAAGCCTTCCTCGGTAAGCTATCCCAACTCGCTCATCTTTAACGACGAAAAGTGGAGGCCTACTCCTAAGGAAAATAGATTTGTGATCGCCTTCCTGAAGGGATTTAGGGCCTATGCACTGGCGAAGATGTCGCTCAACGCCTTCGCCACCGTCCGCTCCCAGTTGGTTTCGCCTGGAAAGAGCGACCGTGTGTCTCCTGCCATGGATGAGCATAGTCTGGATCCGTAGAAACATTGATGTTCCAGAGCATCGTTGAGACACCCGGCAGGTGGTTGCCCTAGCCTGCGAAGTCTGAAGCCGTTGATTATGGGGAAATGGAGACTCCATTTGCTATGCTAGAGAACATGCTGATGCATAACGCTTTTTGCTAACCACCTCCGTCTCCCTGGTGGAGCAAATATCCATTCCGGAAACGCCAGTGCGAGACCATACACAGTCTCTCGCTACATTGATGGAATGTAGCATCCTTGCCGGGGCGATGTCCACGGCCGCAAGGTTCACATACGAACGCGCAAGAGGTAGCGAAGGCGTACTTGCGCGACGTCGTAGCAGATATACTCGTTGTAGTATAGCGATGCCCCATACACGCCAGCGTCACCCGGCTTGATCGAGACGTCGGGCTACGGAACTTCGTTAGTCTCGGTTATGCAAAGCTGAGTCTGGATCCTTCGCCCCAAGATCCTAAGAGAGGAATAAACTCACCATCATGACTCCAGCCAACGACTGGTGCACGCATTTTGCGTCCTTCCACTGGCTTGGCCCGGTACGACCCTTGCCCCACGTACTCCACATACCCTTGGCTTTGGCATCCTCACCAGCAGTATATGAGGCGCCCAAAAGCTCTTGTAGCGGATTTCCGAGCTCAGCTTCACAGAGCAAAAGTAGAGCCGTACCACCCGAGTTGTGAGAGCAGCAGTAGTTGGCGGACTTCGAGGACATATCCGCCAGATATATGCCCTTGCCGAACATGTAGCCAGAAACGGGGGCTTCCGGCGGAGCGATCCTCAGACCCTGGCCTAGGATACCACCGAAATTGGTGACACGGGAACCATGCCATAAAAGGCGACGATTGCTCGGGACCTTGGCGTAGGGGCTCTGCTCAAAGCGCTCAACCTCTCCTTTGCGGCTGATGCGGAAGATATTCTCGACCGAGTAGTTCATGTAGTGAGTGTCACCCTTGCTGTTGATGAGATAGTCAGACAGCTCGGTAAACTCTTGGCTCCTCGGGTCCAGAACTTCCATCTCGTCCAGACCCAGACCCTGGAACTGGCGATCGAGAGGATGGATGTCGCTATCGTCCTTGAGGTTGCTCTTCATCAACGCAGCTGCGTCCTTCATGTCGCCCAAGCTCTCGAGTAGCTCGATTTCCTTCCTAAGGACATCATTGCTCCGTATGACTGGGGGACGATTACGGCCGAACGCATGAGGAATGAGCGAGTAGTAGCGGTTCGAGAGTTGCTCTGTGGCGTCCGGAACGGACATCCCGTATTCCGATGAAGCCAGCGTGTGATCGTCCAGTAGGGCTCCCAGATCTTTTAGGGCCTGGAAGCCGCGGTTGATGGTGGCCTTGCTGAGCTTGCCGAGGGGCAGCTTGTTCGCGTCGTAGTTCAGAGCTGGTAGTAGGAGGAATTAGCGAGTGTTCTTGCCTTAGTCAGGGCTCCCTAAACCCACGGCTAGGAGGTTCTGTAGTTGCGTGTTGCAATATACTTACCCGTCATGGTAGCAGCAAAGTATTGCTGGTTGAAGATCAGCTGCATGAGCTGCTGCGAGGGGGGGTCAAGGGCGCATTTAACAGAGCCGCGCCTGGCTTCACCCTTCGCGTCAGCGACTTGCCCATCGTCATCATTTTGCTCCTCGTCTTCGGAGTCTGGATTGTAGCTCTTCTCGATGTAAGCATATTTGCCAGTCTTCGGGTTCTCCGCACGGTCAGCCCACTTCAGGCCAGACTTTCCCAGGAACTTCGCCTCGAATTTTTTGATAGCGTCATCCAGTGAGCCGTTGCCCAGAATAGCGTTCTGACCTCGCTCGCCGACACGGCCCCATCGGGTCCAAGTCTTGTACTCCATGCGCGCAGGGTGGCGCAGAAGCTGAGGAAACGTCAGAACACATTATTATGGCTGGAGTCCTTCAATGAGTACCTACCTGAATGCGATAGAACTTGTTGTTGTTCGCGGTCGCATTGGTCTGATTCAACGACGCATCCCAGATCATGCCATCGCCATCGACGTGTACCTGATAGTCGGAGAGGGGGCAGTACTCGTCCAGAGGGATTAGAATCCTGGAAGACTTCGCGTTCTGGCCGTCACCAATCTTGGCCTCGGGCTTGGGTGCCTCGCTCTTCTTCTGCTTCTTCGGCGGTTGTGAGGCCACCGGAGCTGCAGCTTGAGAGAGACTGGGTGAAGCGGCCCGCTTCTTTGAGCCATTGGACTGTTTCTGGCCGGCAGCAGGCGAGAGAAGGTACGCCGTGTGGTCTGCCAGGGCATTGGATGATTCGCAATCGTCAAGCCAATCGATACTGACGATGGGCACGTCATTGGCTATCGCTGCTTTAACCTGCGAGGATTCGCATTAGTGCTTCTCAAATCTAAGTAGTCTCAATCCATTATTGAGGGCCGTGAGGATCGGCTTTCTGGAGCCGAAACACGCACCTTGGTCGTATTCTTCTCGACCTCTTTCTCTGTCGCGATAACGTAGAACGTGTTGGAATTGACCGTTTTTGCGAAAGTCCCGCCTAGCGAGGTGATACGGTCCTGCAGAGCGGATTGGGTGGTGCCGGAGATTGAGCCACTGATGGCCACAATGTAGCCGTCAAGCGGCGCAGCGGCCTTCTTGGTTGCCTTGCGGGGAGGCATTGCAGCCTGCAATGAATGAGGAAGTGGAGGAATCAGAAACCAGTACGACAGTTGAAGGGTGAGTGGTGAAGTTATTATACGGTGACGTTCGCGTCAGACCTGAGTGGTAGGTGCGTCTGCTGCCTAGCGCGCCTCCCAAAAACGCGCTATCACGAGCCGGCTGCCTGAAGGATCCACCCACCTCACGACAATAAAGCTCCCCACGACGCGCTGGTGCTCCGACACAGCGCGAAACATCACCAGAGCAGGCATCAGTCGTCGCGACTCCGTCTCCATCGTCACATGGGATCTTGAAGGCCTCCGACCTCCAAAACAGCCCCAGCCCCGCAATGGCGTCTCTCACCTCGATTCCCCTCGAGCTCCTCGTGCACATCTCCTCATACCTTTCCACGCCCGACCTGGGCTCCCTCCGCCGCACATGCAAGCTCATCGAGAAGTCGCTTTACGAATGGTTCTCCAAGGAGTTTTTTTCAAAGAAGCAATTCATGCTCTCGCAGCAGAGTCTGCAGACCTTGATCGACATCTCGAAGCATGCAGCCCTCTCCAAGAAGGTCACGCATGTAATCATCGCCACAGACCAATTCAGCGAAACCAATGTTCGTTTCAACAATAAGGACTCGTGCGAGCGGTACCGCCAAGGATATGTCGACCAATTCACCCTCAAGAACACAGGCATTGACCGCGAAATGCTCACCGAAGCGTTCCGGAATCTGCCTAACTTGGGGACGGTCGGGATTCGCGATTTCAATGCTCCAAGCCGTTTGCGGGACGGTAGTGATGCGTACTGGACCAGCTATGGTTCAACTACTGTCTTTCGAGAAACCCGCCTTCGCCTCCAGCTTACTGGTCCCGGAGCCCCCTTTGTCCACGAGGATGTCCAAGCGCACTTCGTGTCCCACGCCTTTTCGACTGTGATCTATGCCCTAGGAAAGGCGGGCTGTACGCCACCCGCTATCGAGATCCTCCTTCGCCAGCATAGTTCTGGACTTCCTGATCATGCCTTCAACATCCTGGACTTCGCGCTCCCAGCTGTCAAGCCTGTCCTCCAAGGATTGAAGAGCATACTACTCAGCCTGAATCTGCAAGTCAAGCCCGCCTATAGATATGATGGCCGGACGCCCGATGATCAAGACGCCGGTGTATTCCTCCAACGCTTCTTGACTCGTACGCCCAACCTCACTCATCTCCGCTTGAACTTCCAGAAGCACCAGCAAAACGAGAATGAGACTTTCCTGCGCTGGCTCGGGAAAACGAGTCCTTCTGCCTCGGCCGGGAGTATCACAGCATCCCCATCCGCCAGGATTTCGACTGCCCAAACCGTCACTTTTTCTCACCTGCAGCGCATCGATTTCGGCATGCTGACGGTATCGCCCGCACTCTTGCAGGCCGTGTTGACCAAGTTTGCTGCGACATTGCAAGGTCTGAGCCTGTGGAGCATGACACTCGCGTTAGCCGGCCCTTTGCCAGATCCTGATTCGAATAGAAGCCTCTGGTCCATCCTCTTCGCCAAGCTTGCAGAACTACCCCAACTAGACTTGAATTATGTCATGGTCGGCAGGATAAACGAGCAATATGGACTCTCTCCCCAGCTACAAGTGGACTTCAAGGCTCAGAAGCCAAACAGGAACAACCTCATCGATGACGACCAGGGTGGAGATGAGCAGGGGCCAGGCCCGTTGGAGACGATGGCGGAATACACGGGGAAAGACGGGAAGACGTTCCTGAAAGCACTTGTGGAGCGTGTGCATGTGCACTGGCCGGCTCCGGTGGTCATTGAGGACTTTTCTGAAGGGGCGTCTGATGACGACGAGGAGATGCTCGACGAGGACGCGGATGAGCCTGAGGAGGAAGATGATGAAGAGGACGACGAGGACTAATCGGTTGGGCAGATCCTTGAAGCGGACCAGTGGGCTATGGGCCTATGACTGGCTACTGTTCGGGCTACGTTATCCCGTGAGCACTTCCGGCTCGACGTGGCATGCAAAGCAAGTCCCGCGGCATCCTTCTTTTCCAAATTGGAAGTTTCGTGCTGGTGTTCCGTGCTCTGAAAGACTTCTGGGTCTACGATGTCTGCTTATCTCTCTGGATGGCCTTCTGTTTCTCCTCTCCCGGGGATATACTTGTTCGCGAGAGTATTTTCTTCCCGTTTTCTCCTCAGCGTTTGTTTCTTAACCATCTGTGTGCGATCGTCACCGCCGGCTTTCCCTCTTCCGTTGGAAAGTTTCGTACTCTTCTGGTTCGCAGCTACTCTTAGGCCAGAATAACATTCCCAAAGACACAAAATAGAATCCAGTAACTCCATCGCCCTTCGGGTTTCATTTGGTCCTTGTTCTCTCGATGCGAAGGTAGCAAGAACTGGGTGAAATAAATCTTTTGTAGAAGGCGCTAGGCATGAGTGCAGCCGTTATCCGTGATGTTTGGCGTCGCTGTAGCTGAGTAGAAATGGGGGTTGACATCACTGTCACATGAATCTGGGGCTGAAACTCAGGGGTTGTAAGCCGAGGACATCGGCGTTCCTGCAGCTTTGGTGTTATCATCAGCGCTCTAACCCTAAAGAAGACCGCCTCCGGCGTGGCACTCCATGCACCCCGCATGATGCACGCGACGCCGCGCGAATGCTACAATACGTGCCTTCTGCTTCGTTTACTACGTCTACCTTCGACATGACCTTGAGCTAGAGGTGGAACATGGCCGGCTCCAGGCGACCGCGCATCTTATTCGGTGCTGTTATTGTTATCTTTATTGTCATTTTCACGAGATGGCAGTACGAGGCGGCGCCGACCGCACCTCTACAGCTGGAGGAGACGAATTCTAAAGGGGAACCCATATCTCTAAACCTTCCACCAACACCGTCAACGCCGCCGAACCCCTCGACGCCGCAACTGATACAGGATGCTCACAAGCTCGGATCTGCGGACGACTTCCTACCGCACTTTGCGGCAGTGCGACAGCTTCCGGCATTGAGCTTGGCCGAAGCGAAGAAGACCTGCACATGGGGACCGGACACGTTTGTCAATTTCCAGTACACCGAAGAGGATGATTGGGTGAAAAAGGACCGCCCAGACGACGAATTAGCGCAAAAACGCGAAGAATGGCACGCTTTTGTGGAGAAGAGCATGCTTCCCTATGCGCAAGTGAAGGACAAGTTCAGCGGCCGAGGCCTTGTCGTCTGCGCCGGAAACCAGGATACGCTCATGCGGCTCAAAGTCATTCTCCGGGCGCTCAAGAAGATAGGCTCCGCGATAGCCATGGAGGTGCATTACTGGGCCGACGAGATGGACGAAGCAGCGAAGAAAGAGCTCGTCGAACTGTATCAGCCAAACGCGATGCACTTCAACGACCTCTCCGGTCCGCACAACATCCTCCAGGTCAAGAAGGACCAGCTCTGGATCAATTACCAGCTGAAGACTGCCTCCGTCATCAACTCGCGTTTCGCTGAGCCTCTGCTACTCGACAGCGATAACATTCCGATCATCAAGCCGGAGGAGCTCTACGACTCGAGCGTGTACAAGGAGTTCGGATCTGTCTTCTGGCCCGATATCGCTCGAACACGATCTAACAACCCCATGTGGGCCATCACAAACACTCCATGCGCGATGGACGAGTACGAGCAAGAGAGCGGCCAGCTGCTCGTCGACAAGCGCCGCTTCTGGTATCACCTGCAGCTCGCGACATGGTTGAATAACGAGCAGGGGAAATACTACAACGAGTTCCTGCTGGGCGACAAGGACATGTTCAGATTTGCGTGGCACGCGCTGAAGACGAAGTACGGACATCCGAAGAAGTGGCTCACGAGCGTGGGCACCGAGAATGACGGCTACTATTGCGGGCACTCATTTGCGCAGCACCACCCAGATGATGAGCGCGTGGCATTTTTGCACGGCGGCTTGGTGAAGACGGTGGACCTGGATGTCATGAGGTGGAACAGAGATCACAAGGGAGGATACTACCGCAGTTATAAGAGCGCGCCATCGGACGAGGACCCGGCGACGAGCGTGAATGTCGCGATTAAGTTTGACAGCGCGGATTATCTGCCGAACAAGGGCCCGGGTGTCAAGGTCGCGCAGTGCACGGATATGAAGGATGTGGAGGCGCGGGACATCAACGAGATCTTATTTGGATTCGAGAAGACGTTTGAGGAGATCGGTGGGTATTGGCAGCTGGATGCAAATAGATAGAAGGGAGAAGAATCCTTGACCTGGCGATCGGCGAGCCCAACCGCCTGTATACAGTTTGGTGATCTCTCTTTCTCGCTGGACTCTCCGCCGTCAACGGGCAGCCTTTTTGCCGGGGCCTCACTTTCCTTATTCGGTGCGTATTCCGGGAGGTCAGGATCGTCGTGCTCATATACTGGGAGCTGCTCCTTTGACCTTCTTTTCCTTCTTCTTGCGATGAAGAGCATAGAGGATGGCGACTAGACACAGAATTCCACATGAAGGCCCTCTCGAAGCCAGAGAAGGCGGCTGCGGTTTTATTGAAGGATATTTTAGTTCTGAGCCGGTCTACTCTTCATCGTGCGCAGGCCGAAATCGGCGCTTGCCGTGGTTCATTCGGGAGTACGGAGTGGGACAAGTGCTTGGGTAACGTACTCCACGATCCATTAAATATCTCCTTAATTCATCATATGTCGTATATTACGAACTCAAGTCACTTCTAGCCGCTACGTTAGCTATCAGACCTTCTGCCGCGCGGTCCATTGGCCATCTCAGGCAAGATGATCTTGTTCCATGGCTCACTCTCCACGCTCGTCACCGCTGCAGCCTTCCCGGAACCACCTACTACGAACGATGTTGTTGCAGCCATTCGAAAAGCTTTGCAGAAGCTCATCTATGCGACCAACAGCGGCCAGGCTTCCGCCGAGCCGGACTCTCAAATGGACTGTGGGACACAGGAGCAAAAGCGCTGGCATGCCCCAGTATTGAAGGGCCATTTCCTCCTACAGCAAATGGAGGCTATGGGCACGGGCACGGGCGCTGTATCGGGCAAGCCTAGATGTATTTCCGAAAGCGAGTTTGTGGCATTCCCTGGTGAGTAGAGCCCTTGAAGCTATAGCTATCCCGATTTACTCTGAGAATGAACAACCTACGAAAGGTTACAGGAAGCTGATAAGTAATAGATGACTTAGAAAAGTGGGGCTATAGCTTTACGGAGTGGGACAATCACTATGATTTCGATGTCTCGGTCCCCCTGAGAAAAGCTCTAGAGGGCTTAGGAGTCAGTTCGAAGACAAAGTTAGAGGGCGGTCCAAACCGGGCTTACTTATGGGACCACGAGAACGAGAAATCAATTCGTGGCACTTTGTACAGGGTAAGTTGCTTCTACATCTACCCCTTCAGGCTTCTCTCTCCTCACTCACCATAGCCGACACGAGCAAGGTTCCTCATGGTCATCAACCCTCGGGATGGTGTTATTCTTTCTCTTAGCTCTTACGCTCCGTGGCACATGGCACAACAACAGGTTCCTCCAGTGACAGTCCTGCCAAAACTGAAGGCTTACAGCGATATCACATTCTTGCAATGGTATGGCTCACACGGCAGCGACAATAGAGAGGCCGCGCAAAACATTAGTGCGTCTATTATCCCACCAGGCGTTCGCCTTACAATCCGGAAGCTCTTTGACTGACCTGAGTGCAGAATTCGTCTTCCAAACACCCATCGAAAACGCTGACACCAAGGCTATTATTACGCAAGCTCTTTTCAAAGCCGGAAAAGAACTTCGCCCCTGGCCAGGAGTGACGTTTAGCATGCACACGGATGAAGGAAAAGCACTTCTCGGGTCGCCGAATGGTGCCGGGGTAGCTTTCATGCTGATACAGCATCAGCAGCAGCTCGGTAGGAAGACGATCGCAAGGGTCACTGTCTTCCAGGATGACGGGGCTAAGCAGCCGCGGCCGCCGAGTATGGTGTTCCATGTCACCGATGCTCCGACTCACAATGAGTAGAGCTAAACCAAAAGTCCGGAGGGGATGTAGATGCTGTGAAATGGAGCGTGGTACAGGTGTCATCGCGTGGGATCTAGGTCTCCAGTAGTCAAGTCAGGTCTACTATGATATTACTAGGTCGTGATTCGTGAGCTAGATAGCTTTAGGGCAAGAAATAGAAGAAACATTGACGGAGGGGGACAGCGTAGACTCACACTGCCCCGCTGTGTTCTGTCTAGGCGTAGTAATGGATCCAGCGCGCAAATAATTGGGAAAGAGGCGATCCTAACCCAATTCTCTGGGATCAAGGGGGCATATGGAGCGGTTTCTCGCGGTCTTCTTGATCACTCTGTACTTTCGCCTGTATTTCCTAGTTATGGGGTATGCCGTTTAGACCAACTCTTTGGCAAGAAACTCGCCATGTCATAGTTGGCCCTGGAATTAACAGGCGTAGAGACACTCGATATCCTACTACACTGACGACTACGCCAACCTTTCGCATTCTCCCAAGCCGAAATGGACCTCAGCCATTCCACCCCATTGAGTACCCCATAGCTTCTTCTGCGCTGCAATGACCATGAAGCAATGCTGAAGATAATCCTCATCCAGCAATTTCGAGTGTATGAAGACTGGAGAGCTCTTCCGCCGCCGCTTCTGCGTCGTAGTAGCATGCTTGTGGAAGCCAGGCATCTGCCGTAAGATCGAGACTACATCCGTTCGCTATGGCTTCACCTCGAGTGGATCCGCAATCTAGTGAAAGGCTAAGGTCGTTGACTGCAGATGCGGGGAGCCACGGTCTCTGGTAGAGCAAACGAGAAAACACCACTAATGTGGTTGTCGCAATGAAAAAGATGAGCATCGCCAGAGCGAGCTCCTGGAAATGTCTCCATTTTCTTCTCTCGCTCGGGGACGTATGCAAGTACTGTCGCTCACTATGTGAGGCTACCTCATTGACTTTGATAAAGCTCGAATTCTCGATGAGATCGATATTGAAATGAGCCCCAAGCGAATGATGCTACCCTCATGGCTTCTCAACCACCCAGCATATTCCGTCAAGAGCCTAGCGTCGACGTGGATCTGGCATGGAAAGCTCTGCGAAGTTCAAAGCTGGTACCTATCTCCAAAGACCAAATCATCACTATGGGCAAAGACCCCTCCCAAGCAGTCCAGATACCGGAAGATTGGGGATACGGCAACGGAAGCTACTTCGGACGGGTCGATGTTTTCCACCAGATCCATTGTCTCGATGCACTCCGACGAGAAGCATACTGAGACCATTACTATGACGCGAGATACCCGCATGGGCTGAATGACACCAATGGCTGGCATCGCTCCCATCTATCGCACTGCATCCATCTGCTGCTGCAGAACATCATGTGTAATGCGAACACTGATGTTTACCCGCACATATGGATTGATAGTATTATTGATCATCCGTTTCCCGCCTCCAACATCGAACACAAGTGCAGAGATTTCGGTTCTATACTTGAATGGCAGCGAAGAAACGCTTTGGATGAGAAGGAATTCGTAGAGCTGAGAAGGCCCGAGGGGTATGAGTACAGGAAGACGAACCATGCGTTCAAGGAATTGGTGCACTGGTTCGACATTCACGAGGATGACGGAGATAGCATGAAGTTGATGTTGAAAGTTCGGAATCATTTCTCATTGTTCTTGTCACAGTTACATGCTCTCCCCGTATGGTAATCTTGACATTGTGCCATCCACTTGCTGTTGTTTTCATATGCCGTCGCTTTTCAATACATCGTACGCGCTCGAATGACCGCCCGGAAGAGGTGCGCATATTTGAGACCGAGGTGCGCATATTCCAGCACGGCACTTTTGATAGACACGGTGAGAGGCAAGGTCAGCGTGAATTGAAGGAACTCCGTCATCTGTCATCGATGACCACCTGGAAAATAGTCCCGCTCCCACGCTGGTCATCGAGCTGCCATACGCCCCATTGGTCTGCTGATGCCGAAACTGTAGCCTGCATTCCCGTTCTAACTACGTGAAGCCGGCAACCGAGTTAGCTGGTTGCTGTTCATATATATTGCGAGACCAAAATGAGGATATTCAGCGCCCCTGATGTTTCGGCGTGGAGCCACTGTTTCACCACCGCGGGGTTCTACTTCCTCCTGGCCACCAACACTCTGATGCTGGCGTTCTACTGCCTCAGTCAGCTCTCCCTCTCCCAGGCTCCTCGTACATCATTTTATCACCAAGTCGAGTCCTCACAGAATGTCTACGACTCCGCAGCTTCCCCGGAAGGTCGCTTATACGACTATCTGGGACAGGTGCCGAGAGTCTTCTTCGCCGACCTCCTCCGCCAATATGAACAACCGGTCAACGACGACGGCCATGGCAGCAATCTCCTTGACGAGGCTAACTTCCCATATTCGCAGAAGTTCATCTACGTAAAGGAGCCGAGTAAAGAGAACCTCACTGTCATGGGTGTGTCCATGATACATTAGCTTCATTGTTTGGGCGCCGCGAGGCACACGATCGAAAAGATGCTCAATGGGAGTGACTGGGAAAAAGCGAATTCAGGGAGTTGGGTATCGATATGAAGTTCGTGCGAGAGCACATTGCGCATTGCTTAGACTACGTGGCGCAAGTGAGTTGATCCAGGCATACGAAGGAGATTATTGAGCTAAATTTGACAGGGCATCGCATGTGCGGGTGATACGCTGGGACCGTCTTCCATCACGATGCACCCGGCCACGGGTGCAACGGTGAGAGTAGTACATAGTACGGGTACTGTGCATCAGTGCCGGGATACGAAGCTGCTTTTGGATGCCGTGTCGCAGACGAGGAGGGAGCCGATTATTATGTATCGAGATTGGGAAGACGGTGATACATTGACTAGCCTCGTTGACGGTAGCACGAAATAGATTGAGAACGGTTAGATCGGTTGGACAACAAACTTCAAACCTTCGGGAAATATCAGTTATTGTTATGAATTTGCCTGCACCATTCGAACGGGTCAGAAGCGACCACACTTATAAGAAACATAGGAGCTCTTTACTGTCCTCACGTGCCAGGCAGATGTCACGCCTGTTCTCTTCCAGAGGGACGCGTCTGGTATCGGGGCCTGGAAGACGCACGACGCTCCACATAAGTGTAAGGACCCGGAAAAGATGTCGCAGTGGCAGATAGAGCACGAGGTCTGTCAAACCAATTGTAAGCCGGGTCTGGAGCTCGTTTCTTAGAAGGGAAGACATGGTTAGGGAAGGATATGAGGATCGTAAGAAGGGAAATCTGTGGATTTGTGGTGTATCTATGGAATCGTCCAAGCACCCGTACCGTGGATGAATCGTACCCTGTACCCCCTAGTCACCTTTATCCAGCCACCTGACGCTTTTGAGTTCCCGCTAGACCTTGGTGGCCCGGCTTTGAACTTCCGCACCACTTTCATCAGCAGGGGAGAGACCGGCCTTCGCTGGACCGCATAACTGTACGCCTTCTTTGCTGAACCTACTCCCATGCACAGGACAATCCCAGCTCTTCTCGGTGTTGTTCCAACAGACGACACCCTTCATGTGCGGACACAAGGCGCTGAACTTGTGCACCTGCCCTCCGTCATCCTTGTATACTGCCATAGGCTTGCTTGCCGTAGGGTTTAGCACGCCACCCTCGCCGGGGACCAGATCCTCAATGTCCTTGATGTCGGACTGCGTGAACCGCTTGTACTGCGTGTTGATCTGCACATCGTGAGTGATCATGCTGCCAGCAGACTTCGCGATGCTGAGCAGACGGCTTGGGTCGTAAAGCTTCGCCCACGGGTTGCTGTTTCCAGTAATTTCGTCCGCGATGAGCTTTCCGGCAAGTACACCGTGCGTTAGGCCGTTCCCGCTGTCGCCGGTGACAATGTATGTATGTTTCTGGCCCTGGTTCTTTCCGATGAACGCCATGTAGTCGACAGGCTCGAAGACTTGCCCACTCCACTTATAGTCGACGCTACCGGCCTGGGGAAATCGTACACGTGTCCAGGATTCCAGTTCCGCCAGCGGTGCTGACGTGTCGCCCTGGCCGACTTTGTGATCGCCACCTCCCACAACAAGGTAGTCGTCCTTCTCGTCGCATTCGGTCAGGCGGACATACTTATACGCTTCGTTTGAATCGTAGAAAAGGCAGTCCTCTACCGAGCCCTTCGGCACCCGGATGGCGATACAGTACGTGCGATAGTACTCTTCCTCCGCGATGACCGAAAGCTTCTGAAGTAGCACACAAGTAGCCTCTACAGCGTCGCGACACTTGATGGTATTCCCGTCGAGCATTTTGACGTAAACATCCTTGTGGCCCAGGCCAAGCACTTCGACGCCTTTCTCCTGTACGTCCGTAGCCCGCGTATAGGTGTAGCAGGAGAAGTTGGGCTGATTCTTGAGCCACTTCAGAACGCCGACGAGGTATTTGGTGGGGTGGAATGTCGCCTGACCGGGGTATATCACGGCGTCGCGCTGGTCGATCTTGCCTTCCCAGCCTTTGATCGCAAAGCCTTCCTTGTACTCCGTAGCGATTCCAAGCTCCTTCGCTTTCTCACCATCCGTAATGAGCTCTTTCATGTCCTCCGTATGTTCGCTCTGGTCTCGCGGGTACTGGGAGATATCGTAGCCGGGAAGGTGGCGGTACTCGCACTCGATACCGAGCTGCTTGGAGAGCTCGCCGACGCGATTGAGTGCCCACGTATGCGACTCGGCGGCCATCTTAGCCCCAGAATCGCCATGCTTCTTCGCAATGTTGGTATATCCGTCGTCGAGGTCGTTGGCGAGATGTCCGCTGGTACGCCCAGTTTCACCCGACAGAACCTCGCGAGCCTCGATCATAACCACGCTAAGACCGCGGGTTACCAGCTCGTAGGCGGTCGAGATGCCCGCAATTCCTGAACCGATGATGCAGACATCAGTCTCGAGATCTTGATTGAGCTTAGTGAATTGAGGGCGGTTCGAATACGGCTCCTTGTGGACCCAAACCGCGTCCGTCTCACCGGAGGTCCGCATGAATTGCTTGGGATCGGACATGGTAGCCATGGCGAGTCGTTGGCGCAGACAGAAGAACCTTGGGAGATGATACCGTGTCGCGTTGAATGCTGGGCTTCGCGCGATCTGGAAGAGAGAGGCTCTCGCAGCGCACTGCAGTGTGTTAGTTGATGCCGTCACCAGGCGAACAACAGGGTTAAGAAGGGTCATTGTTTGGCCGCAATCATGACATGTACATGCATCTCGTGAACTCTTTAAGCGGATTCCGACTGGCTGACAGAAATGGATTGCGTGAATGGCTGTGAATTTGCTCCTTCAGGCCCCGGGGCGGCAGAGCACCGATATTATCACTATGACGATTTGGTGACCAGCATCCCTGCCTACCCTCCGGGACTCCGCATGGCGCACAGATGCCATTGCTAAACCTTTGCGTACTGTGTACACCCAGTAATTGCCCAAGAACAGACTGGAGGCTAGTAGGCTGGTGCCGGACGCACTAGATAGCGCAGTGTTTACATGCCTGGAAGGTTCAAAGTTTCGGGCTTTTAAGTTGTCAGCCTGCTAGAACGAAATGGGTATAGCGCGTCGATCAAAACACGCGGGCGGGTGGGGTCCGTGGCTTACCCCACAAAAGTTTCAACTATCTCCTTTCTCTCCATCGACGGACATAGGTGCCCCATCGCCGCGCCGCAGTTGCCCACGTCTTTATACGCCGTTATCCAAAAAGCATAGTAGATGTTGACCCCGAAAGCATGAAAATAGCAAACTGGTTCTCCTTAGCCGAGATACCATACCTGGGCTGCGGATTTCACGACAACACCACGCTGAGGAGACCGGCTGGATGAAAGATCCGTCTCGTCACATATCGGCATCTTCTTATCTAGCTGAACTACAATGGCCCTATTTTCTTCATCATTTACCACAATCACGTCCTTCGAGATCGAATCTCTGACTCCAATGAACGGAGACTCAGAACAGAGCACGTAACGCTGCACAATACCCTCCAGATTCCTAAAAGACAAGGGGTATGGCATCTGCTACTAGGAAATTACCCCTTCTCTAATCTAGATGTTCCAGATTCGTCACCCGAATGCCAACCACCGCGTGGCGATGCTAAGCCATTCTCTCCAGGGCATCGTCGACGTACCTGTGCTCAATTTGAAATACGCTGCATCACTCCTTAGAGTATCGCCGCACGTTTACTAAACAAGGCCTTGGAAACGGCGACACCATCGGCGACCGCCTAAGGAACAGCAGCTTGGCTTCTCCCGAGCACGTGGATCGTCGGGCGATCGGCCGACTACGCCTTTCTTGGCCGGCGACCTCGCTCGTATCGCCCTCTCACTTTATTTTACGCGGAGTGTCTCGGGAATGATTATGATGTCAGAGACGAAAGTCGGGTTGGCATTTGCCCGTGAGAAAATGCGCTCTGGTGGAAGCCTTAGGTGCGCGTTGCTGTCTATGTGCCTCCAGCCCAGCTTACATGTACTTCAGACATTAGGGTCTAGCAAAAGAGAACCGGAGGTAATTGGCGCAATGCGCTCATTAATTCGGCTGCATGAGACATGTTCAAAGTCCCTGCGGACTCCTAACGAGCAACGAACCCCAAGGACGAAAGTTGCATAACCGGCTCGCGAAATCACCCAAGAGCAACATTCGAGGAAAGAAGTGCACTTTTTGCATTCGCTAATGGGTCGCTAATGGATTTTGAAATAATATTTACAAACACGCCAGAGATTGAGGGACCTTCAGTGGAACATGCAGCAGCATGTCCCCGTTGGCACTCTTCCGCGGCAAGTGACCACCGCGCATATTCACCTGCAGCGACTGGTGCAGCAGACGGGGCTCACCAAGAGTCGAATCCCGCTCAGCCCTCCACTGCACAAAGTCCTCCTTTGGTGCGCAATTTCCGACATGCTTGTTGGTCGCCTTCTGCTCCTCGACTGTCGTATACGCCTTCCACTTGTTGCCGTCCTCGGACGGTGCGCGGCCCTCGGGCGGGTAGTCGTGTCCGGTGTAGAGGCGATAGTCCGGCGGCAAAGACAGCAGACTCTGCATGGAGTTGTAGAGAGCATCCGCCGAGCCTCCCGGGAAATCGCATCGCGCCGAGCCTACATCCGGGTTGAAGATGGAGTCGCCGGTGAAGACGTTCTTGCCAATGACGTAGCCAAGGTGGTCAGGAGTATGGCCTGGAAGATGCATCACGTAGGCGTCGATGGTGCCCACGGAGAAGTGTTCATCGTCGTCGAAGAGGTAGTCGAATGCGCCCTCCAGCTCGGAAGAATCGACGCCATAGCGCGGCGCCAGGTTAGATTGCACGATCTGGATCCGCTTGCCGATGCAGACGGCGGGACGGGGTTGCCCGCGCTGCTCGAGCTGCTGCTGCAGGTACCGCGAGGCTGTCAGGTGATCGGCGTGAACATGCGTGTCCAGGATGCGCGTCACCTTATACTTCTTCTCCTCGACGAGGGCTAGAAGCGAGTCGGCTGTTTCGGTGCTAAGGCGGCTTGAGCCCGGGTCGAAGTCAAGAACGGAGTCGATGATAACGGCCTCGCGTGACTCAGGATCCGCAACGACGTACTGCCACGTGCTGGTCTTCGGCTCGAAGCGCGAGTGGATCTCGGGTGCGGGGGACATGGTGTGATTCTTTTGTGGCGTTGGGGGATTCTCTTCGTCTTTGTTGCTTTGCGTTGGGTTCGTTTGTCTGATGAGGAGATTTCAGGAACACGGCGCAAGGCCTCTATATATGCTCGCCAGAACCACCGCATTCCATGATCATCTTCGCGAAGCCCTGCGACACAATCCCGTAATGCTGTAATGCCCAGATGCGGACCAAGAGCGGATGGCGAGGTGTGTTTCGTATAGTCGGCGACTTTTCCCCACTCCGGCGACGTCGGAAACGAGGCTGCGACCCAGTCGCCGAAGACGCCCCAAGTACGCCACCGAACATACTTATCACTAATCTAAGGGCGATTCACATCCGAATATAAGGATTCCAGTGCAGTTTTCTCCTCCACACTATATCCAGTTTCTCTGCATTCTACGATACCGTTTTCCTATCCTGCAACATGGCCAGCGCCAACAGTCCCTTGACGAACGTGGCCGCCGGCGGCCTCTTCGGAGCCGCTCTGGCATCCTCTGGTGTCTTCCTACCCTCGGTCATCGTGCAGCAGATGCAGCTCGCCAACTTCCACATGCTGAAGGTCTTCATGGCGGCAAGCGCCAGCAGTGCGTAAGTGAAGCTCCTCCGCGCATGTCAGAACACCGCACTAACGATGCGCAGCGTAGCATTAGCACTCTTCGAGCGGATGGGCATATCAGAAGCCAAACCACGACCGCCATCCTCCCTAGGACTCTTCGGGCGCTACGACGGAAACATCATCGGCGGCGCCATGGTCGGCTTAGGCATGACACTCACCGGCGCATGTCCCGGTACTGTCCTGGTCCAACTCACGACCGGCATCCGCTCTGGATGGTACACCTTGGCGGGCGGCGTGCTAGGAGGGATTCTTTATACTCGGCTCTTCCACCGGAAAGACTGCGCGCTGCCGAATGAGAAGCTCACTGTTCAGACCAAGTTCGGCATTGACACGCGGTACGCTGTGCTGGCGTACGAGGTCATGTGCGTGGCATTCATCAGTCTGGTGACTGCGTTGGGTCCGAAGGGCACTTCGGTTCCACTGCATCCTCTGCTTGGCGGTGCTCTTATTGGGGCCGCTCAGGCTGCATCGCTCATCCTGACCACTCAGCCTGTGGGCATATCGACGGGATACGAAGTGGTCGGGGCGTACTTCTGGCGGTTAGTAAAGTCGCTGTCCGGGCAGGACTTGAAGGGTGTTCCGCGACCTCCTTTGAGGTCCGTCTACTTCGTGGCCGGTGTTATTGCAGGCAGCTTAGCATTGACCCGTTCAATTCCGTCAGTCGTGTTTGAGACCGGTATCGGTGTTTCAGCTTCGCGTGGCGTTCTTGGAGGTTTGGTCATGGTGCTAGGAGCGAGGATTGCGAACGGGTGCACTTCGGGGCATGGGATCAGTGGGATGTCTCTTTTCGCGGTCTCGAGTATCGTTACCGTGGCATCGATGTTCGCCGCCGGGATCGGCTCTGCGCTATTGATGCAGTGAGATCGGTGGTTGGTTCCGGGTTGAAATATGTGGTCTGCTCGGAAGTGGCCCAGCGTTATCCTTCAGTGTTGTTAGCCTAGAAGGTTGCATTTCAAGGCGTTTGATGGTATGGTCGGTGTCAATACAAGTATAAGATGTTATAGGTTCCAGCCTCATGCACTAGTCTCACCCCATGCCTGAGAGTTCCAAACGAGTCCTACGTAGAAAACGAGGTTACATCAAAATTACTTTGGCGTTACCGTATGAAAGCGTAAGGAGAGCGCGGTTCCATTTGCATCCATCCACTTTGTACCCGTCGCTCTGTCCGTCTTCAAATCCCTAGATGGACGGTCAAGGTAAGCCCCGCGTCGATGATCAGGCCAATCCCATTGACATAAGAAGCCGCCGGGCTACAAAGATAGACCACGCCCTCTCCGACTTCCTCCGGCTCCGCTGGTCGACCCAATGGCGATGCTGCTTTGACAAAGTCCTGCACTGGCGGGAATTTCTTGCGTTCAGCCTCATGTATAGCGGTGTTGACCCAGGCAGGGCAGACGGCATTGACGCGGATGCCTTTACCCACGGCATCTTGCGCTGTGGGCGGGTGTCAGTCACGATGTGTCGTTGGACAGAACTTTGCCACTTACCCGTGCCCTTTGTAATTCCCAACGCGGCGTGCTTCGAGGCGATGTATGCCACCTTCCCAGGAACGGCCGCATACGAGAGTACAGACGTGACATTGATGATCGTCCCGCGTCCAAGATCTCTCGTAGCTCCCAACTTCGTTGCAAAGGTGCGAGGCTCCTGCTTCTCCATGACCTTGACTGCGGCGCGAGAGCAAAGCAGCATGCCACGGGCGTTTGTGGCCATGACCCTTTCGTAGTCGTCCATATCATTATCGGGGATGGCGGCATAAGCGAGAGTATCTATCTGGAGAGAGGTCAGCCCCTGTGCAATAAATGGTTAAACAGGCTGCCTACTCCAGCGCTATTCACCAAGTAATCAATTCTTCCAAACTCTTTATACGTCTCCTTAATAACTGCATCGACCCGCTTTGGATCTGTGACATCGAGAGCGTAGGCACGCGTCTGGTACTCTGGATTTGTCGCAAACTTCCTGCTTTCATCAGAGGCCTTCGCAGCGCCGGCCTCATCGATGTCTGCGAAGACGATGGCTCTAGCGCCAGCTTCAGCAAGAGCATTTGCTGCCCCGCGCCCGATTCCACTCGCAGCCTACAAATAATCAGCTTTGGTATGCGGTGAGGCAGATGGCTTTGCACTTACGCCAGTGACTAGTGCCACTCCGGTTGTGCGAAAAGAAGCCATGATGAGTAGGAATAGATTTTTGGGGGTCTTGAAGGTTTTTTGAAGAAATAATGGAGCTAGAAGTGTTTAGTGAGCTCAAGCGTAAGCAGGCGTGGGCTCCGCTTTTATACAGCCTTGTCAAAATCGCTACGCCGTAATATCAATTTTCAGGCGACCCACGATGCCGGGTATATGATATGCCGTGCGGGGCATCACTTTAGAACCGGTAACTCGAGGTAAGTGATAGATGCTACGTCTGCGGGACATAAAAGGAGAAGCTCCCCGTGTCATAGGACAAGCACAGGCAGCTCATTGCGACTACGAAGTATAACCACCAAGTCCCTTGCTCAACTACAATTACTGTCGGCAGTCTCTGTTGACTTTGAAATCCGTTAGTACCAGTCCCAATGGGCGCGTACCCTGCGGTCGACGGTCCAGTCGTACGCGACTCGTACTGCCTTCAACGAAATAAGCCACAAGACGACCACACCAGCCGCCTCGAATCCCAGGACCTTCAATCCCAATTTCACACTACTCAGCATTCCAACCAAAAAGGATACCAAGAAGACGAGCCACCACACTATGGCTATCGCAAATTGCAGCGCCCTCGTCAGGTGTTTGCTCACAGTCCTCCATCCGTACGCTATGTCGATGATGCGGTCATAAACGCGCAGACCGTGGCGATCAAGGATTGCCAAAACAGCTGCAACGGTCCCGAGGAGGAAAATGAGTCCAACAAAGTCGTATAGAAGAAGGTGGAGGTCGGCAAATCTCGTTTGCATGCTCAATATTCCGGCCGATAGAGACAGAGGTAAAAACAAGGCGGCAAGGAGTGTAGGCCGATTGACACTATCCGCTTGCTTGATACTGAGCATATTGCTCAGCATTTTATGCACCTCGTTATACCTCTCTTTCCGGCGCGAAATGTATAGCTTATAGAAGTCGCACTCAGCCCAAATATTCTGAAGTTCTTCTTTGATGCTGTTGAACCGCGCGGGGAGCTGGATACGTTCTGACATCAATCTGACACTATTTGATACGTAGTCGACCCCTGCTACGCCGCAGATTAATGGATCCTCGACCTCCTGGAGTGTCAGAAGCCTTCCGCTGATGCCATTGAGCCGGGAGGCGATTGGAAACGGCTCCTTGGGATGGAAGAATGACCAAATGTACGAGGTCACCATCGCCTTAGGTTCATTACTTTCAAGATCGGAGATGAAGGCAAAAGTCTGGCGAAGGTTCACGAGTAGAACCTCAAGCAGAATAAGCCGGATTGCCAGTTCTTCGTGACCGCCCGCCAGGTGTATGAGACATTCCGGTCGGGATAAAGATAGGTCTATGTTTTCGAGCCACCTCCAGGCAGCATTGGCGCACACAATTGCTTCGGAAGAAGCATGCTGCATCTTGTCGGTAGATGCGTTCAGCGCCGAACACACCACTAGAAAGATGAGCGATCTTAGCAAATATTGCCGGAATGTGAACATACTAACAGCCCTTCCTTCCTTGTGCATTACGGCGAAAGCAACACTTTGAGCCTCGTATTCGTCCTGTTTGACAACTGAAGAACGTCCAAAATCCGACCAGTTCGGGCAGCTGCGAAGGTGTCTAGCAAAAGCCGGCGCTCGATACGCGGCAGGTCTGACTGATGCTTCCCACATCTGTCTGAGGGCCGGTATACCATAATCCTGTAACCTCTGGCTAGAGGGGAAGCAAGCGCGGGTTGAAATCCAGCCGTGCTCATTAGGGGGATTTATCCGTGACAAGCAAGATGGATATGGAGCTTCAGGGGTCCTATAGCTGTCGATATATTGTCCGACCCTGCTACTCCTTCCGTCAAGAAATACTCTTATTGTGTTCTCCAACTGTGTCGGCAAGCCGAGTATACTCTTCTCAGCGTCGTGTTCGGTGTATCCCTCCCCCCGAATGACTGGCGGTTTCCCGTCTAGAAAGATGTCGATGACTTTGAAATAGCATTCTCCTGTCGCGGGATTGGGCGTTGCGCTGCTTCCCTCGGCCGGTCGGTTCATTTGGGGTTCCTCTTCCACAATAGGCACCCGGGGACCTTGAGGATGATCGTGAACGCTAGCGCCATTGTGGAAAGTGTTGTTGGGGCCGTCCTGATCATTGCATGATGAAAGCCGCCGAACGAACTGCGTAGGGAGAAAGCATCGCGACTTGCCCCATAAAGCGATTTTTAAGTATGAGCGACAGCACGATCGTCAGGAGATGTGAGGTCGGGCCTGTCGGGCGAAGTAGCGCCACACATGGCTGATTGGCGCGAGAAGACCCAGATGGTGCAATCCGTACTCACGCATAAGAAGAGGCTTGCGCCTCGGTTCAGCTGACGGCATAGAGCATTGTAGCCTTGGGCTAACCCTTGATGCAAAGGAGGCGTCGCACTCCGGATAGGTCGCTCTGCAGAGCGCATCGAGAGGAAACTCAATGTTAAGGGCCCTGTCCTTAGGGATATTGATAAAGAACTTATAGAGACAACCCGCGAAAAGAATTATTGTGTTCGTGGGTGGAGAGGCGTGGGCTGATGGAGGAGAGGTGGTATGATGACGTGCGACCCTCAGCTGCCTCTCGGCTGGACTTGCCCAGTTTCATCTCCAAGGTAACGACTTGCCCACATCATCCCAACCCCTTACACAGATAAGTGTAGCATCTCGTCAGCATGCAAACGATTCCACCATTCCAAAGACTTGTAGACCCTCACTTCCCCCAGCAGCAGCGGCCGCAAAATTAGAAATGTTCTCTATAACTGCCGCCTCCTCACCATCCTCCTTCATCTGCCACATCCACATAGTCCAAATACAGACTTCTGCATCACTCATCAGCAATCCTTGCTGCAGCCCTCATCCGAAGAAAAACGACCAAGGGAGATACAGACAACATTGGCCCAACGCTCTCGGTTAGAGTCGCCCAGTTTTATACCAGCAATATCCAAGGTCTAGTAATGTCTTCCGTATCGTAATCGGATCTCGAACTCGGGTTCTGGACGCCGTGTGGGACTGCAAAACAAAACCACAAGGGCATGCCGTGTTACTCTGTCGTTGAGCTTGTTTAAATAGGGGACAGGAACCAACCGAACCCCGCACTACGCAATACGAAACCTCCAGCGCCCGTAACCCGTCAGCCAGTACACAACATCCCATCCCATCACTATCACACCCGTCCCGTCTCCCCAGCCCTCGGAATGGGTTCTTCCATTGCCTCCGCACCCAAGAAGACCGGCCATGATATATCAAGCTTGAAGCAGCAGGTCGCACGATAAGCCAAGGACTGCTAATCTGCAACAGGCATCTGCGTAAACGATCCCCAGCTCCAGGATCAGCATTACTGCGTAGGGATGGCTAAATTAAATCGCCATCCACCAGGAACACAGGTACGAGATGCGGCCCTCATATAAATGTAGGGCTCGCTTGCTGCTTTCGATCGCTCCTTCCTGTATCTTGCGTCGGCGGGGCCTTGATAGGCGTCTTCCCTTCCTCTGCAGCGCCATCGCACTGCGCTTCAGACGTGAATCCGGACGGAGCACGACAACCAGGGAGTAGCCGTCTGCGAGGGACCTCAGGAGCAAATCGCAATGGCGTGCAAGAGCCGCTCAATGACCTCAGTGGTCGCGCTTGCCAGCGCACTCTTCAACACCGCGCTCGCAGCCCCAGCTCTACACCCGCGCGCAACAGCATCCGACCCCTTCGCCATCCTCGACCCGCAACAATGGGTAAATCCCGACAACATGACCTGGTCCGACTTCGTCGCGCCCCCGGGCACCAACTGGGGCGACACCTCGCGGCAAGGCGCAGACCGCAACTTCAACATCGCCATGGTGACGGTCGACTACCCGGACTCGCCCTTCGTCGTAACCCTGGCCGCCAACTCCGACATCTTCGGCAACCCACAGCCTCTCGCAGCCGGCCTGGCGCGCGAAGACGTGCCGGAGTTCTACAGGGCGCTGTTGAATACGCCCAGCGAGCTGAACCGCAACCACACGCTGCACGAGTACTGGATGGGCGACTCCTTCGGCAAATACGGCGTGAATTTGACCGTCTTCGGGCCCTACCGCATGCCCAGCAAGAGCTATCAGTATGGGATTGACGATGAGGAGGGTGGGTTTAACGAGGGCGCATGTCCCGCAGGCGGAGGGCCCTGCTCCGTCGACCTGCGCACCGACGCGCTGGGCGCCTGGCGCGCAGACGTGGGCAACGAGACGGCGGACGGCTTCGAGCTCGCCTTCATCCTCTCCGCAGGCCAAGACGAGTCCTCGACGTGGCAGGAGTTCGGCGAGATGAAGTTCCTCACGCCAGACGACGTGCCCGACGAGTTTGGCCCGCCGGGGAATAGCTCCCTGCCTAACTACGCGCACACGCGGTACGTTGAGTGGACGAGCTGGGCTGCGGCGTCGACCATCTGGCCGAATGCGGGAGGGGGTTCGTCGACGCAGGGCGAGAGCTCCGGGATGGCGACTTTCGCCCACGAACTCTCGCATCTGCTGGGAATCGGCGATAACTACAACAACCCCTTCAGCAATCCCCCACGCCGCACCTACACAGGCCCCTTCTCCATGCTTTCCCGCGGGTCTTTCAACGGCCCAGGGGGTCCCCATACACGCTGGCAGATTCCCCCCGTGCAAGGCGCCTCCATGGGCTCTCTCCACACCATGCGCGACAAGCACCAAATCTCGCTCATAGACACCACGCCCATCCTGCAAATCTCCCGCGCGGGGCTCGCCATCTCTGGCCCCGTCGTCGCCGAAATAACAGCGCGCTCCGTCGACCCCGGCGCCGGCGGGCTCATAGGCTTCAACATCTCGTTCGGCGCCGCCGGCGACCTCTCCCCCTTCTGCAACGTGTCCGCCGACGCGCTGTGCGACGGCGGCAAATACGACAACTACAACATGGAAGTCGTCGACCGCATGGGCGCCGACAGTTTCTGCCCGGACAGCGGCGTGATGATCAGCAAGACCAAGAACTCCGACGAAGAACAGCCCTTCCAGTGGATGATCGATGCAAACCCCCAGGATGCGCATGTCGTCGATTTCTACTTGCCCAACGGCACGGCGCGGTACTGGAGTATTGGCGATTACAGACAGCTGGTTGACGCGCTGTTCCACGCGGGGACGCGGAGCGGGAGCCAGTTCGAGTATGTGGATGGCGCGAATGGCTTGCATTTATACGTTGTTGATGTGAACCGCGATGAGGCCGGGGTGCTGCATTACACCGTCGGCGTAGCGTCTGCCTCCTCTAGCAACGCAACGTCCACGTCCACATCCGCCAACAAATACGGCCTCGAACTCAGCGCCGGCACCCTCGAGACGCTCTCCTACGGCGCCACACCCTCCGACGGCGCGTTCTGCACCTTCGAACTGAAGAACACGGGCGTAGCCGGAAACTTTACAAACCCGCACCCCCAGGACCTGTCCAAGTACCTGGGCTCAGACATCTATCGGCTGAGCGCAGAAGTGGACGGCGCGGGCTGGAAAGTCGCGCTCCCGAACGCGCTGGCGACGGCTAAGTTCGGGGCGTCGACGACGACGAAGGTGGCTGTGGGCGCGGAAGGCGAGGGCTATGCGGTGAGTAGCGAGGCGACGGTGACGCTGACGGCGACGAGCGAGAGTGATCCGAAGGTGAGGGTTAGTAGGACGTGTAAGGTTGTGGCGTGAGTGAGCTGGGGATGTGAGATATGCATGCAATGAGCTAAATACGAATTCTGTTGAAATATGTCAATGCTGGATGAAGGTGTTCCAATGCGGAGTGAAGAAAATGCTCCAATATATTGAACCAATGCAGCAGCCCGATATACCCTTATGCCCATCCCATTTTACATGCTCCCGAAATGCGCGATGGCCCCAATGCACCGCAAAGCCAAAGGTATCACAAATCAGACGAACGGAAACAGAAACAGAAACAGAAGAACTCGCGACCAATGCAGCGCGAATCATGCGCTCGGCGCATTCGGGAATACATTATCCCTCTCCCCACTCTGCCGTCTCTTAACCTGCGGCTTCGACGGCGGGCCCATATTCCCACTCCCGCTTCCACTCCCCATTCCACGTCCCTGCCCCAGCGCCTCATACCCGCTCGTCTCGCCGTCATATTCGCTTGCACTCTCCGCCGTGCTCAGCGTACTCAGCCGCTTAGCATGCCACGGCATACTCTCATTCGGCGTGCTCGGGCGCGAGCCGGACGGCGTGAGTCTCGACGGGGGAGCCGGACGGGAGGACTGGGCAGCAGCAGTAGTAGAGAGTGCAGGCAAGGTTTTCTTGCGGCGTGAATCTGAGCGCGTCGCCGTCGCCGTGCTGCCCGTGGTGCTAGTACTCCAGCGGCGTTCTCTGTGGCCTTCGGTGAGGCGCAGACGGTCGTCGATATCCGGCGTGGGCGTCGTGCTCCGCGACGAGCTACGCGAGTTCGACCCGTCTCTGCCACGCAGATTGCTCGGGCGCCGCTTGCGCTCCTTCAAGCTGCCCGTCGCCGACAAATGATGTTGATGATGGTGCCCATGCGCAGCATGTCCACTCTTCTCAACATCGCCACTCCGCCCCGTAATGCCCCTCGCGCGCTTCCACCCCCGCCACCCCGTCCACCACAGCCACCCGCCCTCCTCGCGCGCCGTCTCCCTCTGCCTTGCGCGCACCCTCTTCCTCAACTCGGCGCGGCGCTCGTTCTCCCGCTCCCAGTACTCGGTGCGGTAAATCTCCCAGCCCTCGCGGAAATCCGGGGTAAACGGCTTGGGCAAGAGCAGCAGCTTGATGATATCGCCGCCGGGCGCTATATCCTCCTCGGCATACTCCTTCCCGCCCTCGACCATGCGATGCCGGGGCCTGCCGCCATCCGCAAGCTCCCGGCCCTTCTCCTGGCTCAAATTGATGTAGTGGTAGCTACTCCCGCCCGTCTCGCCGCCCCACAGGCCGCCGGAGAACGGGCGCACGAACGCCAGCCAGCCGGCCACCTCGCTCCACCACGGGCCGCGGATAATCACAATCTTCGCATTCATGCCGCGCAGGCCGCGGTTCGCAACGCCGATCCAGCGCCGCGGCCAGCGCACGCCGCGCTCCCACTGGCCGGTGGCCCAGAACAGCAGCGCGGTGACGGCGCCCGTCATGAAGCTGAAGCGGTACCAGATGTCGACGAGCCAGTACTTGGAGCTGCCGATGCTCTTGCCGTCGTCGCGGGGCCGCAACCACAGCACGTAGGAGAAGTAGAGGTTCCAGAGGGCGAGCAGGGTGAGGACGAAGGAGTTCTGGCGGCGGCGCGCGCGCAGCGTGAGGTACTGGCTGCGCAGGCTGGCCTCGAGGATCAGTAGGTTGAGGTAGATCTGCGGCGGGGAGCTGGGGAGGAGGGACGTCGGGTCCGAGGGCGGGTGCGGCGGGCGCGGCGTCTTGAGCTGCGCGAGGCGGTCGTTTGCGTCGTGCGAGGGGGGGTTCGCGAAGGCGGAGGCGGCGACTGAGTTGAGCGAGGTGTTGGGCGCTGGCGCGCCTTTGACGATCTGATCCAGCAAGGGGGCTGAGGTATTTGGAGCCGCCATTGCGGCATGTAGAGGACTGGGGTCCGTTGGAGCTATGGAGTTGATGTCGGCATGTGAACGAGGTTGCGGCACGAGATGACGCAGCTCCAGCGGTATCGCGCTCGCGAGAGCTAAAAAAGCGAAGAGTCCAGATTGAAAAGAACGAGTATATGGGAAACGAAAGGACGTTATTAACGGGCGGCGGTGTGCTATATGAGGTCGCGGCACGGCGTATCGCGAGAGCATGTCTCGCCGCGGGCGGACCTCCGTGATGATGTCGGCTGCTTCGCTAAAGGTGCGGTGAAAGCAGGGATTTGCTGGCCATGCAAACCACCCCGCTACACCCTGGGAACTATAACAGCTTAGGCAAGGCTATATCCCTTTTCTTCACCGTCTATTCGAATCTCGAACCATAATCTGCCCTTTGCGGGATGACATTTTGCTCGAGTCAGGATTGCATATGCAGGGCAAGAAGTACGGTCGAGGGCAGATTGTGGGGAGAGATTTAACCCTGTCAACGCTGATGCAGGAACTACTGCTACAAAAGTCTAAATGATACACCCAACCAGTCCTTCGCTAGGGATGGTGTATGCCAGAAACGCCCTTCGTGAATCAAAAGCACATTAGCGCAGCAGTCGTCGCGCCCTGCGCTCCACGTCCCTCATCTCCTCCAGCATAACGTGGTTGAACTGCTCCCAGCCATCCAAGTAGACGTGATGTCCCGCCTTATTAATAATGATGACCTTCGCCTCGCCCTGGTCCCTCTTCCTCTCCTCCGCCGATGCGGTGGCCAGTATTCGCTTGCGCTCCTGCTTGATCTTCTCTTCGGCTGCGAAACCGCCTGCAACGTCCATCCAGTCGTTTTCGCCGTACATGAATACAACTGGGATGCCATTCTCCCGCTGACCCTCTCGAGACGCGAAAGACTGTGTTGCCGAGGTCTCTGAAGGAGCTGGCGATTTCGACCGCGTCTTGTGGCACTTCTTTGGCGGCGTGTCCCCATCTACTGTCGGCACACTGTGCGCTTGAATCCATTGCCGACCAACACCTTCTATCCTTCTGATAAGCGGGCTTCGTGCGAAAGCGCCGGGTGCGAGCAGATATGCAAGCGCATATTCCGAGCTTCCTCGCTGGCGGAAGAGGGAGTAGCTGTAATCATGCAACGCCTGAGCTTCTTCTTCCGGCAGGTGCGAGAAGCGGCGTGAGGTCCAGCCCGAAACGAGACGGGGACCAAGCGGACCGCTCCAGCGGACAAGCGAGAAAGGCGAAATCATGTTGGCCTCCCATAAATAGGTGATCCAGCCGGGCAGTCGCCGCCTCGGAGGCTGGTTCTTATCCTTCCCTGTTTCTTCTTTCTTCTTAGCCTGGTTTAGGAAGTTGTTGTTATCTGCTGTCGGGGGCGGCACGCCGTTCCGCGTGTCGGCAGCGTCTTGTGTGAATTCGTTGGCCATCGTCGAGTCCTGCGGGTCTGGAAGGTCTTCGTTAACCGCATAAGGGTCCTCCGGAATACCGACGGGCGACGCCAGAATCAGCTTGTTCAACCGCCCCGGGTACTTCAGAGCGTAAGCAACAGCCAGATAGCCACCCAAACTGTGACCGAGCAGAGTAAAGCGCTCTAGTCCGCGCTTGATACGCCATTCCTCGAGCGCATCAATGAACCAGTTCTCCGCCTCCATGATTCTGCTCTCCTTGTCCTTGGCGTGGATTCTGAACGCAGGCCGGCTGCTCCTGCCCATGCCGAGCAGATCAAGCGCGAAGACCTTCCAGCCCTCCGCGCGCGATATCGCCTCGAAGTTGCGGTAGAAGAAGCCCAGGCCCGCACCATAGCCGTGCAGCATGACGAGGTTGTGCTCCACCTCTTCACCCACCCGCTCGATAGAGAACTCGTTCAACGCGCGGCCTTTGCCGCTCAATTCCACCATTTCTGAGTTCCATCTTCGCGGCCCGTACGGGTCCGTGATGCTCGAGGTCGTGGTGTGAGCTTCGGGGTTCTTTGGCGGGGCCGTGAGATCCGCGGATGAGGGCGCGGCGGACACAGGCGCGGATCCGGTTTGCGTATGTGTAGGCGGCTTCTGCAAGTAAGGGATAAAGGATAGGACGCGGTGTTCGGTGGCCATGGGAGAGGTGCCAGCCCACTGTTCATAGACGTCAGCCCGGCTCAGCCATCAGGCTGGAATCGAGAACCACTCACCCATTGACTGAAGCCCTCCTTCGCGCCCAGCGGAAACCACTGCGCGAACCGTCCCTGCTGCGTCTGATCCTGCTCGCTCGCCCTCTGCGACGCCAGCGGACTCTGCTGCGTCCTGCCTCTCATATCCTCGCCATCGCTCTGCGCCGCAGCCATCGTGCTCTGGGCCTTCGAATCAATCCTGATGGGCGTCGACAAACTGATCGTAATATAGCTCGCGCCACCAAATCCGACAGTCTTGCAGACCGCACTTTTCGCGTTCGGTCGGGCGTGGAGGTAATGCCGCAGCAAGCGCAGCGGGGAGAAGGTTGAAACGTTCACGGTCGCCACGGTTCGGGGTGCAGCGAATGCCTCAGGTGCAGCACCCGGGGCTCCGCTGCGTGCGTTTATATATGGGCGGCAGGGGAGCTGACGTAGGTCTCGCGGCGGCCAGATTGCTGGCGGAATAGGGACATGGTAGGCGCTGCTGAGTGGTTGCTCGCGTTGTGGCGGACTTAAGAGGGCTATCGACGCATCATGTCGCGGTCCGGACCGGAGGAAAATCCGCCCGCATGCCCGATCTTCACGATGCTTCGCATTCCAAAGTATTGTACTCTGCTCACAAGGTGACTGATGTAACGGCCGCCAATTCTCATATATTTTTTAGACGCGTATCAATTCTTTCTAGGTACGATTCAATTCATATCGCGCCTCGCCATTCTTCTTTGCTCAACCAACAAAGCATGAGCCCACACCACTCACGTTTACGAAGAGACAAAAAAATACATAATCAATAAAACGCGCATACTATCAGGGCCGCGTCAGGTACGCCAGCAAATCCCGAGGCAGAGGAAAATGCTTGAATCAGCATCCCGAATTCACTCGTCCGAGGATCTTGGCATAGCCCCTTCTCCCCTCCCCTTAACTCCTAGAAGACAAAACACAGCACTTAATGACTTTAGTATATACATTTCACTCCGTCTTCGGAAATCGCCTATGTAAATACGCATTTGCGTTCCGGTTCCTTCCAATTCCAGCGTAAATAGGCTGACCAATGAGCGTGCGAGCATCAATCACACCTGAACAACGACTGCGCACACACAGCGCAGAACGTCCGTTATCGATCCGACAGAGCCCATGAATGAGATGGCAACCTGTGGGGCTATACCCTCACTGAACTAATTCAGGCCTGGCACACTGTTTCAATCGATTAGTTTTTTCATTCGACACTCGGACTGTGCTACGCAATCAACAAACATTTCGAAACGCCTATCCTCCCAGTATCAACATTCTGCAAATAATCCCCCCTCAATTGCTCCACAGTTACCTCTTCTTCATTGAGCAGGTCTCTACGCCGAAGTACTCGTCGTTCTTGCCGCTGATGGCGTGGCGCAGCAAGTGGAGGCTTATTCAGGGTGCAAGCCAGGAGAACGAGGCGAACGGATCGGAATGTACTCGAGCGGATAGGCGAGGTGCGCTTGAAATATATCGACGGTGTATAGTTGACAGTACGTAAGCTCTGGTGAGGTATCTAGTGCGTCCGGGATGGCGATGCTGAATGGATCGAACAGGTCGAAGGAAGCAATTCTTGTTTAGAGCGCGACTCTGAGGGTCTGCTCACGGTGAAGGCGATAAGGATTGAGAACGAGGTGGGCGTTGCGCAGGGGTTTGAAGTGGGTTGACGTTCCTGGATGTGGAAGGCAGACGGGTTGGCTAGTCCATACACCCCATCCTTGCAGCTTCCACATCGCTGCGGACGCAGCTTTCTTAGACGAGGCCGTTCGGGCTCACTGGAGTCTCCCGCATCTCACTTCCCCTTGCCGCCCGCTCACCCAACCCCTCATCCAGTCCACTCCCAGCCTCCATAGCAGTTCGCCTAGACGCCAGCCACTCAGGTATCTCCGGAGGATCCGGAGTCCTCAGCACATTCACATTTTCCAACAGCGCCTCCTCGCTCGTCCCTGCGTTCCCATCCTCCTCTATCTGCGCCTCTCCGCCGTTCTTGCGCCGCCGGCAGCAACACGAGCAATCGCGACCATAGATGAACAGACCCCAGATCACAATCGCAGTGGCGATGACTCCGGGTAGAATAGCGAGGATAGCGAACCACACCATCTCGACAGCGTTAACATGTGGGCCCTTGATTTCTTTTAAGTTTATTAGCATTTTTGGGCTAGGGCCGGACGAATAGAAAGAGACGTGTAGGTTAGAGATTGTGATTGTTGTCGTGAATGTCGTTTGTGCTTCGATGATAGGGGGGTCGCGTCGTTTTAGGTCAACCTGAATCCCCGGGTTGTTGGGGGGTATTCCACGGTAATATAGCAGAACATTGTATATGTTGTGGATGTAAGAGGATATTGATTTGGGGCTTGTGAGGAAGGCCGCTATTGGCGGGGGTGGATATTGCTGAGCCCGAACAGTTCCAAAACTGCGAGTGAGACCGGTGGCCACTTCATTATCACATCATGATCTGTAGCACTCGTATTAAATACCAGTGCCGCTAGGAGTGAAAATGGGAGACTTACTGCCATGCTTTGCAATTAGCTTGGTTATACTCCTTGTCCCCGAGGTCCACGCCTCCTGTCTTCCGGCCTCACCTAGGTCAATAACCTTCAGCTTTGGTATCTCTTCTTCTGCGGCGGCTTTAAGCGTAGACTTGAACAATTCCTCAGTCTGGTTCCAAGGCATAGTCGCATCGTCCTCCGCGTGGACGAGCACGAGCTGCAGCTTTTCGCACTGGTGAGCGAGCTCAGCGAGTCGGCGATCCGTGAACCATGTATCGCGCATCCTGCGATTGAACCACACCTGAAGTGGTGCAATCATTTTCACAGGCGCCAGAATCGGGACAACGCCAGCGATGGCATATGCGGAGAAGGCGTTGCCGGTATTCGTGAATGCGGCGCATAGAATGAGGCCCGCAAATTCAATCGGTGACTCGAGGTTGGCGTAGTGGTGCGCAATACCGGTTGCAATAGCTGTACCGAGTGAGTGGCCGAGGAGAAGGATACGGTCGGGTGATATCTTGGCGACGTTGAGAGCCCAATCCACGACGGCTTCGGCGTCCTTCAGGATACCGGCTTCCGACGGCGTTCCGGTCGATTTGCCAAACCCGCGGTAGTCGAATGTAAGGACGAATACCTTGTCGGAGGCACCCGAGGAGTACATACGATATTCCTCGGTGCGCCGTCCTTGTGCGACAGTGCCAGAATTTCCATGGAAGTAGATGAGCAGCCGCGCCTCGGGATCATCTCTCAGGAGCTTGAAAGCCAGTCGGCTTTCCACATGGTCTGGGTCTCCGTTCTCGTGGATGAACTGGTCCGCGTGCCTCGAGTAGACACCCAACGGGGCGATGAGCCACGCGAACAACCTCTCCGCGTCCTTGGTCGATATGCGGAACGGCAATACTTGGTTCTCTGGCTCCGTCAACATGCATTACCCCGCGAGGCCGCTCATCGCACGTACTTAGAAACCCAGCTCTTTCAGGCTCGTCAAGCCAGTTTCCAGGCCAAAAAGTCACCCATTGCAGGTACAGCATCCTAATCATTGTTAGCCGTTGATGGAGCGGGTGCCTGCGCCTGAGCCAACCCACTGTTTCTGCACCCACGGTACGCAACACAGAAGTGTGGCAGGAATCCATATTCCGCTCACACAGGCGATGGTTAGCCCTATCTTCGAAGCAAGACCGCTCATGATGGATGGGTTGTGTCGTCTCCGGGGGTTCGGCCGGGACGGAGGTCGAGGAAGATCGCGAAGCCCGCGCGCCTTCCCATATTCGGTTAGCGTCTTAGAGCTTTGGCTTCCCCGGGTCATCAATTGCTGAGTTGCTGCCTTCGCAAGCTGTGCTGTTTTCGTGAAATAGTGTGGAATATGTTGCATAGATGCAAACTCAGGTCCACGGGTCCTTCGTACTTTGATGTCGGTCCTCCAGTTCGCGATCTTTCTTATTTGGGATACAGAGGCCTTCGTTAGTACCTAGGTATGACGTCGTTGACCATCAATATAAAGAGCCCGATTTTGCACACGCTCAATGCGAGAAAGTTGTGAGGTTTTAGCGGCGACTCGAGGCTCACTGCGAAGGGCTTTGTGAGGGCATTGGCAGCGAATGGTATGGCGCCTCAAAACTCCGCGTCCGAGAAGCATGTCATCCGATTGTTTCATACGCCAATCACGAAGTAGATGAGCTGAGATTCGCTCAGGGGTTTCTACATAGCACACGAGAGTTGCAAAGCGCTCTCTGCGTTGCGGTGAGCCGTAGAAAGCTGTGCTGCCTGATGCTGAGCATGCGGAATTAGTCAGCGCCTGCCCAGGTGTGGGATGCCTTCCGGTTTTGGCTAGCGTGCATCCTTCCATTCCAGCCCGCCTCGTCTCCTTTCGATTGACTCATCTTTGACAGCGCCAGCTTCCCGAGGTCCTCTATCGTATCTTGCCATCCCCTGTTCGTTCCTCTGTCGCGTGTTTTCCTTTTGCGTGCCGTACGTTGCTTGTCAATGGATCGGTACAAGGAAAATCGCGGGGCTGCCCTGGACGCCTGAGGCGTTTCGGCCGCGCACATCGCGGTGTCACCTGGTAACGTACACTCGTGTACGCCCTATAGGAGCGCGCACTTTCCTGCCTCTCACCTAAGCCCTGATAGCAGGTCGCGTATAAAGCTGCTGCCTTGCCGCCTTAAAGTCCTCTAACCACCAACCCCGCCTTCTCCCCACAAGCGTAGTTCCTGAGTCCAATTTTTTCAACCCGAGTCCTGCTTCATTGATCTCAGCATGTCGGAAGAAACTTCTACCAACGTCTACCATGGCTCCTGCCATTGCGGCGACGTTCAATACCAGCTCCGCCTCACGCTACCTCCCAGCTCGGACCCTGATCCCTTCGTTGAAGCAGTCCGCATCTACAAATGCAATTGCACTACATGCCAGAAGGTCCGCAGAATACCCAGGCCCATTGACAGATTCCTTAGCTCTAACTATGAATAGATGGGAATGTTCCACTGCCGCCCGATCAACTCCTATAGGCACTTCATCCTCACCTCTCCGGCAACCATCGACGAGCTCGGTGACTACCGCGCCTTCTCTGGCAAGATCGGCTGGTACTTCTGCAAGAAATGCGGGTGCCGCACCTTCGGCATGGGCGGCGTGTGGGTGCAAGAAGAGGTAGACGTAGATAAGTGGGCGGGCAGAGAGGGTGAGGGGAACGTGCAGAAGGTGTGGAGGTCTAAGCCTCATGAGAGCGCTTCTTCTATTACTGGGAAACCGCTTCACTATGTGAGTGTCAATGCGGTTACACTTGAAGGTGTCGATCTGAAAGAGTGGTATGACAAGAAGTGGATTTTCTACGCCGAGAACAGGGAGAGGAAGAATGGGACGCAGATCCGTTTGTCGGATCCCTATGAGGGTGGCTGCTACTGAGGCGGTGGTCCCGCCCGAGGACTTCTGGACACACTTTAAGTCGCCTTGTCACCCGGTATTCCTCTGTGGACAGTGCAGATACGCACTTTCAGAAGAAAGTACGATCAACATCACCAGAGGCTCACGATATTCATGTTTTAAATCAAGTTTATTACTAATTCCAAAAGCGGGCATGAAGAAAGCTCAAGTGTACTCTAGTGAGATCCTATCGATACAACAGACGGCGAACCGTACTCCAGACGCCTTCCGGCCTGTTATCCGCGTCGTCATACCAGTTACTCATACAACAAGTGCAGCCTCCATTTAAACCTCGAAGTGAAGCGCTCTCGACACTTATCTGCCACCAAAAAGCCCTTTAGCTTTCGCCGCCCACGTCTGCTCCCCATCACCCGTCTTGCCATCGATATCTATATCCCCAAACACCCTAGGAGGACTTAGCGGCGGAAGTCCACCGTAAGCCCGCGAGCGACGGCGATGCTGCTCGATGCGTTCCCTAAGATCCACCACCGTGCGCCGCGCCTCCTCGCGATGCGGGTTGCCCTCGCGCCCAGCATCGTAGCAAGCTTGCCGATACTGCTGCGCCAGGGCATCCGTTGGATCGATCTGCTCCATCGGGTAAGGGGTAGCTGGTCCAGCTACGCCGTAGCGGTCCGATGCTTCGGAGTAGTATTGGGCGTACGTTGGGTAGTTAGCTAGGTCGCCGGGCGGGGAGTCGGAGACGCGAGGTGCGCGGTAGTTTGAGGAGTAGAAGGAACTTGGAGAGTAGGCCTTTGGCGGTGGGGGCGGAGGAGGACGGGTGGATTGGCGCGAAGAAGCCTCGGGTCCCTGAACAGTAAAGTACCGATCCTGGCTTCCATCCTGCTGTGGATCTGGGTTCGCCGCGCGCAGCTTCGCGTTCCGTCTAGCTCTGCGCTTGTGGTCCGTGAGGAAGGAGAAGAAGGTCCAACGGTGGTTGTCTATATCTTTCACCTCCATTACCGCGCCTCTGCCTTCCAGGTTCGCCAACGCCGTGGCCCGGTTGGCCTTGATTTGGTGCTGCGAGTCTGGCGTACCAGAATCCAGCTTGATCTCTTCAAACGGGCGACCGCCCTCTTCAGCGTCGCGGATCGCGTCCACTGCGCTCGCGCGCTCTCTCGCCCGAACTACATGCTTCGAAATTGGATCGCCCTTCTGGAACCGCCGAATCTCGGACGTCAGCTCGTCGCACTTCGGGCACTTGCCCTTGTACTTCGACCAGAACATGAAGGCGACGACGCCGACGTAGATGAGCCCGATGATGATGACGCCGGCGAGGACTAGGCTAGCGATGACGGCTGTTCTGGGTTGCTTGAGGACGTCGCCTACGGAGGGGGCTGCTGTTGCGGAGGGCGAAGTGAGCGTAGAAGATGCAGTGATGGTTTGGAATGCTGAAGTCTGCAGGCTGCCGGCCGGTGTAGAGGCAACCGACGTCTTTGGCGATGTAAGAGTTGTGAAGCCGGTTGGTAGGTCGTGGATGGTAGTGAAGTCTGTGACAGTGACGTAGACAACGTTTTCTCCAGCCATTTGCCGCCTGTTCAGCTCAGCTGAATGTACTTGTTGTAGTTGTTGCTCCCCTTCTTTGAATCTTGTCTGCTTGTCATGGTAGGGTGCGATATGAAGTTATAGCTTTGAAGCGTTGTGAGCATGGATTGTGAACGAACAGTTGGGGTGATGCGCGCGTGCGAGACGAACAATGTTGGTTTGCAGCGGCTGGCACGCCGGAGATCGCGGGCGAGAACACGAGCGCGCAGACGCACAATGTGTGAGGTTTCGGAAAAGAGTTGAGTCCAGCTCTGGAATGCTTTCGAGGGTGGACAGACATCGGCTCGTAGACGATCACCAATACGTTAAATTTTACGTTCCCATTCTCGTACCGCGATGAACTCGTAAAGCCATGGATTTCTAATTGTCTGGAAAAACAAGGTAGCATTTGGTATAGAAAGGACATTGGGGAATTCCAGACGCCACCATTTCAGTGACTGTGACTACGTACCCTTGCTCTGATCCTCACGGGGTCCATACTCATCTTTAACTGCCAGCTCCTCGCCAGAGCACTCGATAGAAGACCGCGAAGTTTCCGAATGCTCAACCTTCCTAAACACACCGTTCACGTTCTGATACCCTCCGCTTGTCTGCATACGCTGGGACTCACCAGACCCGTGTTGCGAACCCTGAGGCGCGAATCTCTGCAGTGGGACATTTTTAAAGACAAGACGCTTCGCGGGAGTCTGTTCGTCTTCAACTACTCCTTCTCCCGTAGGCAGAGTGAGCTCCGTTACTACAATTGGCGCAGTATGCGGAGGTGCAAGTAAATTGCGCAGTGGCAGGTCACTCAGGGATGACTGGTCGGAGTCGCGACTAACCTCGTTAAGAGCCTTTTCGAGGTCACTCGTGCTGTGAACCTCGGGGATTGGATCAAGCCGATGCCGATAGGACTTGCGAACGAAACGTAGCCATTGGTCTTGATCTTGCTGTGCCTTCTCCACTTCAGCTCGTTGAGCTTTGCGCTTGTTGTACCATGGGAGGAATCGGTACTTCGTCCATATGGCAATCCCCACCAGAGCGGCGACGCCGAGCGCTGCAAGAGTGATGGCGATGATGTGGTTGGCGAGAGGCTTTGCTGAGAATTCCGTGGTAAAATCTCGGTGCGTGAGACCGAAAGCCCGTGGGTGGAGTAAGCTGGGAAAGGGAGGAAGGTCGGTGAAGAGTACGGGCGGGCGGATAGGGGCGGTCGTGGTGGGTGCCATGACTTCTACGTCCTGTGTAGACAAAGATCGGGTAAGATTTTCAGGATATGAAGGGATATTGGAGAGAGAAGAGTGATAATAATGGCTTGAGGTATATATGTAATTGAGATTTTGAAATATAGCTCAGCGCAATGTGCAGCAAAAAGCACTTAGGATGGGTTCGACGGTTGTTAACGTACAATGTTTTGGGAACGTATGAATCAAAATCAGAAGTCATCAGCCTCCTCGATTTACAAGTCAACGAGTACATCAAGAACGGCGTAGCTCATCACAGGCGTTGTATAAACGCTGCGCTCGAAGAGAACGCAACGGGCTTAAGATGGTCATTTTCCCATTTTCCCAATCCAGTGATCGCTACCTATGAAAGACCATCACGAAGAGCTGGTTCTCAACTGAAGGAAGACGATGAGTACCGCAGAGTACCTTAAAGCTTTAGCACGCTAGTAATGAGCCGCTCTATTAGAACAACTTACGCTGCTATAGCCGCTAGAGTCTCGAATGGCTTCGCGGCCGTTCCGTAATACACTATACTCAAGAACATCACAATGAATATGGTGATTACACCCAGCTTCAAGTAGGGACGAGAGATGACGTTCATTGTCCACAAAGGTGCAATCAACATGAGCAGTCCGGTCACGAAGATTGCGATAGTGGTGTAACAATCGATCCGCTCATCGGAACTGTAGAATCTTGTTTCTTTGTAGCATTCGCGCATCTCTGGTGGCGGTTTCTTTCTCCAGAACCAGCACAGTCGAAATATGATGTGGCTCTCGAGGAACTGCCGCATCGTCGGCTTTTGGGCATATGCGATCGATATCAGATCCTCTTTGTGCGAGATGGATCTGCGCTCCTCTTCCATGATTGCACCGTCGTTGTTGCAGAACCAGTTCCCGACGTGGGCGACGTTTCTTTTTGGTGCGCGAGGGCGCGTTCTGAGATCCGAGTGGGCACGAAGGAGCTCGTCTAGCATGATTTAGTGCCACTGGTGGTTGCTCTCGCAAACGGACAGACACTTACTATATTCTCTAAATTTATCTTGCTAGTAGCTAAATTCGGTCTGGTCTGTCATCTCTGACAGTGTCGTTGTTAACACCGCCTGATTCCCGAGCACTATACTTGTTACCTAGCCGGCTAAGCTCCTCTTTGAGCATCGAAAGATAGTCTTGTAGTGTTATTAGAACTCGAGCATTTAGCTTGTCAAAGCGACGAAAGGTCTGCGTCGGATGCTACAAAACTAGCAAAGCCTCTATACCGTGTATATTTCCTAGAAGTCCCCTTTATATTGGTTATTACTGAGTGTCTAGCCTTGCTTGCCAAGCCTCCCTACTGACCTCGTCCTGCGTAAGGCCTTGGATAATAGTACTATTGTAACTCGCATGCTCTGGCATTTTAAATAGTAAAAGGATAATAGAGGCAGAAAATGCCTAAGTTCGAATCTGTATGTAATGACTTATAGAGTTACGCTAGGCTACAGCTTAGGTGTCTGCATTGGCTGGATATCGCTGTAGAGAAAACTAGTTTATTAGGTAGTCGCTACAAGCGACAACGCACCATGCATGTTAATCGCGGCTGTGCCTTATCGCCCACGTTTATCTTGCTTAAATCGCTGCCTTATAACTATACTTTATCCGTCTTTCCTGCTAAACTATATTGTGTTGGCTTAGGCGCCTCTATTTCTAAAGGGGTTTGTCTCCGAAAATGGAGGCCTCTAAGCTAGCGATTTTGGGAGCCTAGAAAATCTTAGATTCGTAGTTATTCTATGTGTATTACTTAATTCTATAGTAAGCAGCCTAGCTAACGTTAGCTATAAAAGGCTTCCCGCGTTCTAGTTTTATTTTACTCTAAACCTTATAATCTACTACTCTTATTTTTACTTACTTCCCGTGCCTAGTAGATCTGTGCCTACTACTCTACTACGCTATTTCTTATTATTAGCGCAAAGAGTAAGTGCACCTATATAATACTTCTAGCATATGTTATTTACGTTACTATCTTAGATAGATTAATATTTTATTTTATTACTTCTTTACATACTTAATACTAGTATTAGTATTTTAATAGCCTTAAGTATACTAATTCTAGAATTTGCTAAAGCTTAATACCTCTACATTCTTATCTCTAAACTTAATAATATAAGGCTACGTTACGTATACTATTTAGTACTCTACTTAGACTAATAGATAGTATAATTAATTATATTCTTTAGCTTAATAAGAACTTATTAGAGATTAAGACTCTATGTAATCTATATTACTACTATAGTAAGAACGCTCTACTAACCTACTATATAAGCTAGCTTTAAAGCTGCACGCTATATTATATTAAAACTAATTTAATTAGTAAAATACCTTACTATAGCTAACGCTAGAGCTTTCTTGCTACGCCTTAACAAACTATAGTATTACTAAGTACTATCTTGTATCTACGTCTAGCTACACTCTATTCTAGCTCTAGACGCTAGCCTAAATTCTACTCTAACTCTAGGTTTAGCCTCTCTTTAGGTTACTTATATTCTAGGCGTATTAGATTTCTAGATATACAACTTTTAGATAAAAACTAGTAGTTCTAGAGTAATACTAATCTAGCTAGTACAGCTATTTATACTAGCTTAGGTAGAATATAAATATAATATTAAGAGCTCTACTTACTATACTAATATAATATAATAGATACTCTAGAAAGAAGGTTCTAGAACTAACGCTAGTAAGACTACCCTATATAACTTAGGTTTCTAAGAAGAATATTCTTAAACTTAATACCTACTATAGGGCCTAATACAGCCCTCTCTAAGTAGTTCTAGAACTTTCTTTCTAGGCTCTAGCTACTAGAGGTTCTAGAGACAACGTAGGCCTCGCTCTACCTAGTTCTAGGTCTTTCTTTCTAGGTCTAGGCGCCTACTTAGCCTATTACTAAGCTCTAGAACGTAGGCCTACCTACGCGCGCGTTAGGCCTAAGACTTTATTTATATCTACTAAATTTTAAGTTCTAGAATAAGGCTACGCTAGAGATATATAGTATAGAGTAGCTTTATCTTAAACGCGTACTCTAGAAATTCTAGCGCGTACTACGCTAACTATACTCTACTATTAAAAAAAGGCGCCTACTTAGTAATATAAGCGCTAAGAGCGCGTAGCTAGCGCGTTACTAAAGTAGAGAAATAGTAAGGTAGATATATATAGCGCTATACAGAATTCTAGAATTCTTCTTCTATCTATTAATAGCCTTCTAAGAACTAGCGTATTATAGGCTCTTCTAGACTTCTTAGTTAAGTAACTAGATCTATAAGCACCTACCTTAATTTCTTTATACATGCTCTTTTCTGTTAGGCTAGAGTAAGCTAGGTACGTAGTATAGGTAATATATAAAGAGGTTTAAAGCGTAAGTCTACGCTTTTATAAGTTTTCTAACTTATATACGTTATTTTCTCTTATAAATTCTAAGATTACTCTTCTTCTAAATTTTACTATAGTTATTACACGTAATAGAGTAAAAAAGAGGCTTAGTACTTATATCTAACTTTTCGCTACTATAAAATTTAGTAAGTTACTTTTTTTCTACCTTTAAGCTTATACCTAACTCTACTTAGTTCTTCTAGAAGGTAATTAGCTTCTACTACCTACTATACCTAACGCTTATAATACTAAAGACGTTGCTAACTATAACCTATTCTACGCTAATTATAGCTAATAAGAAGCCTCTATAAGAAGCTATTCTTATATAGATACGCTAGAGAATAAGCTAGAGATTAGAGTATCTAATATATATAAAGCTAGTAATAATAATTTCTTATAAGCTATAATTATAATAGACTAGAGCTTAGAAGTATAGCCTATGTATTACAACTCTACTTGCGTTAACTAATTAACTTACTAGGCTAATCTATACTATCTTTGTTCTTATAATTATGTCTAGATAGAGGTACTACTAGACCTTTAACCTAAGACTAATTAGGCTATCTATAATCTACTTTGCGTACATAATAGTAAAGTCGCGGTTTCTATACTAGTAGACTTACCTAAGCTAATTTATGCGTAAGCTATTATAGATATTACTACTTACGCTATTACTACGCGTAATATCTTTAAAGCTTACGCTATAGTAGATAGTTAAGCGCTAGAACTAGGTACGGCCTACGCTATTACTAAATATAATATCTATAAAGCTTATACTAATACTATAGTAGACGATTAAGCGCTAGAACTAAGTCTAGCTAATACTATTACTAAGAGTAATACCTTTCTAGTTTACTCTAACAACTTAGTAGACTATACCTATCTAGCGCTAGCGCTAAGTTCTACCTAAGCTAACGTAGAAGCTATCTATAATAAGCCTTTACGCGTCTTTACTATAGTAAACAAACTTTATACTAAGGTATCTAGTAAAACTCTAGCAAACTCTTATATAGAAAGTAAAGCTATTATAACTCTAATAGAAATACTAATAGAAGACTAAGAGGCTACTAGAAAGAGTACTAATTATAAGTTCTATTATATAATAAGCTATAACACTCTCTTAAGCCTACTAGGTAAAGAGAGTAGCTCTATAAGATAGAACGCTTAATAGTATAGTAACTCTAAAAGAGGCGATAAGTCTATTATAGAACTAAGTAGTAATAGAATAGCTATAGCTCTATTAGTAATACTAACTAAGAATAAGAAAGCTACTACTTAAGATTTTACTATAGGCTATAAAGCCTTCTTAGACACGTAATATAAGGTAGTCTAATAACTAGCATACGTAGATATAAGTAAATTACTACTAGACCTACTAGCTAAAAAAGAGAAGGCTATAGTAGTATAGAATACTATAAAGCTATAATTAGATAATAGACCTAGAATACACGCTAGTAAGGTAGAGAAAGGTAGTAACGCTAGGTTGCTCTCTATTATACTCTCTAATATAGATAAGATATTCTAAATAAAGGTAGTATAGATAGAGTATAAACGTTACGTAGCTTTTCTTATCTACGTCTTTACTATAATTATATAATAAGATTAGAGATTCTACTCTATCTCTAAGAATAGTAAATTAATTAAGAACTATAACTCTACTATTAGTAAGCTCTTAGTAGTAGTTCTATATAATAGTAATAGCCTAGAAGATATATAAGATACTAGAAGAAGTAAGGTAGAAGATACTACTAATAAGATAACTACTATCTAGCCTATAGAATAGACTAGTAGGCCTTTTAATTAAGGTAATCTAGAAGAAGGTTTATAAGGTATAGCTCTAGACTAACTCTAAGGTCTTAGCTAATAAGTAATATAAGATAATCTAATTATTATTAATAATAAAGTAACTCTATTATTAGGTAAAAATACCTAGATATAGCTACGCTAAATATACTACTAATTATATAGCTCTAGTATACTAACCTTCTCTATATTAAATACTAATATAACTAATACTAAAGAGAATAGAACTATATCTTTAGACTAATCTAGTACGCTTGTCTCTAGTACTTAATATAAGAGAAAGCTTAAAGACATAGTTATATAGAGAGATCTAGACTTTAAAGATAAGATAGCTTCTAAGCTAGACTTCTTATAGTAGAAGGCTTAGATAGAGTAGATTAAAATATAACTATCTATAGAGTAGTTTATAAGCGCTAACGCTAAACTTATTATAGCTATTACCTTTTTTAAAGAGATAATATATATATAGCAAGATACTAATAAGCTAGAGAAGATAAATCTTATAGCTACCTTCTAGCTTAGTAGTATCTATTAGCTTAGCAGTACCTAGAAAGAACTAGAAGAAAAGTTAAAAGGTAAGAGTATAGTAGAAAGAAGGTATATACTACTATAGAGGTTTAGTTAAGTTCTATAGTAGCTTAAAGATTATACTAGTGTTTTAGTAGTTATCTAAGAACACCTATACGCTACTAAGTATAAGTATAAGAGTAAGAACAAAGACTATAATAATAGTAGAGCTTAACGTTAAGTAAGAGTCTAGCGTTAGTAAATTATT